ATGCGGCACACCCCGACAAGCCGCCGCCGCCCGTCACCGCGCTGGCCCAGGCCCGCACAGACGTGTCCGTAATCCCCACCAGCGCCGGTGCGCGGCGCGGCGCGGCGCAACGGTGGCGGGAGCTGCCCGCCTGCTGTCCTGGCGATTCGCGCTGTGCTGTGTTGGCGTGTCGCGCCGCGGCAGACCCACAGCCACAGCCACAGCCACAGCCATGCTCCCCACCCAGCCCTCTTTGCGGGTGCCTTCTGCACTTCTGGATGGCCTTATGGCTGTTTCTGGCTCTCGTGTTGAGCCGCCCTGCCCAGCCGGGCCGCCCCTCCCCACCGCAGGCAACCAGCTGGCCGTGCACCGGCCGCTGCGCCTGGATGAGCGCATGGTGGCGCTGGCGGCGGCCATCAGCATCGACTATGGTGTGTGTGTGTGTGTTTGTCTGTGTGTGTTGTAATGAGGCAGAGCATGTGTGTGTGTGTGTCTGTGTGTGTTTTTGGAGTGGCAGAGCATGTGTGTGTGTGTGATCCAAGGGGTGGTGGTGGAGGGGGAAGTGGGTGCCGTGAGGCCGGTGGGGCCCTTTTCTTGCTGCCGCCCCAACCGCCCTGCCTGGTGGGATGCGCTCTGCGGGGCGTCCAGCCCACCCCTGCGCCGCTGCCGGGCCCCACCTCGCGCCCACCTCCACCCGCAGACTTCTTCTCCCGCCACTCCTACGGCGGCGGCGTGTTAACCCCCTTCTTCGGGCCGCCAGTCATGCCCTACCCGGGGCCCGTGGGCGGGGAGGCGGCAAAGGCGGGCGGCCCAGCGGAGGGAGCGAAGGGCGCGGCAGGCGGCGCCGCTCCCACGGACTCCGGGGCCCCAGGCGGGGAGAAGCCTCTCGAGCGGGACTTGGGCAGCAACAACGGCGGCTGGTTTGGCGGCTCTGGCAAGCAGGAGGAGGACGAGGGGGAAGGGGACTGGGGCAGCAGCGGGGGAGGTGGCGACGATGCTGGCGGGGATGGAGGAGGGTGGGGGTAGCGTGTTTGATGTGTTCTCAGATGACTAGCGCCCCCTGCCCTCCTGGCCGCACACTTGTCATCTCATGCACCGCCATTTCATTTTTCACTTGCCTGTTGACATCAGTTGCTTGGATGCAATCTGACGCTTAGTGTTCGGGAGGAGCCGCAGCGCGCCACCTGAAAAGGAGAGCCGCCAGCCTGCTCAGGCCCGCTCCGCTCTTCTCCGCTCCGCCAACCTGCTGAGCACAGCGCACACTCGTGTGTGCCTGTCTTTCCAGTCTGCTGGCTGGCAGGCCACCGAGCAGTAGGAGACGCGGCGGCAGGCGGAGCAGGCCTTTGTGCGGAGCCGGCGCCGGCGCCAGCCAGGTTGGTGCATCCCCAAATCGGTAAATCGGTGGCGTCTTGCCCTGTTGGGTTGAATCCAAAGGCTGCGGGCACCCCGAAGCTGGCTTTGTGGCTAACATCTGTCGGTGGCTGCCAGGTTGCGGCGGAGCGGCTTCGCGCCGCGCTTTGCAACACTTTGAACCAGAACCTGAGCCATCCTTGGGCCCAGCCGCAGCGCAGCTTCTGCTGCAGCCATCAGGTGCACGCAGCGTGGCCGTCACTCTGCTCGCGATTGCTGCTGCTGCCGTGCTGTAGTGCGGCAGCCGGCAGGCGCCGAGGAGGCACGATCCCCCAGGGCAGCGCCGTCCTGCCTGCACCGCCTGTCAGACTTCCCTCTCTTGACACACTGCTCATTGCATCGCAAACGAGAATCAATGAACTGGAATAAAAAATGGCACAGGTATCTGCCTCGCGGGGCATCACGGTATGTGGGGAGTGCTTCGGCCCTGGGCTGCCGGCCTATGCTTGCTGAGTCTCATCTAGTCTGAAATCTCTGGTCACATGATACTGCCTGCCTGCCTGCCTGTCTTTGTGTCATTTCAACAACTGCTGTGAGTGAGACGGTGAAGAACTTGCAGCTGGCGCCGGGGACCAGGATGGGCGTGCCGCCGCTGCTGCCGCTGCTGCTGCCGCCGCCGGAGGAGGAGCCGCCTGCGGGCGGGGGGCGAGCGGGCACCCCCAGGGATCAGAGGGCTGGAGCAGGCCCCGCCCCGCTTCATGCCCTCCCCCTTTGCCTCCCCCTTGTCTCACACACTTCCAGCGCCCTCCCCGCTGATTGGACTGCCCCCGCAAATCCGCAGCCCCTTGCCCGCCGCCCAGCGCTCCCGCGCATGCACGCCGCCACTCACCGCCGCTGGCTGCGGGCTTCACGACGGTGGTGTGGTAGGTGTTGAAGTACTTGTTCTCCACCTCCTTCTCTATCTCGTGGAGGACGGTGTTGGTGTTGAAGGAGCTGCGCACAGAAGGCAGGGGGGCGACGACGACAGCGGACGGCAGGGGGCAGGGCAGGCAGCGAATGGGCGGCCGGCCGCGGCGGCCGGAGCGAGCACGGTTGGGGAGTGCGTAGGGGCCGTTGTGTGTGCACCCAGCCAGCCATGCCCGCCACCCAACAACCTACGCAACAGACCCTAACAAACCACACTCACTCCACGGCGTTTATGGTGTTCCCCAGCCCTCTGCACAAAGCAGCGGAATGAGGGTCAGGCATCACAGCTGAGACAGCGCGACCGCGCACGATGCGAAGGGCAGGCATGCACTGGTGCCGGCATCCCGCTGGCCCACTGCTGTGACACCAAAGGCGCAAGCCCGCGCTGCCCTTGCCACCACCGGTACCGCCTCACCCAGAGTTCAGGGTGGCGCCCCCGCCGTGCACCACCTCGCCGTTGGCGGCATTGATGGTGGTGGTCTTGCCGTCGGTCGTGTCGGCGTGGTGGTTGTCTGCGGGCGGGCGGGCAGGCAGGCAGGCAGAGTGTTCAGAGACCGGTCGGCGCCAAGCCGCGCCACACGCAGGGCAGGGGCTTGCTCCAGGGGCGCCCCTGCCTGCGGCGCATGCCCTCCATGCCGTGGTGTGCTGGCGTGTGAATGGCGCTGAGGCCCCTCCCGCTCACTGTTGATCATGGAGTTGTCCACTTTGTTGTTGGTGGTGGACTCGCTGGAGGTGACGGTGTTGATTGTGTTGTAGTTGGAGTCGGCCAGCCCGGTGCTGGTGGTGGCGGTGGCTGCAGGGAGAGGCGGGGGGGCGGCGATGGGAGGAGGAGTGTGAGGTGGGAAGGACATGCAGGGATCAGTGATGGGCAGGCATGCCCTGCGTGGCTGCCCTGATCATGGGCAGCGCTGATGCAGCTGCCGCTGCCCGCCGCCCGCCCAGCGCCGGCGTTTCGCCCCGCACGTGTGTTGGTGACTGTGCCAGAGGCGGCGGTGGGGTCGGTGTTGATGCCGGAGCTGTTGTCGGTGTCGATGCTGGCTGTGCTGTTGTCGGACGAGTCGTTCCTGCATGGATGGGGGTGTCGCAAGGGGTGGTGCATGGTTGGGCAAAGGTTGGGCGCCAGTGCATGCGACTCTCCCTTGTCGGCTCTGCAACTAGTGAGGACTCCCTGCTCACCCGCTGTCGCTGGAATCGTTGCTATCGCTGGAATCGTTGCTGGCATCGTTGCTGGAGTCGGCGGTGGTGGCGGTCTTCTTCTTTCCGGGGCTGGCCTTCCCCTCCGTCACCCCCTTGTCGGCGGTGTTGTAGGTGTTGCCCTGGTTGACGTCGGAGTGCACGTTTTCCACCTGCTGGGAGGAGTCGATGGCCGTCACCTCGCTGTGGGCCTTGTTGGCGGCGGAGGAGTCGACCTTGGAGCCAAGAGAGTCCTTCAGGCTGTTGGTGTTCTCTGCGGTCACTGCAGCAGGCAGGCAGGCAGGCAGGCGAGGCAGGTAAACGGGAAGGTGTTGTGGGCATGGGGTTTGTGCAGGTCACAAGGCTGACAAATACAACGGGGCTGAGGGGCCGGCCAGGCGGCAAGCGGGTGTTTGCCCGCCGCCACCACCCCTGCCATCCCAGCCGTCCATCCCCGCTCACATGCGTTGGTGATGGTGCCGGATGCGGAGCTGGGGTCGGTGTTGATGCCGCTAGAGAAGCTGCGCAGGCAGGCAGGCACGGCAGGGGCTCAGCACAGCAGCCAAGGGAGGCCTCGGAGCCAGGGCGCTGCCAGGGCACCCTCCTCCCTGCCGCCCCGCTTGAGCAGCAGGCCCCACTCACTCGCCGCCTCCCCGTGCCGTGGATGCATCGTCGCCTGCGTCGTCCCCTGGCGTGCCAACCTGCACAGGAGGAGCGTGCAACGTCAGGCGCCACATCAGATGCTGTGGCATCTGGCGTCGAGTGCGGCACGTCCCCGACCAAGCCCTCCTCAAGGCGGCATGCCCAGCCCTCCCCTCTAGTCACCTCGTCGCCGGTGTCATCGTCGATGGCATCGAAGATTTCCTCGATTGTTTCAGCAGACTGCACCTTGTCGTCGCCGCCATCTTCCGCGGGCTTGGCGGCGGCCTTCGCCAGCAGCCTGCGGCTCTCGGGCGCCGCCGAGGCGCAGGACGCCCACAGAAGCAGGCATGCAAGCAGCACGGGCGCGGTGCGAAGCCCCATCGCGGAGAGATCTGGCGGAGATCGGGGATGAGAGGGGATGGAGGCGGCCCCCGACGGTCTGACGGCGGACGAAATGCGCTAGGAATTCCCCTGAAGCGGAATGCACTAGATACGATGCCTCTGGACGCCGGCATTTAATCCGACTCAAAACGCAGCAGGCTCAGCAGCCAGGTGGAAAAAATCCGGTCGACCGGCGCCGTGCTCAGGCCGGCCAACCCACGGTATCGCCAGGTCATAGCGAGGGACGGTGGTCGCAAGACCGGGCGTGCTAGAGCGGAAGTCGCCCCCAGCGGACGGCCAGCCGGTGCGCCACTGGCAGCCTACGCTCGGCAGCACAGCGCCAGTGCAGCAAGGCCTGAGGTCACCTTGCGATGCCAAGAGCTTCATAAATCAGACCCATAAACTACCCATAAAATGTTGCTCCCCTGGGTTCAGCAGATGTGGATGTGTTCGGCGGCAGCGGCGAGGAAGAAAGTTGCGCCGCCCGGTCAGCGTGCCTCTTCATTTTCTGCCTCCTCCTTACCTTATTACCTTACCACAGAATCGCAGTGTGCACGCTAAACAGCACAATGACGATGAGAGAGGTTGGATTCGCAGTCTTGTGCCTGCTGTCCTTGCTTGGCCGCTGCCCGCCCCTCTGCCACGCCCAGTCCGATGGCAGCAGCACCCTGGAGAGCGGAGAGCCGCTGCGGGTGGGCCTGCTGGCCTCTGGCAACTTTCCCTTCTCCCAGCCTGCCACGGGACCCACCCCAGAAAACCACGCAGGCCTGGAGGGTTTCGAGGTGGGTCTGGCAGCGTGGGAGGGCTCAGGGTGCTGAACTGCCTTGGGTCTGTCCTGCTGCAGTCCCAGGCTGCGGCGAGATTGGCCGCCGAATCGCGCCGCCGCACCTGCTCTCAGCTGGTTGGGTAACCCACCCTCTGCCGTGCTCTGCTTATGCTGCAGGTCGCCCTCATGGACGCCATCTGCGAGGCAGCCGAGCTCAACTGCACCGCAGGCGAGGCTAGCAAGCTGGAGGGGCACCGCCGCGGCCGGCCGGCCAGGCAACGAGGGCCCGGCGTGCTCAACCCGGCCAAGCGGGTGCCCCCAGCGCTTCCCCTGACCGCTGTCGTGCGCTGCGCCCGGCGGCCTGGTCTGCAGTGCCGCTGTACAGCCTGGAGGAGCGGCTGCAGGGCGTGTCCAACGGCACCCTGGACCTCACCATCTCCGCCCTGTCCTACACCCCCGGCCGAGAGGCGGTGGTGCACTTTGTGAGGTGCGGGGCCCTCCCTGCGAGGCTCTGCACGCCGAGCTGCGACAGCAAGCACCGGTGCTCGACGACGCCCCCCCACAGCCTGGCGCACCCTCACCCCCATCAGCCCGCCCGTCCCGCCCACCCCGCTCCCTGCCGCAGGCCCTTCTATTACAGCAGCGGCGTGGCGCTGTTTGGCGACGCCTCCCGCAACGGGCTGGCGCTGTTCGGCCCCGGGGCCCAGCCGGGCCAGCAGCTCCAGTCGCCGGCAGGCTGGCAGGGCCTCTTCACAGGTGCGATGCCCCAGGCTGGAAACGACCTGCAGGAATCCAGCATGGACTACAGACTGTAGATGCATTCGAGTTTGGTCCCTAGGTGCCGGCAGGGGCCAGCACCAGGCGCCCAGGCCTTGCTGCCCGACCCTGCCGTGGCTCCTGCCGCTGCTGGCCTGCAGGCAACTTCCCTGTCGGCCAGACACTGTGCTTCGTGGAGGGCTACTACGCGCTGCCCTTTGTCGTGCAGGATGTGGATGTGAACATCAAGATCTATCCCACCCTGGAGCAGGCGGCGGCCAAGGTGCAGGACGGTGAGCGACGGCTTCGCGCCAGGCGGCAGCGCTCCGCGCCGGCAAAGCTGGGCCGGTGGCAGGGGCTGCAGTGCCCCCGCTGCCGGGTGGCTGCTTGCTGCCCAGCCAGGCCGCCAAGTCGTGTGTATGCTTGCCCCGAGCGCAGGCACCTGCGCCGCCCTGGCCTACGACAGCGTCACGCCCGCCTCCCAGGTGGGGCTCCCCATGCTGAATGCCCCGCCCGCCTACGTCGACCCATACGGGGTGGCTATCAGCAGGGGAGACGCCGGGTCGGAGCTGGAGCATAGGCTGGTGTATGCTCTCACCGGGTGAGCTGCAAAATAAAAGCAGGGCGAGTCGCAGGCTGCCAGAGATGCCTCCGGGATCGAAATGCGCGCGTGCCGCCTGCAGACTGATGAGCCAGGGCAACGCCAGCAGGATCCTGGAGCTGGAGAGGCAGTGGCTGGTGCCGCAGGGCGTGGGGCCCAGCAGGCACGTGCCAGCCGTGCAGCCTGCATGGCAGCGCCTGCACATCTTCCTCCCTGGAGCCACCCATCCGCCTGCCTGCCTGCCCCTCCCCCTCCCCACCCCAAATTCCAGCGCTCTGGAGACTGTGGTGGATGCCATCTCGTCCTTTGGGGCACCGCTGACAACAGGCCCCGGCACCATTCCCTCCTCCTACAGTCTATTCGGGACGAGGCCGGCGGGAAGGTGACGACGACATACTATTCATTTGCTGTCTTCCATGTGCATCTGTTCGAGCGTTCGACTTGCTTCCTATTGCGCCTTGCACCTCTTTGTCCTTCCACCTATATGGCCATACCTTTTGACCCACTGTTCCACACAAGATAGCGCCTGCCAGACATCCAACGATTGTAATCCAATGATTGCAATGGCTGCATGATGTGGCTGGGTAGACAGCAGGCAGTGCGGGTGGGCGCATCCGCGAGCACCACTTGCTCGCAGCCTCATCTCAAGGCCTCTGCCGTGCCGTTCACAGCCGCCGTCGCATTCGCCGCCGCCGCGCCCACCGCCTGCATGAGGAGCCCTGCTGCCGTGCCGTTCAGGGCAGCGGTGCCGTTCAGGGCGGCGGTGCCATTGCCCGTCATGTTGTTGTTGTGGTGGTGGTGGTGCTCCGGCGGGTGGTCCAGCCCTGCGCGTGCGTCACAGAGAGAGGCGGCATTCGATATTAGCAAAACAAACAAAACAGACAAAATGCAGGAAAAACAGTATGGGCAGGCACACTACAGCCCCCCTCACACACCCGTGGCGTGGAAAATGAAGTGGAGGCCCAGGAAGATGACCGGGTTCCAGACGACCAGGTACCGCACCATGTCCAGCATCTGGATCCTGCAGGCGGGGCAGGGGCAGGGGCGGGGCAGAGCTGAGCAGGGTGGGCGGGGCAAGCGCGGCAGCCGCCCTCCTCAGGCAGGTGGACGAGCGAGTGCGTCCGGGCGGGAGCGGGCGGGACCGGCAGGGCAGCAGGTGATGGTCGGGTGCTGCCTGGCCTGGCAGCCTACACCCGCCAGGACCCTCGCATAACTTTGTTCAAAAGAAGGGGCCCCGCCACGCACCACGACAGGTTGCGGGTCTCCCAGGGCTTGTCGGCAAACACGGACCGAAGGTCCACCTTCTCCCAGCAGGTGGGGCACGTGTCCTTCTTGCCGATGATGCACCACCCCCTGCAACACGCCGGCACGGGACACTTGGACGCCAGGGCGACGCGGCGCGGCGCGGCTGGCGCCGGTGGCTGGCCGGCCGGGCATCGCACGGCACGGGCGCGGATGGGCGCGCGGCTGCTGCCGAGGCGGCGGGCCCCGGGCTCCCGAGGGCAGGGCTCCTCTCTCTCTCTCACACACACAGAGAGACACACATACACACACACACGTACACACACATACACACTCTTTCCTCACCGGATGCATTCCATATGGAAGAGGTGCTTGCAGGACAGCTGGATTGTGCCCAGCCCGGTGCCGCCGCCGCCGCCGCCGGCCGCCTCCGCAGCTGCGGGCGTGCCGCCGCCGTCGTTCAGGTCCCCGCCGCAGATGCCGCAGCTGCGAACCGACACCGCCATCTTGCGCCTGGCGGCAGGAGGGCAGGCGCGGAGAGGAGGCGGCGGCCGCGCCGGTGAGATCAATCAAGGCTGAAGGCTGCCAGCAAGGCAGGCCCTTGGCGCCAGCAAGGCATGGGCACGAGCCGAGGGTGTCACTTGCCCGCTCTCCAGACTGCTCACTCACCCAGAGCCCAGGGAGCGAGCGATGCGGTCTGTGGCCACCTCAGCGCAGTCGCGGGTGAGTATGCCGTAGTACAGGCCGTACCACACGGCTGCGCGGGACAGCAGCAGGGCAGCAGCGTGGGTCACCCACCCCACACATGCATCCAGCCGATCAGGTGCACCGCCGTGTGGCCTGCCCCGCCTCGAATCTGACCTGCCGCGACACACTCCTCGCACACACGCAGCCACAGCTGCCCAGCGCCCTGCGTGCAAGCTCCGCCTGCCTGCCAGCCTCACCCGTGAGCGAGGCGCCCTGGCCGAGCACCGCACGGAACAGCAGGCCCAGCCCCGTGAACTCCAGCAGCAGCATGATGTAGCCCACAAAGCCCACGCCAACGCTGACGCGGAAGACAACCATGAAGAAAGCGTAGACCTGCAGGCAGGAGGGCAGGCCGCGGCAGGGGCGGCGTGGTTGACAACAGCGCGCGTGCAGCGTTGGTGATGCGCCGCGCGGCCCTCGCTTTGCGGCGACACTGGCGGGACGACCAGGGTTGTCCTGCCTCACCTGCTTGGGCACCGTCTTCTCCAGCTGCCTGCCGGAGCAGCGGTACAGGTAGTAGCCGGTGATGGAGGAGTAAAGGGCCCAGGTGGCCACAAACCGCCAGAAGCCTGCGCACAAGCCGGGGAGGCGGGCGGGGAGGCGGGCGGGCGCAGGCGCGGCTTTCGGTGGCAGCGTGTGGGCCTGCCTGCCGCCGCGATGTGGGGCGGGGCGCAGCGCTGCTGCTGGTGGCGAGGACAGCGCCGGCAGGCCTGCAACGCCTGCAAGCCGGCTGCTGTTCCCGCCGCCCAGCAGCACGAGCCTCTCACCCAGCTGCACAGAGATGATGGGCGGGATGAGCCAAAGGCCGACGAGCGTCGCCAAATCGTAGCTGCGCCGATGCCGCTTGCGCCAGCTCACCAGCGCCCACTGCGCCGTGAACATGACGAACAACTGCATGCAGGGGCGCAGCGCGGCGATCGGCCACGGCCTCTAGCAAACCGCTGCGCGGGCTGCGGCGCCGGCGGTTTGGCGGCCGGCCTGGCACCGGCCCCCTGCAGCGTGATTGGCGCCACTCCAGGCGCTGCCTGGCCGCCCCCCAGGAAGGCCCCCTCGCGTCAAGGTGCTCGCAGCAGGGACTTGCGGGAACTTACAACGCAATAGAAGGCCAATATCGCGTGCTGCAGCTCCTCAGGATCGGGCTTCTCGGAGGCCGGCTTTGGGGCTATCACTAATCCCTGTGGGGGAGACTTGGGGTCCTGTTCGAGCGACAGCGCCTCAGCGCCATCCTCAGCGGCAGCCATCGCGCCGATCTAGAGCACACACAGGTGTTGCAAATGCATACAGTTTGTGCTGTGAAGCAAGCAGGGCTCAAACGTAGGGCTGTGCTGGGCAACAGCCTGGTGCACAGCACAGCATGGGCGGCCTCGCCCCGCGTTGGCTGACCAGTCATGCGATCCAGATCCGCTTGAAGGCAGCCGCAACAGGGTGCTGCTTGTTGCCTCGTCGCCCTGTGGCATGTCTGGCTCATTTGCAGGCCCTGCCGCCCCTGGCCAGCCACTGAGCAGCGGCACAGCACCCGCCAATAACCTGCAGCTCGCACGCGGCAGCAGGACCAGCAGCGCCCCGGCGCCCAACTGGCGGCGACGCTCCATGCGCGGTGTGCAGGCGCTGGCGCCCGCCTCTCCGCTCGTCCTCACCGCCGCAGCGGCAGCAGGAGCGCTGGGTGTAGCCGCCATGTTCCGCGGCACCAAGGAGCTCAAGCCGACGGTGCAGGGCCAGAGCACGGCTTGGAACAGCGCCATCCTGTCGCTCTGCCCCGCCCTCACCGCCCCCTACCGCCAGCCTGGCTGGATGCCGCGGGGCGGCCATTTCGAGACCATCCTCGCAGCGTGGTTCAGGTGGGGAAGGGCAGCCAGGCTGCACCCGCCCTTCATCAACTCTGTTTCCCCAGTGGGTTTGTGTCGAAACCCTGTTAAAGCCAACCAAGTTGGCAAGCAACCCGTTGCAGGAAGAAGCCCCACGTGTTGTATGATCGCGAGATTGTGCACATGCCAGACGGCGGCTGCGTGGCGCTGGACACAGAAGACCTGCCGGCCGCCCAGGTGCGGCGGTGGTGTGGTGGCTGGGCTGGCTAGGGCAGGTGGCTGGGTCTCGGTCTCGTCCTATGGTGGAGGAGAGCAGCGCCTCTCACCGGCTACCCTCGCCCTCCCCCCGCCTGCCGTGCCGCAGCAGCTGCCGCAGGACGCCCCCGTGCTCATCCTGCTGCCGGGCCTGACAGGCGGCTCAGAGGATAGCTATGTGCAGCACGCAGTGGTGAGCTAACAGCAGGGGTGGCGGCGGGTGCTTGGACACACCGCAGGGCCCTGCCTGCCTGGCCTGCTGTGCTTGCCTGGGTGGGTCAGCTGACACCAGGTGGCCGCTGCCGGGCAATCTGCCACCTTCCAGCTTGCAGCGGCTGGCGACCTTGCCCCGAGCCACCACTGACTGGCCCGATCCCTTGGCTGCAGGTGCATGCGCGCGAGGCGGGGATCCGAGCGGTTGTGTTCAACAGCCGCGGTACCAGCGGCAGCCCCGTCCTGACGGCCCAGTTCTACTCGGCATCGTTCACAGAAGACATGCGGTGAGCGGCGGGCGGGCAGGCGAGCAGCCTGGCAGGCGACCACGAGGGGAGTGGGGAGGGTAGCCAGGCACCTTCTGCTGTGCCGGTTCAGCTGCTCCTTGGACGGGGCATTGGCGCTGTGTCCATGCCTGCCTGCCCCTCCCTCCTGCACCGTGCTGCCAGCTGCTGCGCCACATGCGGCCGCTGACGCCTGCTGCCGCGTGCCGTGCGCCTGCCCGCAGCAATGTCGTGGCCCACGTCCGGAACCAGTACCCTCACAGCCTGCTGTTTGCGGCGGGGTGGAGCCTGGGTGCCAACATCATGACCCGCTACCTGGGTGGGTGGCTTTCTGTGGATGGCTGGCTGTCACCGCAGGCAGACAGAAATACCAGGGCGCGGCTGCTGCTTGCTGGGCCGCCCGATGCGGCGGCACGTGCGGCAGCGCGGCGCCCGCTCCCTGGCTGCCAGCTGAGCTGGCTGAGCGGGGCCGCCTGGCTGCTGGGTGTGCAGGGGAGGAGCAGGACCGCACGCCCATCAGCGCCGCCGTGGCTCTGTGCAACCCCTTCGACTTGGTGCGCGTGTGCTGCTTCGCGGCACCGCTGCTGGTTGCCCCGCCCTGCTGCCTGGCCACCTGCCCGCAGCACCCTTCCTTTTGCCGCTCGCCCTTGCTCTCACTCAGCACCCCAATCCCTGCCGGTCCCCCAGTCGCGCCTTCCTCTCCACCCCGTCCCACGACACGCACACCCACCCACACACACCACCCTCCTGCCCCGCCCTCCTGCCCTCCCCTGCCGCTCCCGCAGCCGCTGTCCGACTCCAACTTCCAGCAGGGCTTCAACCGAATATACGACTGGAACCTGGCCCGCAGCCTGAACCGCATCTACCAGAACCACCACCACCTGTTCGAGGCAGAGGCGGCCAACGGGGAGGGGCGGCGTGAGCGCCGCCGCCGCCGCCTCCGCCGCTTGCTTGTGGCCGGCTGGGTGTGTGCCGGCGGCGGGGGCCTGAGGCGGGCTCAAGCGTGGCACGACCCATCAGCCTGTGCTGCAGCAGAGGAGCAGCGCGTGCGCAGCTCGGCCCCTGCTCTCGCGGCCGTTCTTCCGGGCATACTTTATGCTGCGGCATCCTCAGTCCGCCAGCGCCTGCCTGCCCACCTGTCCGCCCGCCTTCTGCCCTGCCCTGCCCTGCCCTGCCCTGCAGCCTACCGGCCAGACGTCGCCATCGGGGCGAAGACCATCCGCGAGTTTGATGATGCCATCACCCGCATCGCCTTTGGCTGGCCAGACGGTGGGGCTGGGCAGCTGTCTTGCTGCGCATGGACACATGCGCCCTGTGGCCTGGTGTGTGCGCCAGGGGCATGTGTCCATGCGCCAGGCACCTGGCCCCCACGCTTGCTCCGCAGTGGATGCCTACTATGCCGGCAGCAGCAGCAGCCTGAGCATACCCGATGTGCGCATCCCGCTGCTCGTGATCCAGGTGGGGCTCGGAGGGGGCTGTGGCGCCGGCCGCAGCTGCTGGGCTGCCGATGACGCTGCCGTAGCGACCAGCTGCTGCTATAGTCCCTTGGCCACCACCATCACCATATGCAATAAGCTGCCCTGCCCTGCTGTGCCTGCTGTGCCTGCTGTGCAGGCCGCTGATGACCCCATCGCCCCCAAGGAGGCCATCCCCTTTGAGGCCCTGCAGGCCAACCCGCAGTGCCTGCTGGTTGTGACGCCCACGGGCGGGCACCTGGGGTGGAGCGGCGGGCCTGATGGCGTGACAGGCGCGTGCAGCCCGGGTGAACCTCGCTCGGCAGCTAGCTGCACAGACTGTGTAGGGGCGGCGAGCGCTCAACCAGGCCTCCCGGCAGCTGCCAGCAGCTGGTGCAGCCGCTGCTGGGCCGTGGGGTTCCGCCCGCCCGCTGCCGAGCAGCTTCCCTTTGCGCCCCTGTGCCTGCGTGCGCCCCGTGCAGGCGCGCCCTGGACCGACGCCGCCGTGGCAGAGTACTTCACCGCCGCGCGCCAGCTGCTGGCGCAGCCGGAGTTTGCGGCGGCGGCGGCGGCGCGGCCCGCGCAGCCCGCCCCGGGCGAGCCGGCAGGCGTGTGGACCATGGAGGAGACCACCCACCAGGCGCCCTGAGGGGCTGGCTTGCTGGGACGGCCAGCGGCGGCAGCGTGAGGCGTCCGCGGCTGCGCCGGCATCTTCTTTCATGTTGGCAAACGGCAATGCGATTATTTCATTACGGGCACCTAGCAGGGAGCCCTGGATTTACAGGCCATGCTGCAAGGGAGCGGGGCTTCTGCCCACCCATCTCCCGCTCCCTCGCTGTAAATTGGACTACTAATCCCTCCATTTACAACGATTGGAGGCTGCTCCCAGCTGGGCGGGGGCACCAGGTGCAAGCATTGGTACCACGGAATGGAAGCATTGGTACCAGGGTGTGGGGATGAGGATGAGGTTGAGTTCAGCTGAGGGCAGGTGAGCGCTGGAGAGGAGCGGGTTGGGCCCCATCCAAAACATTGCAGCAGCAGCAAACAGGACGGGGCCGCCACTTGCAAGTTCGGCGTAGGCGTGAAAGAAACAGGTGGGTCGATTCCAATGAATAGGATGAATAGGAAGAGAGAGGAAGCTCATTTCAAGTGGGCATTGCCAGAGCCGGAGCAGCGCAGAGGGATTCGTCCCTTCTTGCTGTCCCGGCATGCCAGGGATCGGTCGTTGGGTGTGCAGCAAGCGAACGCTGGCACCTGCGAAAAACTCATACATTAGAGGGAAGAGTAAAAGTGCCGAGGGGCAAGGAAACCATGTTTCAGTGGACATGAAATATTATGCAGGGACTATCAAACTGCGGCCCGAAGCAGTATCCGTGCGATGGTTCGTTTCGCTGCTCCCAGCTCCATGACGGCGAGAGCGCCAGCCGTGCGGGAGAGAGAGGAGGGCAGCGGGCACCCCGGCGGCGCGGCGCATGCCTGCCTCGTCAGAACTGCGCCAGGAAGGCACGTGCCGCTGCCAGGCTGGCGGCATCGTGGGGCGACATGGTCACTGCCAGGGCATAGCCCCGGATGGCGATGGCTACCTGCCGCCGGCCACTGCAGCACAAGATGGTAGGGGGCAGGCGTGGTTGAGTGTTTGGGGCACTGCTGCGACACTGGCATGGCTGTGCACTGCAGCAGGCGTGCAGAGCAGCAGCAGGAGGGCCAGCACTCGGCGCCAGCGCTTCGTGCCGTCCCACCTGGCAGGGAGTGGCTGCTGGGCGACAGGGGAGGAGGCGGTTGGCAACTTGATCTGCTTGGCGCTTGCTGCCAGCTGCGGTGGCCTGGCAGCTGCGGCGGCCTGGCAGCGTTGCCCCACAGGGCTAGCGGCACTGGCTGGGCTGCAACGCTTGCGCTTCTGCCATGCACCGTTGTGCATCTGCCCGGGCACGGCGGGCTCTGACCCATGAGGCCTCCCCTTCTGCTGCCGCTGCCTGCTAGTCCAGTGGGTGGGCTGCTGCACAGACCCCGGCACCGCTGGTGTGCCTGTGGGCAAATGAGACACTTCATTTGAACGGCCACATCCGATGAGCCCGATTGAGCCAACAGAGTATCAAGGCGCGCATAGACAACGCGCGGCACATGCAAGACCGGCAACCAGCAGAGGCGACACACACCTGTTTCTTGCGTGCTGCTGTGCGCACAGGCCTGAGCAACCAGCAGCAGGGCATCAAAGGCGCGCTGCTGGCGGCGGCGCCAGCTGGTCGGCGCCGTTTCGCGCCCCAGCAGTGTTGTCAGCTCCGATGCCTCTGAGCTGGATGGTTCCGCGTCGTCAGCTGATTGTGGACTGCATGACGTGTTTGGAGATGGCATGCGCCTGTGTTCAGCTGCAGGTGCAGGCATTACTGCTGGGACGGGGCGGGCGGCGGGACTGCCGCCGCCGCAGGGAGGCTGCTCTGGGGCGGCGCTGGCTGGCGCCGCACTGGTCTTGCACGAATCGCTTGACGCTGCTGGTTCGGTTTCGGGGCATCTAAGATGGGGCGCCCCTGCGAAAGTGCACACACGAGGGAATTGCATCAGTGTGATGTGAGTGACGTTCCGGTGGCACACAGCAGACGGCGGCGGCCATGCCACTACTACCTAGCGCACATGATCCAGCAGTGGTTTGCTTGCATTCGTAGAGACGTAGCGCTCACCTGGTGACCTGGGCACGCCCAGTGCGCGCATGCGCATGCTAAGGAGTCTGCGTGTAATGAGTGTGCGTGTGTCAATGCTAAAAATGGGCGAATAACAATGCTGTAAGAATCACGCAATTTGCGGAGGAGTACGGTCCGACCGAGCAGCTGCCGCCTGGCATACGCAGCTGATGCGGGCCTCTCCTGAGGAGGCGTCCCTCTTTGGTTAGGCCGCGCCTCTGCATGTGGGGGTCCTTGGAGCCCGCTAGGTGACGACGGCCGAGCTGGGGAGGGCCTGTCACACATGTACAATGCCGCGCGCCGCCTGCCGCCCCCGACGTGGAAGTGCCCGCCGGCATGTCCTGGGCAGGCATCCCCAGGATTCTCCTGATTAAAGTCAGGGTGGGAAATCGCCCAATGGATGGCCAAAGTCCCATCACAGACAGGAAGAATGCCTCTGGCCTCGCTGAGCGGCCCAGACCAAACGCGCAGTGAGCCGCCGCCGTGACCTCGGGACCGCCGCTGCCGCCCATGGCGGTCAGCCGGCGAGCCCCCCGCAAGCTGCCCTGCCAGCAGGCTGCGCCTATCCCTCTGCGCCCGGCCGCCGCCGCGAGCCCCCAAGTGGCGCTGTCCGCCGCCGCGGCTGCCGCTGCCATGGGCGCATTCCCCGCCACGCATCTGCCGCCTGGGTGCACGTCTCATTCGACCTGCAGATGCGAAGCGAGGCGGGCCACAGCCCCACGTCTAGCGAACCCACCCTCGGCCACCTACAAGCTGCGCTGCCACGCAGGCTAGCAAGGCAGCAGCACGTCAAACAGCTGCAGCCACCCCTGGGACACGTGCGCAGCGAGCATGCCGCGCCTGCCGCCAGCGCTTGGCCCCTGCTGCACCACCCAGCCGCCAGGCCGCTCCCCAGCGCTCAAAACAACTCACTGCGCCTGCACTTGCTTCCAGAAGTCCATTTTCCGAAAGATGACCCCCAGCCCGCCCCCCCGCTTCATCTTCGCCTTGAAATCCTGCATGCCAAACAGCCAGAACCGGGCAGCATCAGCAGGCGTACCCCCTGCCAAGCAAGCGGTCTCCGCGGAAGCGCCACCACGGCGGGTTGCATGCACCTGCAGGCCGGAGCAAACCGGGCGGCAGAGGCCGGCGCTAGCCTAAGCGTCCGCAGCCCCGCCCAGGCAGGCGCCAGCCGACGCGCCAGCCAGCCAGCCAGCCCACCTGCAGGCTCTTGGTGGCATAGTGGTAGACCAGCAGCCGGTCTGAGCGGATGCGGGCCGAAGAGAAGCCGTCCACCCGCTCCCCTGCTGTGGACACTGCAGGGCAGGAGGCACATGGGAGTGAGTGGGTCCTGCGGGGCCTTGCAGACCGAGGCAGGAGGCAGCTGACTGTCCTCGTGCTCGTGCTCGTGCGGGAGGCCCCGACCGCAGGAGGCCCAGCGGGCCGCAGTGCCGCGGCACAGCCAGCGCGCAGCGGGTGGCAGGCGCCAGCGCAGCGGGCAGCGAGGTGCTCTACCTGCGTGGCAGCCTCCCACATAGTACGCGTTATGCGGGGAGGCCGGCTGCACCGCCAGCGCGGTGTTCACTATGGTTTTGATGGCCCGCTGCGCGGGCGCCTGCAACGCACGATCGCGCCTGTTGATTTGGCGGTGGTCCCGAGGGTGCACACACCCGGTTCCTGGGCCCCAGGGCTGCGCTTGTGTGGTCCCCACCAGGGGACCAGCGCCGCCCTGGAGCATCTGCCATCACCGCCATACCCAAACACATCCCACTGGGCACAGGGCTCGCCCACACCTGCTCTGGGTAGCAGCTGGTGTATGCCAGCAGCGTGCTATCCTGGTGCGACTTGTGCCCGCCTGCACCCAGACAAGCAGCAGGCACTTGCATGCTCAGCATGTCACCCTTCAATCAGCGTGTTAGCCTGTTGATAGGACCACAGTGCACACATCCCACTCCACCTCCCCTCATCTCCCTGCACTCCACTCCTCTCCGCCGCCACCCCCAGTCCACCCCAGCAGCAGCTCGGCAGCGGCGGCCACTCACTGGATCCCAGTATGCGCCAGTTGGCCACCAGGCCGCCGTACCGCCTGTACTGCTCCAGCAGCGTGGGCAGGTCGGGGGTGCCGTCGGTGATCACTAGGAACTCGTCAGAGTCAATGAAAGCTGCCCGGGAAGAAAGCAGGAAGAAATAACATGTGAGGGAGTTGAGTGGGCGGGTGGGCAAGCTGGGCCAGTCCCCAGCAGCCCAGGGAGCACAGCGACGCCCTCCTGCTGTGCAAAGGCCACGGGACTCGCCGGGCCAGAGCAGGCAGGCAGGCCCGGGCCAGGAGAGGCAGGCAGGCTGGCGGGCTGGCAGGCCAATCACCCATGAAGCGGTGGCGGGTGCCATAGTCACGCAGGCACAATGAATAGACAATCCACTGCTTGTACTGCAGCAGGGGCAGCAGGGGCGCAGGGGTGACGGCCGCCGGCAGGCCGCCAGCATGGCACCATGCGTGCGCCGGGCAGCAGCCCCTGGGGGAGGCACAGCAGTACCAGCGGTACCTTTGGATTGTAGCGGTGGTCATTGGTGGCGTTCAAGTCCTGGGAAGCTGCCTTGAAGTCGCTGATGTAGCGGTACGTTACATCACCGGCCTGAAACCAGCGCACAGCACCAGCACCGAAGCACTGCGGGCCTGGTTTGCAGCACTCACAGCAGAGCGGCGAGCGCCCGGTCCGCCGCCGCCGCACCAGCAGCCCTTGGCTGCATCACGCATGGTCCCAGCCGGGCCAGCTCCAGAGCTGAGCACCGTCAAGGTCGAGGTGGGAGGGCCTCCACCAGGCTGCCACCTCACCCTCAAGTACGGCCGCAGTACGCCCTTCACTGGCGGCCGGCTGCCGGTGTCAAAGACATAGATGTGGGAGGCGCCCAGCCCCAGATGGTACTCCACCCACTCTGGCAGGTCCTCGGCCTGGTCTGCAGGAGAGGGAGCGGCGACGCGAAGCAAGGCGAGGCGGCGGGAGCGGCAGCGGGTGGGCAGCGGGCGGCGGCGCGCGACAGGGGGAAAGTGTACGGGCTGCCAGGAGGAGCGATGTAGGACCCAGTAGGCGCTCAGCAGGAGGAAGCAGCAGTGGCTTGGAGGCCTGGCCAGGCGCAACTGCTGGCGCTGCGTGCTGGGCTGGCATTTCAAGGGGCTGGGCGGTCGAGCGGCGCATCAGACCTTTGACCGTTAGGCACATAGCCACGCCGCGAGCGGTGCCCGCCCTCCAGGCCTTGTACCGCTTCGCCTGCAGCGCCAGCTCCTTGGCCGAAAAGTCACGTCGGTGCGGCCCCGCGCTGCGGCAGTCTGTGGGCTGCTGGGGCCGCCGGCGGGAGGTGGCGGCGGCGGCGGCGGTGGCAGCGGGCGACTCCTCCTGGGGGCCGACGACGGACAGAAGCTCGCCGGAGTCCGACGATAGCTCGTGCTTGCTGGTCTACAGCACAGGCAGGGATTCCCTTGGCCAACGGCAGTGGTGTGACAGCAAATGTGCAGAGTGCCGCCAATCACCTGCAGCAAGGAGACGCCCTTGATCAGCGACGCAATGCTGATCGCCAGCACAACTCGTTCTTTCAATCCAACACGCCGTAGCGGCGGGGCCACCGCAACAACTCGCATCGGCGGGGCCTCAGGGAGCCCTGCAGGGCCCTCCCTGACCCCTGTTCATGTCAGAATCTGGCAGCGACAACGGCAAGCGCCCTTGCTGCACCTTGCAAGCAGGGTGGCCTTGTCTGCCAGCCGCCGCCAGCTGGCGAGCGGATTGAGCGCTGTCACCTGCAGTCAGGTCAACAGCAGCAGACCCCCATTCCTAGGGCAGAGGCACACCCTGCCACGCCACCCAGGCGAGCTATGGAGTTGCATTACAGCGGGAAGCTGCACAGTTGCAGCGGGGCCGCCGAAACAGCCAGCAAGCAACAAGGTGCGTTTTGGTTATCACCAAAAAAAGCAGATGGGCAGTTGCTACAGCGGGTTCTGGGGAAAAGTGCAATTCAATGATGCATGCAGCTGTGCAAGTGTGATGAGAGATTGGGTCAGGCGAGGTACATCACATCAGCACCGCTGCGGCCTGGCTGGCTGCCGGGGGGGGGAGTGTCGGTCAGTAAGAGAGCGGCCCAAGCGACGGTTTTCGGGGCTTGGGCACGCAGAGAGAGTGTGGGACGGGGATGATACACAGCCCAACTAGGGCTGGTGCTGTGTCGCAGCCGGGCAGCCGCTCGCTGTGAGGTGGTGCCGGCTGCATCGGAGCAGAGCGTCTGACGGATCTGATGCCTGAAGGAAAGCAGGGCTGCGCCGCGGGTGACGCGCCGCCCCCGGGCTGGTGCTGGCCACGCCGCTCGCTGGCTGCGCTGCGCGGCCAGCGAGGTCGGCGGGTTCGCCTCGGCCCGGCTCCCCCCAGCCTCACTCCACTCCCTTGAGCAGGCCGGAGCCGTCGATCTGGGCCACCACCTCGTAACCCACACCGTTCTCGGGGTAGGGGCGCTGCTCGCTGTTGGCTGCCAGGTGGGAGCGGTCCAGGATGCGGTCCAGCATCTGCAGCACGGTTGGGCGGTACGGCTCAGTACCCCAGCAGCTCGGCAACCCAGCATGCCGAGGCCGTCCACGGCAGGCCGCAGGCTCCAACGCGCCAAAGCTGCTCGGGGTCGGTGCCCCGCATCAGGCCACCGCCTGCGTGGCTGCAGGCTGCGCGCCCGCATGCCGGCAAGGTACGTGCCCATGCAGTGCCCAGCCCCTGCCCGCCCACCTTCTCGTCCACCTCGCCGCTCTGAGGCACGTCGTTCAGGCTGATGTCGGCCTTCAGCAGGTCGAGGAGCTCGTCTGCCTTGAGGCTGGAGTTGCCCTTGGAGGGCTGCGAGGGCAACCACAGTTGGGGGGTTGGGGGAGATGGGATGCGGGAGCGGGCAGAGGGTGATGATGCAGCGAGCGATGGATGACGAGAGAGAAGGGTAGGGCAGGGGGGGGGGAGGGCAGGGAGCCTGCACCCCGCAGAGCACGAGGCTTGCGGTGCATGGCTGCGCTGGGCTGGGTGGGCGCACCTCTGCCGCGCTGCCGCTGACGTCCAAAAAGGCGCCCTTCTTGATCACCAGCCGCTCCAGCATCAGCTTCTCGTTGGCTCTGGAGGCAGAAGAAAGGAGGCGGGAGGAGGGGAGAAGGGGAGGGGTCAGGATGAGCGGGCAGGGCACGCAAGCCGGCGGCGGGGCATCCAAGCCAGGCGAACACGAGGAGGAAGAACGCAGCAGGGCGGCGTGCCGGCCATCCTCACCGCGCGCAGCCGCAGCCGCCCCCCCACCTGCGCAGCATCTTGCCCTCCACGCTGTGTGCCGTGGCCAGCCGCATCACCAGCACCGGCTTCTGCTGGCCGATGCGGTGGCAGCGGTCCATGGCCTGCAGGTCCTGGTGAGGGTTCCAGTCTGGGGCAGAGGAAGAAAGCGGGGAGGCGGGCAGAGGGGCGGCGGGCAGGTCAGCCGACGCGAGCGGGAGGGCAGGGGTGTAAGTCTGACCTCGGGTGGAGCAAAGCATTGCGTGTAAGAGGAGTGAGGCCAACAGCAGCGGGGAAGGGATGATGATCATGCAGGGCAAGGGGCGCAGCAGCGCTGCAGGGGCGGCGCCCGCCCACCCGAGTCGTAGATGATGCAGGTGTCTGCGGCGGTCAGGTTGATGCCCAGCCCGCCGGCCCGCGTGGACAGCAGGAAGACCTTGCAGTCGGGGTCTTCGTTGAAGCGCTTCATGTTCTCCTGGCGGTCCTGCAGGCGGTACACGGGAAGGAAGAAAGAAAGCGCAGGGCAGGGCGCTGAGGCACGCGACGCAGCAGGAGCTGAAGCGGGCCAGCCCGGCCCCCAGGCATGGCCAGCCAACGCAGCAAGGAGCCAGCCATCACCAGCAGGGAGCAGGGTCCGGCCAGCAAGTCCTGCCCCGCGCCGGCAGCCCACCGCACCTGCCAGCAGATGGAGCCGTCGATGCGGCAGTGCCCCACCTCCCGCTGCTCCAGGTAGCTGGACAGCAGGTCCAGCATGGTGGTCATCTGCGGTACCATGGGGCGGTACATACAGCGGTGCATGAGCGCGAAAGCGGCAGCGCAGCAGAGGGCACCGCCAGGTGAGAGCGGTGCGTCGCGGTCGACCCCCAGCAGCCAGTCCAGCCCTCCCAGGCACCCCCAGCCGGCACTGCTCCTCTGCCTCTGCCTCTGGCGTGTGTCGCAGGTTTCTGTGCAGACATGCAGGCTGCCAACACAAAAGCAAAAAGTGGCAGGCCCCCACCTGCGAGAAGATGAGGACTTTGTGGCCCTCGGGCAGCAGGCGGGTGAGCAGGCGGTCCAGCAGCGCCATCTTGCCGCAGTCCCGCACCATCTCCTCGGGGGAGGGGAAGAACACGGAGCCTGCGGGAGGGTGGCGAGGGCAGGGCAGGCGGTGGGTGGACGGTTGCGCGGCACCGCAGCGCAGGGCAGGGGCTACCCAAGTCGTGCAGGCTTGCTCGCCGCTAAACATGGCGTCCCGTCCCAGCTCTGCGCTCAGCCCAGCCCAAGGCAGCCCACCCACCGTCAAAGGGGCCCGTGATGAGGTCAGGGTGGTTGCAGTTCTTGCGCATCTGCATCAGCACGTTGTTGAGGGAGGCCACGCTGGGGCCGCCCCGCCCGCGCGACATCTTGTTCATCTCCTCCTGCGCGCAGCAAGCCAAGCCCGCAAGGGGGGGACCACGAGCAATCAGCCTGGTCTGTGTCGCTCTCCTCGCAGGCAGGAGTCTGCGCGCCACACGAGAGTGGCCCCTGCAGCCTCACACGTGCGCCCAGCCTGCTCAGCAGCCCCCTCTGCTCGCCCTAGCGCTCACGTTGAGCGTCTTGTCCAGGAGCTGCTGGTTGAGCTCGCGCTGCTTGTCGGCCATGCGGGCGTACAGGATGACCTGCGGCGATGGTGGCGTGGCAGTGCGGGTGAGTGTTGAGTGCAGCAGGCTGGCGGGTGGCAGGGTCACGAAAGGAGCGCAGGCCAGCCCTCGTTGCTGCTGCTGCTGCTGCTGGGCGATTGCTGTCGGGGGCAGCACGCAGGTGGCGGCCTGCAGGGCGGCACGCGGAACGTGCGGGCACGCAGGCGAAAGGAATGCAGGCCAGCCGCGTCGCCGCACCTCCATCTTGCCCGGCAGGCTTGTCTCCACGTCGGTCTTGACGCGGCGCAGCAGGAAGGGCTTGAGGATCTGGTGCAGCTTGGACACCACCTTGTTGCGCTGCTCCTGCGCCAAGATCTCCTTGTCGGCGTTGGCGTGGCCCACCGCTGATGTGAAGTCGAACCAGGACTCGAAGTTTTCCAGGGAAGAGAAGACGTCGGGGAGCAGGAAGTTGAGCAGGCTCCACAGCTCCGTCAGGTTGTTCTGCAGCGGCGTGCCTGCAGGCGGGCGAGGAGGGGGAGGGCGGGCAAGTGGCGGTGGGGCATGTGAGGGGCTGGTTAGGCGGAGCTGGCAGGAGGGAGCGTGCGGGGCGTCAGCCCTGGCAGCTGCCCGGCAAGCCCTGCCCTTCAGCAACCCAGCCCCGGCCCCAGCCAGCCAGCCGGTCTCGCACGCACCCGTCAGCAGCAGCTTGTTTTCGGCATGCAGCGTCTTGAGCTCCCGGATCAGCTTGCAGTTCATGTTCTTCAGGCGGTGGCCCTGCAGGCGCCACAGGGGGCAGGCAGGCAGGCAGGGAAGGAGGGGGGGTGTGGCCGGCCAGGTCGCGAGCAGGCTGGCGGCAGCGCCACCAGACCGCCTCCTTCTGCTGCCCGCTAGCATCCCTCGACTTGCCACCAGTGCTGCCGGCTGCACCACACAACATGTGCCACATACAGTACAGTAACAGTGCAATATTGTACTGTATGGTACTGTGCAGTACCACACCTCGTCCACCACGATGTACTTCCACTGGTACCGCCCCAGCGCCTTGACGTCCGCCAGCAGGATCTCGTAGCTGGTCACCACCACCGGGAACTTGTCGTCGATGCGGCCTGCAGGGGAGGCCAGGGAGGGAGGGTGAGGGCGAGCAGGGAGGGAGACGATCAGCGAGAAGAGCAGGGAGAAGAGCAGGGAGGGAGGCAGGGGGGAGGTAAGGGCAAGCAGGGGTTGAGCGAGGGAGGGCGGGAGAGAAGAGTGTCCAAGGAGAGGGAAAAAGCAAGCAAGCAGAGGATTGCGCACTGCTGCTCCCTGGCCCCGCACCCACCCGTGGGCATGCGGCTGCTGCGGATCTGCTGCCGCTCCTGCTTGGAGCCGTGGTAGAGGACGACCGGGAAGCCGGGGGCCCAGCGCTCAAACTCAGACACCCAGTTAGTCAGCGTGCTCAGCGGGCCCAGCACCATGTAGGGCCCCTGGATGTGCCCCGTGTTGCGCAGGTGGCACAGGAAGCCGATGGTTTGCACCTGCGGTGGCGGCGGCGGTGGCTGTGTGGATGGCGCACAGTGCGGGCCACGTGCCCCAAACGCCACGCCCAGCCCCACCCTCGCACGTGCACCTGCCGGCCCGGGCCCCAGGCTGCAGCACCAGGCCGCCGGCCGGCCCTGCCTCACCGTCTTGCCCAGGCCCATCTGGTCTGCCAGTATGCCGTTGAGGCCGTTGCTCCACAGAGAGATGAGCCACTTCACGCCTTTGAGCTGGTAGTCGCGCAGCGCGCCCTTGAACCCTGGGCACATCTCCTGTGGGTGCGCGGGGCAGGGAGGAAAGCAGGACAAGGAAGGGCAGGGCAGGGCGGGGCAGGCGGCGCATACGCAAGTCAGCGCTGGCACAGAGGCGTCCAGCCAGCGCAGGAGTGCACTCGCTCGACCGCTGCGCCCCTCGCAACACACCCACACCGCACACACGTGTACCCATACACGCCCAGCGCATCTGCGCGGCACCTGCGTCAGCGCCTCCATGTCCGCCTTGGGCTTCTTGGCTGCCGCAGCACCGCGGCCGCCGCCCCGGCGCTTGCGCCCCGCCCCCGCCTTCTGCGCCGCCGCCTCCTCCGCCGCCTCCTGGTGCTTCTCCTCCACGGTGGAGATCTGGGGGGGGGACCGGATGGGTGGTAGGGATAGCAGGCACGGTTTGGGGTGTTTCCAGCTTGCAACAAGGCAGCCCAGACTCCCAGCCTCGACCCCTCCCCAGCCCCGGCGTCAACAGCCACAGGCCAGACAGGCCAGGCTGCGCCGCCGCCCCACCAAAGGCAGCCAGGCAGGTGCCACGCCACGGCAGCTGCCTGCTGCCGCCGCCGCGCCTGCGCCGCACACGAGGCATGCCGGTGCTGCCGCTGCCGCCGCCACGCGCTGGAGCAGCCGGCCCGCTCCCACACCGTGCCCGCTGCCAGAGCTGCCAGAACGCTGCCACCCAGCCTGTCCAGCTGCCAGCCCAGCGCCTGCTAGTTGTGTCCAGCTGCCAGAACACTACCAGCCCAGTGCCTGCCAGCCATGTGCAGCTGCCAGCCCAGCACCTGCCAGCCCAGCACCCGCCTGCCTCACCTGCTCTGTAAGGAACTGGGTGTACATCTGGGAGCGGTTGAGCAGCGCCTCCAGCTGGCTGAACTTGGCCTGGTCAAGAGCCTCCTGCTGCTGCGGGGAGCAGCGGGCGGGCAGGCGGGGCGGCCCCCGGCTGGGTGGCGGCACGGCACGGCACCAGCCGCAGGCACACACCACACTGCCGCAATGCTGTGCCGGCTGCGACGGCTGCGCCCCGGCTGCGTCGTCTGCGCCCTGCTGCCGAGCCGGGGTCTCACCTCAGAGGGCGGGTCTGCGGCGGCGGCCTCCTGCTGCCGCTCTTCCCGCTCCTTGCGCAGCCGCTCCTCCTCCTCCAGTGCCGCCTCTGGCGCGAAGAAGTGCTCCACCTCCGCCTCCTGGATGGAGTCGTTTGAGACGAGGCCCACACTGGCCACGCGCGACAGCTCGGGCCGCTTCTTAGGGGGGTGGGTGGCCACTGCATCCTTGGCCTCCTTGGCCGCGGGCGCGACGGTGACGGTGGCGGTCGCGCCCACGCCCTTCACCGCCGCTGCCGGCTCCTCGGCGGGCGGCGCGGCAGCGGCTGGGGCCTTCTGCGTGGGCGGCAGGGCGGCGGCGCTGGGGCTGTGGGAGGCCATCGCGGCGCCAGCCAGCCGCTGTCACCAGGGCTCCCCCACCACCCGTGCAGCGTGTTGCGGCCACTCGAAAGGGGCGCAAGTGATCGTTGCAGTCGGGACCGCCCTTGATAAACAAGGGAGGATGGGTGCACCGGTGCGCTCCCATCAACGTCTCTCCCTCCAAGGCGCAGGCTGGCACCGCCAGCGGCTGCACATTGAATCCATCAGCCAATCACCTTCATCCTTGTAGAGTTCATGCTTTGTGGGAAGCAGCCGCTGGGGTGGTGCAGCACGCCGGGGCCGGGCTGCAGGCTGCAAGTGGTGCCGATGCTGCTCGGACCGCTGCAGATGGATCCGGCTCGCTGCCACAATGCACTGGCAGTCTAATTCAGGGCAACGGCGTGTCCCACTGATTGCTGGGAGCTGCAGTTTTTGAAGGGCAACACATTGTCTGTACTGCTGGCAAGGACGTACAACTGGTCCTGTGGCTGGATTGCCCAAGGCTGCTTACCAGGATTAATCAGACCTGTGTCCTGGAGCCCTGCACTGGCAGCCCCGGTGCCGCACCATCCGCGCCTCGACATGGCTGCAAAAGCCGCCGAGGTTCCTGCTTCCGGTGAGGTGGCGCTGTGTAGTTGCATGCAATGGCATGGTGTGGAGGCCAGCGCGATGGCAGATGGACATGTTTATGCCCATGGGCCGAGCTCAGTCTGCTCTGCCCTGCAGCCTTCCCTCCTGCTGCCCAGGCAGCTGGCTGCATGGCGCCGCCAGCCACTCCCGCCATTGCAGACGTGGGGCCGGTGGAGGACGCCATACCGGCCGCTGGCGCCGCCCCCGCTGGCGCCGCCGCCGGCGCCCAGGCGCCGCCCCCGGAGCGTGCAGGCCGGCCTGCGGCTTCCAGCAGCGGCACAAGCAGCCGCTCGGCGTCCTCTTCCTCGTCCGATGATGAGGAGCAGGCCGCTCAGGCCAGCGGGGCGGGCTACTCAAGCGCCTCGGTGGGTGGGCGGCGAACCCGCTGCCTTGCTGGCTAGCTCAGGCCGCTTGCCTGCTCTGCCCGTCATCCCCTCTTCCCAGCATATCCCTGCAAGCGCGCCCTGGCTTCTGGAGATAAATGACTGGGACGTGCTGTGTGCCTTATTGTGTGGCTGCTGCAGGAGGAGGAGGAGCTGGTGGCCCGCCTGATGCAGCAGCTGTCGGTGGGGGAGGAGGTGGGCGTGCAGGTGGTGAGCAGCTGCTCCGCACTGCTTGCCGGGGCTGGGCGGCGACGCGCATGACGGCACGGCTCTTGCGCATGCCGGCTGCCAGCGCAGCCGCGGCCAGCACCCTGCCTGCCCGCGCACCCGCTCTGCCCTGCATCGCCTGGCCCGCCTGTTGACATCACCCCTCCCACTTTCCCCCCTCCCCGCTCCCGCCACCGTGCAACAGGCCAAGCAGCCGCTGCTGCCCAGCTTCGACCTGGCGGGCGTGGCGCAGCTAATCCAGGGGGGCCGGGCCAAGCGCATCATCTGCATGTGTGGCGCCGGCATCTCGGTCTCTGCAGGCGCGCCGGCAGCGGCAGCGGCGCCACGACAGAGCGCCGCAGCTGCCGTGCGCCGCGAGATGCCTACCGGCCAGCGCTCCAGCCTGCTGCCGAGCGCCGCCGCCCGGCTCACTCGCCGCCGCCGCCGTCGGCTGCTGTCGCTGCTGCGCCTGCCTTGCCCGCTGCAGGCATCCCCGACTTCCGCAGCCCCGGCACCGGCCTCTATTCGCAGCTAGCCAAGTATAAGCTGGTGAGGGAGAAAGCCGGAGCAGGGGGGCGTTTGCAGTTCGCTCAGCACACAAAAGAGGCTGCAGCAGCGCGCGCAGCGCAAGGCGGGCCGCCGCCGCTGTGCGGCACAGAGCAGCGACGCAGCTGCGGCAGCTGGCGGCGACTACTCCGCTGCCCACCTGCCTGGGTCCTTCCCTGACTGCCGCCCCACCCCTGCCCGCAGCCTTACCCGCACGCCGTGTTTGAGCTGGGCTACTTTCGCAGCAACCCGCGCCCTTTCTTCCTGCTGGCCAAGGTGCGGTGGGAGTGTGGGGCGGAGGTGCGCAGGCCACACAGAGCGCACCACAGCGCACCGCAGCGCACCACAGCGCAAAGGGTGGGAGGAGGAGGTCGGCACAGCAGCGTGGGGTTGGTGGCATGGGCGCGCACCCACCCCCCGCGCCGCCCTGTGCCCGCTGGCCTGCTGCCCACGCAGGAGCTGTTCCCCGGCAACTACCTGCCCACCCCCACCCACTTCTTCATGAAGCTGCTCCACGACAAGGGCCTGCTGCTGCGCTGCTTCACGCAGGCACGCGCGCACGCTGCGGAGGCCTGGGCAGCAGTCGCAGCCTCGCCTGCTCCACCCGCCTGGCACTGCCCCCACCCACACTCTGCCTGCCAAAACCCTCCTCTGGCCCGGGCTCCCTCCCTCCTGCCACCTCTCCACCCCTGCTCCTCCCAAACCCTCCCTCTGCGAAACATGAGTGACGCCGCCGTCCCTACCCTCCCAACCCCCTTGCCTCTACTATCCAGAACATCGACTCTCTGGAGCATCAGGCGGGCCTGCCCGCCGAGGCGGTGGTGGCGGCGCACGGCAACTTTGACAGCGCGCGCTGCATCAAGTGCAGGCGCCCGCACGACACGCAACACGTGCGGCAAGCGGTGTTTGCCGGGGACGGCAACCCGTGTTACTGCGTGAAGAAGGTGCGGCGCCGCGCCAGGCCGTGCGCCGCTGCAGGGCCGGGCCCAGCGCCCCAGCTGTCGCTGCCAGCCTTGGAACGGAACCCTGCCCGCTTCTGCGCCGCCATGGCTGAACCCGCTTGCCTCCCACCGCCACTGCCTCCCTCTTGAGCAAGCTCCCACAAGCTCCCACCCCTTGCTCCCACCCGGTTGTGCTGCCGCAGAGCTGCGGCGGGCTGGTCAAGCCCGATATTGTGTTCTTTGGCGAGAGCCTGCCCGAGCGGTTCTGGGAGCGCGTGCCGCTCGACTTCTCTGCGGCCGACCTGCTCATCGTGCTGGGCACCAGCCTGGTGGTGCACCCCTTTGCGGGGCTGATAGACCACGTGGGGCCCCAGGTGCCCCGCCTGCTGGTGAACCGCGAGGTGGCGGGCGAGGCCGCCGGCGGCACGCTGCCCGTCGGCCTGCGCCAGGGCTTCAACTTCGGGGCCGGCAACTACCGGTGAGTGGCTGCGGCCGCGCCTGGCCTCGCTTTCGGTGTGTGCAGCATGCCGAGAGCCGGTTGGCTGGCAGGGATGCGTGCGTGGCCCTCCCAGCCGCGCCGCCATTGCTGGCCGCGGCCAACGCTCCCGCCTCTGCCCCCCTGCTGGCCCCCTGCCTGCCTGCCTGCAGGGATGCTCTGTACCTGGGAGACTGCGACGCCGGGGTGCGCCAGCTGTGCCAGCTGCTGGGCTGGGAGGCGGAGCTGGATGCGCTCATTGCAGACGGCAGGCAGCACTTCCACCCGCCGCCACACACGCCCGCGGGCGAGGCGGGCGAGGCGGCGGCGTAGCTGGCACAGCCCTGCCCTGAGCATCCTCCCTGAGCATCCTCCCTCCCTGCCCTGAGCATCCTCCCTGCCCTGCCGTGGTGCGTTCAAGTCACTGGTTGCATCAAGGGGGCGCCTGCAACACACGCCTGCTGGCAGCCAGGGATCGATCGCGCGCGGTAATCGGGCGTGGGAGGCAGCAAAATATGGCTGGCCAAAGTTCATGCGCCCGATTGGGAGGGGTGCCTTCACGACAAAGGCACTCAGCAAGCAAGCACAGCAAGGCGAACAAGGCAGGAAGGGGGGCGGCCGTCACTTGGTTGGGCCATGCCGGTAAGGGACAGAGTGCACGCTCTGGGGCGCAGCGTGAAGGGCTGGCCCGTTCCGGAGCACACAAAAGATTGGATGATTGGGGGCACAGGGAAAACGACAGGATAGCGGATGGGTGTTGGAATGCCTTTGGCAGAAGAGAGGGAGGGCATCATCACGACGGCGCCCGCCTGTCAGCAGCTGCTGATGCAGGCAGGGCACGGTTCACTGGGCGGCTAGGCACGGGGAGGGATAAGCCGGCTTCTTTGGGGCGGGATCGAGAAGGGGTGTGGGTTTGTGTGTCGCGCAAGGGAAGCAGGGCAAGAGCTAACGGGGGGCTCCCGCCTCACAGGTTCAGGCATGGGGAGCATTTCCGGTACGGCGCGCCGGGTATCCCGGGCGCGTGACGCAAAAGTGGGGAGGGAAGGGAAAAGATGAGGGGTATAGCGGTGGCAATAGAGTGGCAATTCGCGGTGTGGCCTGGCGTGGCGCCTGAATGCAGGAGGGCCCCAAGCACGAGGCCAGCCCGCCAGCAGCCTCACGCCTGCGCCGGCACGGGCGCGGGCGCGGCGGCCGCCGCGGGCGGCGGCAGGTCGGGAGCCAGCGCCGCCACGCGCGCCTTGGCCGCCGCCTCCGCCTCCTCAGGCGTCATGGTGGCAGGCGCCGGCTGCTCCACCTTGGGCTGCTGCTGCGGCTGCTGCTGCTGCTGCTGGGTGGCAGCAGACGCCTCGGAGCCAGTCCCCTTGGCGGGCGCGGGCGCGGGCGCAGGCGCGCCGCCGACGGGCACCAGGAATGCGGGCGGGACGGTGACGCCCTGGGCCAGCAGCATGGCCAGCATGAGCGTGGCATCGCTGACGCCGCCCTCGGCGCCGCCCTCGCCCTCCCGGCCCGCGCCGGCCTCCGCCGCGGCGGGCAGCGGCATGGGGGGCAGGTGCGCCAGCGGGGGCGCCTCGCCGCCGCCGGGCAGCTGCTGCTGCGCCAGGTCGCTCATCCAGGTGGGCTGCAGCTCCTGCCACGTCTTCTCCACCAGGCTGTGCACGCACTGGCGCAGCGGCGCCTCTGCAAGGCGGCCAGGGATGGATAACCGCTGCGGTCGGAACGCCAGATACCAGCCACCAGCACCACACGCCAGGCAAGACGGCAGGCCTCGCCGCTAGCCGCCACACCACAGACACACACACACACCACGCCACGCCGCGCCACCACAGACCCCACGACAAATTGCACCACTGCACACAGGCACACACGCCGCCGCGCTGCCGCCACGCCACGGCGCCTCACCCGCGTCCCGCTTGAACTCGTGCTTAACCTTGTTGTCCAACTTGTACAGGCGCTGGCGCAGCGCGGCCAGCTCGGGGCGCAGCGGGATGGAGCCTGCGGGCGGGCAACAAGCGGTGGCGGCGGCGGTGGCGGGTCAGGGGTGGTGGCGGGGCGACATGAGGAGGGGGGATGCCAGCAGCAGGCTGGCGGCGGGCGGGCCCCAAGCCTGCCCTGGCTTGGCTCCGCCCGCCACGCGACAGCCGGCCTCCTCCCAGTCCCGCCCCGCGCGCCCAGCACGCCACAGCAGGCTCCCGCCTGCCGCAGCCGCTGCTCTGCAGCCTGCTCCCTGCAGCGCTCCCTGCGGTGCTCCCTGCTCCCTCCCTGCGGCCTGCTCGCTGCATCCACCCACCTGTGGGGCTGGCCTCGTAGACTGCCAGCTCCATGCGCACGCGCTCCAGCACGGCATCCACCTTGGCGGGGTCGCCGTACTTGCGCATGTACTCCTGCGGTATGCACGGTACGGTACCGGGCGGCGCAGGGGATACAGTCAGCGCAACGGCCGGCACGGGCGCCGCGCTGCAGCGCGTAGCCCGCTAGCGTATGGTCGGGCGGGGCAGCAGGCCGTAGAAGCGTGTGCGTGGCGGGGTGTGTGTGTGGGGGGGTAGGCTGGAAGGTGCTGGGCTGTGCGTGCGGCGGGCCCAAGCCCGCGCGGGCAGGCCGCCGAGCGGCGCGGGCGGGAGCGGGCGCCCACCTCGAGGCTGTGGGTGATCTTCTTGGCGGAGGTACGCTTGCGGTACGGCCACTGCTTGATGCCCAGCCGCCGCATGACCTTCTTGAGCACGGTGGAGGAGCCAAAGCCCAGGTGGCGGGCGGCGTCCACCTGGGTCATGTTGAAGCAGCCCTGCAAGGGACCGGAGGGCCGCGGGCGGCGGCGCAGGCGGGGGCATGTGGGGGTGTGCAGGCAGGGGCAGGCAGGGGCCAGGGGCAGGCAGGGGCCGGGGGCGCCGGGCAGGCGAGTGTGGGGAGGGGAGGCAGGCGCCAGGGGCCGGGGGCACAGCTCGAGCCCTGCTGAGCGCTGGGTGCCGCGGCAGGTGCGCAGGCGCAGGCAGGTGCAGGCGGGCAGCGCACCTCCTGCTCCAGGATGGTGATCGTGATCTGGCTGGAAACATACTTGCGGGGCCCCAGCACCGCCGGCGGCTTGCTGGGCTTGGGCCGCTTGGCGGGGCGCGCGCCCTCGCCCTCCTCCTCGCCCTCGCCCTCGCCCGCGGCGGCGGCCGCGGCGGCGGCGCCGGCCGCCGCCGCCCGCGCCCGCGGCTGCTGCTCGCCCAGCGGGGCGTCGCTGTCAGACAGGGCGGCGCCGCCTAGGTCCGAGTCGCTGCCATCAGCCACCTCCTCCTCCTCTTCCTCCTCCATCGCCGCGCGCTGGCGCAGGCGCAGCCGCTGCTGCGCCGCGGCCTGGCGCTGCTGGCGCCGGCCGCCCGCCGCGGGCTGCTCGTCGCCCGCGGGCAGCTTGCTCTGCGTGTCGGAGCTGCCGCCGCTGCTGCTGGCATCCTCGCCCAGCCTGCACCCAAACCAAAACGGGGGGGGGCGCAGAGCAGCGAGGGGAGGTTGGAAACAAGTGCACACACCTCCGGAATTCAAAAGCCAGCGCTCCCGGCGCGCAGGAGGCGGCGGGCAGCGGGTGTGGATGGGCAGGGCGCATGCTGCTCGTAGCCGCAAAAGCATTGCGAGCCGCCCGCACGCGTAGCCGCCCGCACGCGCCGCACCTGCCCAGGCCGGTGGTGCCGCCTTCCTCCTTGCCCTCTCCCTCGTCGTTGGCTATGTTGGCCAGCAGGAAGAGCAGGTTGTCCTCGAGCTCCAGCTGGGCCTTAACCTCTGGCCGCAGGAGCGGCGGGCCAGGGCTGGCCGTGCCGCTGGGGGCCGCCTTGACGTCGGCCAGGTGGTTGGCGGCGGCGTGCTGCTCCCGAGTATCGAGCCGCGTCTCCATCCCCTCTGGACGCCTCCAGGCTGCAGGGAGGCCGCCTGGCTGATGGGTGGGTGGGAGGAGAGGGGTAGCCCGCGTGTGGGAGAGGGGCGGGGTCTGGGTGCAGGCGCGCCCGGTGGTCTGCTGCCTGTGGGTGCGCCGCGGTCGGGGCGGGTCCTGCCGCGCTCGAAAGCCGATGGCGCGGCCCGGCCTGCACACAGGGGCGAGGGACGGCGTGGGGGCACCCGAGTGTGGGAGGCCTGGAGGCAGCAACCGAGTGCCCGGGCCCCTGCAGCATGCGCCGTGCACCCCTACACCACCAGTGCAGGTGCAGCTGCCGATTTGGGGTGCCCACAGCGGTGCATCGCGCCGCGGCCAGTGGGGGTTGTGTGGGCGGCCTCCTACCTGGTGCTAGCGGCGTCACGTCCCCAGGGGTGATGGTGGTATGCAGGAGGGCAAGCGGGGCGGCCTGGGTTGGGGTAGCGCGTGCAAGAAAGGCGGGTGCCTGTCCATGGGCGCTCCTCACCTCCCGCGTGGGCTTGGCTGGGGGCACGCCAGGAAAGTGTGCAATGACGCCAGAATCGTCCTTGCCCGGCGCTGGGCTTAGCGCTGCCACCCCCGCCGACCTGCCCCTGGTGAGGGCCCTTGCGGGGCGGCGGCGGGAGCGGAGCCCTTCCTCTCCCGGCAATTGCAGGCCCTGGGCGCGTTCCTTCTTGCTCTGTTCCAGTGAATTGCAGTTTCGAGTTTGTAAGGAAAAACCGGGTATGTATTCTGGAGTCAATTCAGCAAATGGCGGCCAGCGTAACAGCGTGAGGAGTGATCTTGGCGCCGCACTGCGTTGGTGGCGGCCCACATAGGAGCCGCTGCCGATGTTTGGGGCGCCTCATCGTTCCACACGCACTCTCAGACTGTTGTGCTGCCGCGTGACTGTGGCCAGTGAGCGGGGGCCGCATGCCTCCGTGTGGGCACATCGGCACCCAGCATAGTGGCTGTGGAGGTCAAGTTAGGGCTCATTACAGCGGCGGGCTATTTTTGTAGTACATGATTCTCAACCATACAAAAGTAAAAAGAAGCGGGGTTCCACCAATCAGCAGAAACACTAACTACCCGGGGTGTGAGAGGGGGATTATGTTGGGAGGGGAGGCATTCGGGTTGGTTCGTGAAGGGCAAGTTCAGGTGTTAAAAGGAAAGTCGCAGCGGTCAAAAGTACTTTATGGCGGTGGTTGGTGGTGCTGCCAATACATCATATGCTTGACGGCTGTACAAACCCACAGATGCTGTCGCCATGAAATGACGCCAGGAAAAAAGGCCGCTGTGTGCTGGCGGAAAAAGTGTGCGTCTGTGTGTGGTTTCAGGGAGAGGGGTCCAGGAGCATGGTCAGGGGTTGAAAAAGTGATGGTGATGATTTCAATACAAGTCCCCAGCTGTGGCAACGAGGGTTTCGGTTGCAAAGGTGGGATGATGTCGAGGCGTGCTCCAGCCTCAAGCTGTCAGTCAGCTAGTTTCATTCGCACGGGTTTCACTCCAACACTGCGCACCAATTGCGCCGGTTTCATCAGCTGCCCCAGCTGGGCGCAAAGCGCTCCTCCAGCGTCTGCATCAGCCGCTCCACCTCCGGCCGCATCTTCTCCTCTGCGGCAGGCGCGGCAGCGGGGCGGAATGCAAGCGTCAGGGGACGGCAGCCATCAGGGGATGGGACAGTCCAATGCGCGCAGCAGGCCGGGTTCCTCACTCTTCTCGGTGTCCTTCTCCTCATTCTTCAGCTTGTACACCACCTGGCGCCAGGCGGTCACCTCTTGCGGCAGATCAATGGAGCCTGCAGCATCACGCCAGGGGAAGGATCTCAGAAGCGAGGCCCCCACCTCCGCCCATGCAGCAGCAGCACCACCACCACCACCAGCAGGTCCCACCTGTGTGGCTGCGCAGGAAGGGCGCCATCTCGCGGCGCACCCCCTCCAGCACCGCCGCCACCCTGGCTGGCGGGCCGCTGTACTGCGGCAGGTAGCACTCCAGCCCCGCAATCATGCCGCGAACCGTGCTGCGCTTGCGGTTGGGCCACTGCTTGATGCCCAGCCTTGACATGGCCTGCACAGGTGGGGCGGGTCGCCAGGTGCGGCAAGCGGGAGCAACACATGAGTGCCAGCAGAGCAGCAGAGTGACCCAACGAGTGCAGGACGGCCCTGCTACCTGCACCGTTGCTCCATGCACAAGCAGAGGCTGTCTTCATATCAGGCATGGCACTCATGCGCACCTTCTTGAGGGTGGTGGGGCTGGAGAAGCCCAGATGCCGAGCGGCACGCGCCTGCGTCATGTCAAAGCAGCCCTGCAAGGGAAGGGAGGGCGGTGGAGACACAGGTGCACGGTGAGCAGGGGTTGGTGCAGGCGCAGCTGCATCGCAGCGCATAAGCTGCTGCCTGATGCGCATGATTCCCCCACACCAAACACAGCCCGAGCCAGGGCCGACAGGCAGAGGGCACCCGTGCCCCGGGAGCCAGGCCTGTGTCGCAGGCGGGCCCAGGCTGACAGCCTCATGCCCGGCGGCTGCAGCTCACATGCTCCTCAAGGATCTCAATCGTCAGCTCGCATTCCCAGTACTTGCGTGCCATGGGCGCCCCCGCAGCCTCCTGCCGCTGCTTCTTCTGCACGCCGCCGCGGGGCCCCAGGCCGGCGCCGCACTCGGCAGGGCTGCGCCCGCTGCCCCTGCTGCCGCTGCTGCCACGTGAGGTGGCCGGCTGCGGCGGGGGGGCGGCATCCGGCGGGCCCTCCTCCGCCTGGACCTGCTGCGCATGCTGCTGCTGCTGCGGGGCCGGGCCCAGCTGCAGGCCCGCCACCGCAGCAGCAGCCAGCCCGCCGAGGTTGGCGGCCGCGGCGCAGGCGCTGGCGCTGCTGCCGTCGCTGCCGCTGCTGGTGTTGCTGGTGCAGGGGCACGCCGCCTGGGTGAGATTGGAGGCGGTGTCGAGGCTGGCAGCGGGCTCTGGCATGCCGCTGCTGTGCTGGCCGCCGCCCGCCGGCCAGGAGCTGCACGGCAGGGGTGCGGCGCAGCAGGGGCGTGAGAGGGTGCTGCCTCCGCGCCTCCTTGCAGCATCTTGGCGGGTGGACAGGGGGTGGGCTCAGGCTGGAGGTGGCAACACACAAGGCAAGGTGCTTTCAGAAGGGCAGCACAGGTGCGCCCAGCACTACCCACCTGGCGAGGTCGGTTGGCCGGAGCGAGATGCTACGGAGGGCTCCCCATACCGACAGCAGCGTGGCAGCCGTGCTGGCAGCTGACGCGCTGCTGCTCGCGGGCAGGTCCCTCCCTGCGGCGGGGGGCTCCCCCCAGCACATGCCAGTGCCAGCGGACGCGGCGCTGCCCGCAATGCCGGTGGCAGCGGCGGCGGGCAGCTGCTGCAGCCAGTCACACTTGATGGGGCCGCCTCGCGAGGCCAGGAGGGCAGAGGTGGCGGCGGCTGTGGGCTGTGGGTCGTCCACACCATCTGAGAGCGGCACCACCGTATCGTGGCACACGGGCAGGTAGGCAGTGCTGCACATGGCGGGGCAAGGAGGGCAGCCGGGGTGCGGCCGGCGTTCAGTTTTTGCAGAGCTCAAGCTCGTCCCCCGCTCCAACAGGCAGCGTGGCCAGGCCAGGGCGATGGCAGCTCACGGCGTTGTCTGCCTGGCCAGCAGCCGCCACTCACTTTCCGGGATATGAAGAATACGGCACCCAAGGGCCGGCGGCGGCGGCGCAGGGGTCATAGTTGAGGCTCAGGAGCTCGGCAGCACCCAGCAGCATCTGCAGGGATAGCGGATGGCGGCAGCTTAAAGCAAGTGCACAAACTGGTGCGCTGACGGCCGTTTGCGGCTGGGGCCACCCTTGCGCCGCCGCCGTGCTGGCCATTGGTGCGTCACGGCAGGCGCAGCTGCCTTCCAAGCGGCCTGTACCAGTTCCTCGAGTGCTGCTGAGGAGCGCAGCGGCACTTGCCTGCATGCCCGCATCGCCTTGCTCGCATGCCAGGTTGAGGGCAACCGGCGGTGGGGGCGGGGGCAGCAGGTTGGAGTGCAGGCGGGCTGGGGCCCCGCCCGTGCCCACCAGGGCGTGCGGCTGCATCCCAAACGTCGGTAGGCGGGTGCCTGCAGCAGGAGTTGGAACTCCAGCAGGCACCTGGTGCAGGGCCCGTGGATTGTTACCGCGCCGATCGGGACCGAGCTGCCGCCTCTGTCCCCCGCCTGCGGCCACACATCACCGAGCAGTTGCAATTAGGCGGGGCGGTCACGGCAGACGGGCCCAGGAAACAGTGATGCAGCCCGCTCCCAAGTCCACCGCCCAGGGGGCTGCTCTAGCAGGTTTGCAGGCATGCCCAGACTGTCAACAAGTGGCAGAGACATGTTCAGGCCTGCCTGGTGGGGAATAAGCAAGCCTCTTGTAAGGTCAAGCAGGGCGGGAGAGCTCTGGGCTCCGCCTGTCAGCAGCAGGATGAGGTCAATTGGAGCCCGGGGATGGTCTGCAAGCGTTTGGAGCCCTGCAAATCGGGGGACCACCTCTCTTGGCTACGGACGGGGTGGGAGGAAACTCGGGGAGGATTGGCGGGAACGTTTGCATCGCCTCCTGCTGCGTCCTTCCTGGGTACCGGCAGCGCTATCACAGCCGTATGCACGTTTGGAGGCGTGTTCGCGGCGGGGCGATGCATGGTATCGAGAGGCAGTGGCGGGAGGGGGCGGCCGCTCCGCTCCCTCCCGCATCCCGCACCGTAATGCAGCACCCCAGCACCAAATACCTTCCAAATACCTTGGTTCCGATGCACGAGGCGGGCATGTACCGCCATGCATGGCAGGGAACGTAAACTGTGCGCTGAAAAGAGGTGCTCGCGTCTCGCTGAACAATTGAGGCATTGGCCACAGAGGGCACCCGCTGACAACCGCGGCTCTTACAGCAGCAGCATCAAGGGCTAACGCGGCCCGGAAAGTCAAAACTGCACAATTCAAAACTGGCAATCGCCGAGGCTGGTGCTTGGTGCGTCCCGGACATCTGCCGGCGCCGGCGAGCCAGCCGAGCAGCTTCCCCAGGCGGAGACCCCAGGCGGAGTGGCGCGGCTCGCCGCCGCTACTGGATGCAGCACTTCTGGCTGCTGTGCCGCGCGATGGGCACCTCCCGCTCCTCCACCAGCTGCTCCACCTCGGGGTGGGCCGCTGCCAGCGCCTTGAGCAGCGCAGACGCCTCCTCCGCATGGCAGATGTCGGCCGCCGGCGGGCCGCCAACCACGCCTGCTGCGCCCCCCGGGGCATCGCCCTCCGCGCCGCTGCCCGCCCCACCATCCTCCTCCTCTCGCTGCCGAGCCTGCAGCCGGCGAAGGCTCCAAGCAAGCAGCTCAACACGAGGCTTCGGCGGGCAATCATACAACACAAGCCGCCCGAAGGCGACCGCTCCACGTGAGGCGACATGCTTCAGTTGCATGGGCCTGGTTCAGCTGGCGGCACTTGCCGTCCCCGTCTCTGCCCTACACTCGCCGCCCCAGCAGCCCACCCACCCACCCACCTCTTCCGCATCTGCCACCTCTATTAGCTGCACCAGCATGCGCGCCAGCGCCGACGCTTCGCACCCCAGCAGCCCCTGCTCAGCCGCCAAGCACTTCTTGTCGTCCTTCGCCAGCAGCCACAGCGCCCGCGCCGCCACATCCTGCACCTCCTGGCTGCCTGCGGCGACCGGCATGCAGTGGAAGCGCGGCAGAGGATGTTGACACCGAGCACTTGGCATCAGGCAGCAGAGCGGCTCCGGTGGGAGTGCGCAGCCTGCCGGCAAGTGCATACAGCAGCGTAGCGCAAGAGATGGGGCCCTGCGGCACGCACCGTGCAGCAGGTGCTGCGCCACGCCGGCCACCGCGCCCGCCGCCCGCAGTTCGGCGGCCAGCTCCGGCCGGCGCTCGCACAGCGTGCCCAGCAGGCTGACGGCCGCCTGGCTGGCGGGGCGCCCGCGCCCCGCCCGCAGCTCCGCCAGCAGCGGCACCAGCAGGAGGTCCAGCTGCTGCGCCGCCGCCTCGCCGCCGCACTCCATGCCATCGATGAGAGCATCCAGGAGCTCCAGGGTCTGCCCAGAAGGGGACACAAGCAGCAGGCAGGCAGGCAGGCAGGCGGGCAGGCAGCGTGAGAGCCACGGGGCGGCGCGAGCGGCACGCCAGCGGCACGGCACAGCCGGGCAGCCACAAGGAAGGCGGCAGGCAGTGGGCCCCCGCACGCGCCAGCCGCACGCACGGCGGCGCCGACGGGCGCAAACACCAGCGGCAGCTCCCGCCTCGAGCAGCCGCCCGTCGGCCGCACCTCCAGCTGCTGCTGCTGCGTCAGCGCCTGTACCAGCCCCTCCAGGTATGCCAGCTTCCCCTCCTGGTTGAAGCTGCACAGCGCCGCCAGCGCCTCGGCGGCCGCCTCCCGCGCCGCCTCGCTCCGCTGCAGCGCCATGGGCACCAGGGCGGCCACAGCTCCGCTGTCGACAAAGTCTGCGGGGAGGGAGGGAGAGGAGGGAGGCCGTGGAAGTGCGGCGGAGCAGGCAGCTTGAGCTGGCACCATGGCTGCGAAGGTGCAGGTACTGGTATGGGGCAGGGGGACTCGGGGAGCCGTGGAAAGCAGTACGCTGGAAAGGTTACGAGCGGGTTCCCGGGCTGTAGGAATTACACATGGCATCGCCAGCCGCCTGCAGCGCACCTGACTGGCAGGGGTTGAGGCTGACCCGCTCCACCGACGAGTCCAAGCCCACCAGGGGCCCCGTGGCCAGGCGCGCCATGCTGGGCGCGGCGTGGCGGCACACCGCCGCCACCGCCTCGGCCGCCTTGGCGCCCGCCGTGGCGTCGGCCAGCAGCTCTGTGACGTAGAAAGCGGCGTCGCCGTTCACCAGCGCCCGCTGGATGACGTACTGGTCGTCGCTGGGGTCGATCAGCGAGATGACCTTGTCCAGAGCCTGCGGCAGGAGTCGGGGGTCAATAACAGCGTGGGCGGCGGGGTGGTGGCGGCGGCGGCGACTGGGCGCAACCTCGAGGCTCCCAGAGCCGCTCAGCGCCGTCACCCGGCTCCGTCAGCTCGCTTCGGTGCCTCCAGTGTTGGGTGCGGCGCGGGGGAGGCACCAGGCTCGCAAATCCCTGCGCACATGATGTTGCGGCGAACCCTTCCTGCTGCCTCACCCTCAGCTTGTGCTCGAAACCGCGCTCGAGCGTGCCCTGTAGCTGATGGAGCGCCTCCTCCACCTCCCCTTCGTCGTCTCGGCTGCGCTTCATTTCAACCAGTATGCAGGCTGGGCTGGGGTTGGAGCGATAGACAAATGGAGACGCGCTGCGCGGTTGTGTGCCATCATTGTCCCACCAGCCAGGTATGCGCCCGCCGCCATGCTGTGCTGGCAGCACACCGCCGCCGCAGCAGGGCGCATCATGGGCACTGTGGATGTCGAACTTACAGAGTGCCAGAGGACTCCAATTAGCAAAGGCGGCAGCGGCGGCACACTTGGGTGCGCTGCCAAACGCAGCGGGCGTGCTGCTATGTGCACTGCTGGGGATGCCCACGGTGTGGGTCAAGAGCCGACAGCTGTCCACATGCTGCAGCAGCCCAATGAATGTGGGGGAAGGTTGGATGGAGCACGTACAGAAGAGTAGAATTCAGGAGAGGGAGCAATCAAGACGGACGAATAGCAAACAGAGACTGCGATGGAAGGATGGAGATCAAGGGATGGGCACAGGCAGGAGACGACGGGATACGCTCAGCAAGTTCTGGTGGTGGTGTCAGGAGGCTCCTCGAGTGATGCATGGTTCGGGATCGGATGGCGCGGGTGGGGGAGCCTGGCCAGGCAGCGCCAGCATCTGCCAAAACCTGAGTGATCGGCTGGGTGGCTACCTCGAAAGCTAGGACGACATCTGGATGGCCTGGCTTGCTGCCATCGGATTGAAACCTGCTGCGCCGCCTCGCCACTACTGCGCGCCGTGCTGGAGCGGGTGCTGTTGCCGCCGCTGCTCCTCGGCCGCCTCTGCCACGCGCCCGACGGCTTGCAGGCGCCGCAGGCCGCGCGAGGGTCGCCGGTAGGCGGTCACAGCCGGCCCAAGCACGGCATCCACCTCGCAGATCGTCAGCACCCGCTTGGCGGCAGAGGGCCGCCAGATGGCGATGAACTGCCCCGCCGGCGCGCCGGCGGGCCCCGCCGCGCAGGCAAAGGTCCTGCGCTGGCCGCGCAGGATGCCCGGCACGGCGGCGCACAGGGTGAAGTTGGCTGCCGAGGAGGGGCCCGTCCAGGGCGACACTCCAACCATGATCTGGGCGCCCTGGAAGTCGGCCACGCAGGCGCACTCCGAGGTGGATTGGATGCTGACAGACAGCACCGTGCGCACGGCGGGCAGCTTGACGGCCCACCAAGGGTCCGCCTGCCGTCCTGCAGGCAGGCACACGGGCAGGCAGGGAGGCGGCAGGGGGAGGCGGGTGAGAGGGCTTCATGGCAGGATGTGCGGTTTCAGAACAGGTGTGTAGGGTGGTCACCATGCGCATGTGGGAGCTTGGCAGGCGCAGCCGGCTGCGGCAAGCGCTCGCTGCCAGGCGCGTGTGCCACCACCACTCACTCGTCTGCGCGCACGACCCCTGCCACACCCGCCGCTTGCGGCACTCGCCGTCGATGGCGTTGTTGGCGCCGTTGGCCTTGTAGGTGGAGCTCTGGGTGGCGGAGTTGAGGCTGCGCAGCGGCGTGGTGCCGCACACGGGCGGCGCGGTGGTGGAGATGGCGGCGCCGCCGGGGACGGGCACCACCGCGGGCGGCGGCGGGCGCGGGCTGGGCGGCGGCGGCGGCGGCGAGGCCGCCGGCACGTTGACGGGGGTCAGCGCGCCGCGCTGCACCAGCAGCTGGCCCAGCGCGATCATGGCGGCCGACACGTTGAGGCGGCCGCCGGTGATGGTCTTGTCTGCCGCATCAGGCACCTTGTCCACACTGTTGATGATCAGGCTCTTCAGGTCGGCATAGCCCAGGGTGATGCCCCGGCTGCAAGAAGGAAGCAAGTAGGGGAGGCATGGAGGAGTCGGGGAGGCGGGCGGGCACCGCCTCGGCCAGCTCACCGCCAGCTGGCAACGCCAGGGAGCACGTGGTGCAGCAGCAGGGCTGTGCCTGGCGGCCTTGCAAGCAGGGCGGTAGGGCGCCGCTGGCAGACTCCAGATCGAGCTGGGCGGGCAGCAACGCGGTACGGCAGCACGGCTGCCGCACCTCATGGCCTGGGCCTGCAGCAACGCGGCGGCGCCCGCCACCATGGGGCACGCCATGGAGGTGCCCCACATCAGCTTGTAGGCTCCGTCCATGAAGGTGGAGAAGATGCCCTCCCCGGGGGCCAGCATGTGCACAGTGCCTCTGCAGGGTGGGGGCAGGGCAGGGCAGGGCAAGCTGGCATCGCCTCTTCCATAACCACACCCACTCCCACTCCCACTCCCACTCCCACTCCCGCGATTCCCGCACGCCGGCGCCAGTACGCCCCCACACACCCACACACGTCTCCCAGAAGCTCACAGGCCGATGTTGGAGAAGGAGGAGACGAAGTCTTCCTTGCCCGAGGAGGCCACGCTGATCATGTTGTCGCTCTTGTAGGATGTGGGGTACAGGGGCACGTCGTCCAGGTTGACGCCCGAGTTGCCCGAGGCCACCACGAACAGCTGGCCCGCGGACTGGGAGGAGGCGATCTCGCGCTCCAGGAAGCCTGGTGGGAGGGAAGGTGGAGGGAGGGCGGGCGGGAAGGGGGCAAGGCGGAGGGCGGTGTTTGGGCGAATGAGATGCGGAAGGCCGGAGGCGGGAAGGCCGCGGCCCGGAAGCCCCCGTTGTCACAGCATTGCCGCCGGTGCCGCAGCAGCCACCAGCGCCATCCCGGCTGGCACTCACTGGAGTACCCGATGCCTCCCCAGGAGTTGGAGGTGATGAGGGCGCCCTCCTGCTTGCACAGCTTGATGCAGTTCATGGCGTCCGACACGTAGCCGGAGCCGTCGTTCCAGATGAAGCGGCACACGAGCAGCTTGATGGCCCATGTCACGCCCGCCACGCCCAGCCGGTTGTTGCCCACCGCGCCGATGATGCCTGCAGGGGGGCGGGAGGCCAGGGGTGAGGGGTACAGAGGCTGGATGGAGGGGGCAGGGCGGCGTGCCGCCACCCAGCCTCTACCCAAGTCTCCCCACCTGTCCTCTTCCCTGCCCTGATGTATCGTCAGGCTGTAACCTCAGTTTCCAGTAGGCACAGCGGTCGCTGAAAGCAGTGGCGGCCTCCAGTCCCGCACCGCCTCCCCAACTCTGCTTCCCCCCCCACCTGCAGTGTGCGTGCCGTGGCCGTAGGTGTCGTTGTAATTGAAGTAGTCTGGGGTGCCCGCCCTGGGCGGCGGCGTGCCCTCCACCTGTGACATCAGAAGCAGCACTGGTGGCACACTGGGCGGCAGCGCACGCGGCGGCAGGGCGAGCGGCGGTGGTGTGGCGAGGCGGGGGAGTGCAGCAGGCGCGGGCGGCCCCGAGCCGTGCAGCACGCCGCCGGCAGCGAGCGGCGGGTGGGCGCCGCAGCTCACCTGGCCGGCCGGCACGAAGTTCCACCCCTTGAGGACGTTTGGGGCGAGGTCGGGATGGTCCACTCGCACGCCGCTATCCACGTGGCACACCTGCAGCGTTGAGAGGGGCCTCAGCATGAGGTTGGCCGCAGCGGGTGACTGCGGGCAGCCGGCTGCGGCTGCCAGCTGCGAGCGGTGGCTGGCGGCCAGCACATACCCGCCCCGCGCGCCACAGGCTGCACGCCCCCGCACCTTGACCACGTCGCTGCCGGTGTTGACGTCCCAGGCGGCCTCGGTGCCGATGATGGGGTGGTGCCACTGCAGGCTGAAGTTGGTGTCGTTGGGGCGCCACTGCACATGCACCTTGTAGTCTGGCTCCACCAGGGCCACGGCTGGAGGGAGGGAGGGAGGGAGGCAGGGGTGGGGAAGGGGGAGGCGGGGAGGGACGCCTGAGGGCGCTGGGGAAGGGGCAGGAGCTGGGGCTGAGCGGCAGAGCAAGTGCGGCAGGGGGGAGCGGCAGCCCGAGCATCCGAGGGCGGCGGCGCAAGGCGCGCCCTGCCGGGCGGGCACCGGCCCCGTCCGCCACCGCCAGCTCCCCCGGCCCCGCAAGGCACTGCGCTCCACAGCATCCCTCCCACTGCTCCCTTCTCCTCACCAGGGTGGTGCTCCAGCTGCTTGATTTTGTCTGGCACGTCCTGGCCATCGGTGATGGAGAAGACGATTGAGCCCTGCAGTAATCCAACACAAGCTCAGCTCTAGTCAGACCTCCAGCATGAAAGCTTCCCTGCAGTTGGGCCCTCTGGCTGCCGTGGGCTGCGCCGGGCTGGCCTGCGCTGCGCTGGGCCGGCCTGGCCTGGGCTGGGCTGGGTTGGGCTGCACCTGCAGGCCCGCGGGCTTCATGAACTGCAGGCCCTCCTCCTCCGCCGCCATGGCCACCACCACGTCTGGCTTGAAGGAGACGATGACGCGGTTGGTGGCATACTCCTGTGGTTGGGCACAATGGAGGGGGGAGGGGAGGTCCGGGGGAGGTGGGCTGATGGGAGGGGGGCGAGGCTGGATCGGGCCCGCCAGCAACCGCATGCCAACTGCTGCGGGGGCGGAGCAATGCGCAGCCGCCACACCCCTCCCCCTGCTCACCGCTTCTTTGGGGATCTCGTCTAGGAAGCGGCGCGTGGAGTCTGGGGGCCGCGTGCTGCCAGCATCGGCTCCCACGGCTGCCAGTAGCAATACTGCCAGGGCGTGGGCCGCTAGTTGGCTGCGCCGCCGTTCCGACATGCTGCCGCTCAGTGGCTATGCAATGGGTGTGTCGGTCTGCTGCTGCTTCCTGGTGCCACCGCTACTACTGAGTCCCGTGCAGTGGTACAAGCTGCAGGCAGCAATCAGAAGGCAGGGCGAGTCAGATGGGCAGGCATATGAGCGACCCCGTCGAGCCTGGCGGCGGCGAGGGAGATGCCGCCATGGGGACATGCCAGGCAGGGACGCGGTGCCATGATACCCTGGAAACGTGTCGGCGGCCGGCAAAGGCATTTGAGAAGGCCAAGGGCAGGGCTGGGGCCGCTGAGAGCGACCAGGCCGCGTTGGGCATGAAGGGATCTGAAAGATGGGGATGGGCGTCCCCAACCCCACCGGGAGACGACGGCTGGAGGCCTTGTAATCCCATCACGAGCGCACAACCTCAACAGCGGCCCTTCTAGCGGGACAGCCCTCGCGATGAGGGGCATCCCGCGCGCCGCTTTGACGAAGGTGTGCGGGCCTGGGCCCAGCCCTGTAGCCTTCCCCTCCCTTCCTACCGAGAGCACATGGCCTCCTCACCTGTGTCAGCCGCACTCCTCGGAGCTCCAGCCAAAACCCCCAATGCTTGAATCCCCTCAGATGCTGCTGCCAGCGCCCTCCTGCACGCGTACCCAAGCTCCTGCTGCGAAGATACAAATCGTGCGAGTGCTCAGTGCTCTCCCTGAGGTCATTGGCTCGCGCGGGGACGAGAGTTTCGCGGTCGCTGACGTGGCCCGTAACGCCTTTCCCTCCCTCACCCCTGGCTCCACCGCTTGCTACTGCACGATTCTACACAAGACCAACACGTGTGCTGCCTTGCAACATGGTGAAACGGGCCAAGCTTGCGGCCAAGAAGGCCAGAAAGCTGCTGGAGGTGGGCCGCTTGCGCAGCAGTCAGTTGCCGAGGCAGTGCCCCGCACTGCACAGCGCAGCGGCAAAATGTCCAGCCGCACATGCAAGACATCTCAGACGGCATGCAGGCGGCGGCGTCGGGGGCGGGCCGCTGCCAGCGGCACGTTGCAGGCAGCTGTGGTGCTGCAGTGCACAGTGCGGTCAGCCCGACCTTATGGCGCGAAGGAAGCGTCTTCTGACAGTCCTACCTCCCTGCTGGCCTGCACCAATGGTTGCAGGGTGAGCGGGTGGCAGCCCCTGCAGCGGCAGCTCAGGAGGGACCCGCACCTCCCATGCACATCCAGCGAAAACTCACCCGCAAAGTCAAATTCCTAGAGCGTGAGCTTATGGGACTGCAATTGGCACACTGAGGCAAATGGGTGCCATACCAGGGATCACAGCTGCCCTGCCAGGGATCCTGGCTGCCCCTCTTCCTCCTGCGCCCTCCATCGATCTCTGTGTTGGATTGGTTCTGCTGCGCTGGTTGCTGCAGGCGTGGCAGCCACCAAGCTGTCGGCCAGCAAAGGCGGCGTCACAAAGGTGCGGGCCCCGCCCACTTGCTCTCAGTGCTGCTCGGGCATGCACTCGCGCGGCACACCGCCCCTTCCTGCAGCAGTTGGACCAGGCTTACTGCAGTGTCTGAAGGCCCTGCCACTGCCCCGGCTGCTACCGCCGCTGCCTCCGACCCCGACCTTGCACCGCCCTTTGCAGAAGAAGAAGAAGAGGCCATCCGTGGCACTCACCGACCTCGCCTCGCTCACCGCCTCCCTCAACGAGGCGGCGGCGGGGCTGGAGGGCGGCGGCCCTCAGCGCCGCCAGTTCGGGCGCAGCGTGGGCACGCAGCGCGGGCGGGAGAGGGTGGCGGCGGTGGAGATGCAGCGCCTGCAGCAGGTGCTGCAGCACCCGCAGTTTGTGGCAAACCCGCTGGCAGCCGTGACCAGCCACCTGGCGGCCACGCTGCCCGCCGCTCCGCCGCCGCCCAGCACACAGGCGGCCAAGGACCCGGCGCAGCTGCGGCGGGAGAAGAAGAAGCGGCGCAAGGAGCGGGCGGCGGCGGGGCGCGCCATGGCAGATGACTGACAGTCCCACATTCCCTCCCAACTTCCTGCTTGTACCCTTGTCCTGCTGCCCTCATGCACAACCTCTGCCATGTACCTCCTCTCCCTTGACTGTACTCCTTTCTTCGTAAGTTCAATAGCACTGCCCTTGACAGCCCTGCCCAGGCTGCCCCACTTTGCAAGCTTGGTGCCTCGTCAAACTTCAGCACAGCCTGTTACATGCGCACACATGCAAACACGCGTGCGGCACAGAGGGATGCACCCAGCAGGCTGCCCCAATCACAGGGCAAGGCAAGGGCCTGCCCAAGCAAGCAAGCCGCGCGGGCTGCGGCACGCAGCTGCGGCACGGGCCTGTCGGCCGCCGCCGGCTGGCCATGCTCTCCCCGACCCTCAGGGCGCCTTTTTGTGGATGAGCCCCGCCCCGTACTCCCGGTACTCAGCCTTGCTCATCCACATCTGCTGGAAGGTGCCCAGGGAGGCCAGGATGGAGCCGCCGATCCACACGCTGTACCGCCGCTCCACCGCATTGGCGGGGCACACCACCTGCGCACCGCGGTGGGTTGCCGGGCGGCGCAGGGCAGTCAGAGGCGGCAGTCAAGAGGCGGGGTCGGTATCTCACACACGGCGGTCGGCTCTTTGCAGTGGGAGCAAGCTGCACTGTTCTGGAGCCGGGGGCCTGCTGCACTTCTCTGGAAACCCCACCCCCACCCCGCTCCGCGCCGCACCTTGACCTTGGCCATCTGCGGCGCCAGGTCTGCGACCTCCTTCTCCAGCCGGTCCCGCAGCGCGGCAAAGCCCGCGGTGCCGCCCGTCAGCACCACGCCGGCATACAGGTCCTTGCGGATGTCGACATCACACCTGGGAGCAGGGGGAGGGGTGGGGGACGGGGGAGAGTGAAGTGAGAGGATGCGAGGAGGAACAGAGCAAGACACAGCCCCGACCGCAGCTCCAGCCGCGCAGCGCCGACACAGCCCCCTTGGCAGGCGGCCTCACTTGCTGATGCAGTCGTTGGCCAGGTGCTGGATCCCCTGCAGGCCGTCAAAGACGCCTGCCTCCTTGAGCCGCGCCGCCGCCCGCGGGTAGCCCTCCAGCAGCGGCGGGTTGAAGAGCACCTCGGGGATGGCAAAGCGGTCGGTGCCCACCGCAATCTCCTGCGCACCAGCATGCGCGGGGGGTGGCGCGGCACGTGGGTGGATATGTAGTGGTGGTGGCGGAGCCGGGGGGCAGGAGTGCAGGGTGCCGGGCAGGCCGCGGGCACAACGCAGATGGACAGAAAAAAGAAGGAGGATGAGTACTGGCCGCACCTGCCCGTCTGGCAGCTCATACATGACAGTGGGGATGCTGGCATTCTCCTGCAGGCAAGCAAGCAGGACAGCCAGTCAGGCTGGCAGGCTAGGTACTAGGCAGGGATAGCCAGCCCTGCCCCGGTACCCAGCCAACAGCCGGCCAGCCCCAGCCAGCCAGCCACACGCTCGCACCCGAACCGGCGTGCGCGCGCCCAGGGGCCGCCCGCGCGCCGCACCTGCGGGTCGAACACGTTGTCGCTGACGCGGCAGATGGTGTCCTTGATGTCGGCGGCGATTGCCTCCACGCACCATGCGCGGTACGAGGCGGTGGTGTGGGGCGGGTCCAGGGGGACCACCTGTGTGGGGGGGGAGGGAGGGAGCACGAGCAGTGCAGCAAGGGCAGTGGAGCGAGACCAGCGTGTGGTAGCAGCACAGGTCAAGTGAAGGGGCAGCGCAGCCCTGGCGTTGTGCTGCGCATGCGGCTGGGATGCCACGCCACACACGGAGCGCGGAAAGCGGCGGCATCCCTTCATGCAGCCCTGCAGGTGTCGTGAATAAATAATAAAATCACCTCTAGCTTGCCGCCGTGCCCTTCCTTGCGGGTGAACTCGTACCGCGGCCGTATCTGCGTGCCCCTGGCCTCCACCGCCTCCGCCATGCACTGCGACAGCAGCTGGCCGCCCAGCGGCGTCGATGCCGCCGACTTTTGCAGCACGTAACCGTCGTGCACCGCCGCGACTGCATGGGGGGAGGAGGTAGAAAGAGGGGAGCGAGAGGGCTGGGTAAGCATGGGTCTAGGAGCGGCGGGCGGCAGCAGGCCCGGCCGCGGTGCAGCGGTGGCAGCGGCGGCAGGACAAGCGCGGGGCGCAGCAGCAGGCCGCGGAGAGCGTGAACGCAGGGAGCAGGACCTGCCCAGCGCAGGTTGGCTGTGGCCCCATGCGGCATCAGGGCATGCATGTCGGGCAGGAAGCGCCTCAAGGGGCGGCGGCACGGCCGTTTTTGCCCATTCCCAGCTCTCGCTCTCCTCCCTCCCCCGCTGACTGTTTGACTGGGTAGTGATCAGCTGTTCACGATGGCTGTGAACCCCAAGGCCTACCCTCTGGCGGATGCTCAGGTGAGGCGCGCATGCCGGCGACTCCCCCGAGGCCTCCCGGGCCCCGCTGACCCTGTCCCCGCCCCCTGTACCTGCAGCTCACCAACACCATCATGGACATCGTCCAGCAGGCGACCAACTACAAGCAGCTGAAGAAGGGCGCGAACGAGGGTGCGCGGCGGCTGCATGCATGGCCCGCTGGTGGCAGCTTGGGCCTGGGCAGGGCCACCGACACTGCACCCGCCCGCCCCTGCCCGCTGATGCAGCCACCAAGACTCTGAACCGCGGCATCAGCGAGGTGGTGGTGATGGCGGCGGACACCGAGCCAATCGAGATCCTGCTGCACCTCCCCCTGCTGGCCGAGGACAAGGTGCGGCCCGGGAGGGCGCGATGGCGGCGGGCGCCCAGCTGGCGGCAGCGGCGGCCGTCGCCGAGCCGAGCTCACGCGCCGGCAGCCAGTCCAAACGGCTGGTACAGCCACTGACCCGCCCCCGCACGCCACTCCCCCGCCCCCGCAGAACGTGCCCTACGTTTTCGTGCCCTCCAAGGCCGCGCTTGGCCGCGCGTGCGGCGTGTCGCGACCCGTGATTGCGTGCAGCGTGACCACCAATGAGGGCAGCCAGCTGAAGAACCAGATCCAGCAGCTGAAGCTGGCCATTGAGAAGCTGCTGATCTGAGTGCTTGCCGCGCAAGCACTCGAGATGGTGGAGTGGCGGCGCAGCGCCGGCGCAGCCAGCATTGTGGCTCGCACCAGGGCTGCGCAGCCCCGCGTCAGATGCAGCAAAGCGCCATGGCGGCTGGGCTGGGGGCGGCAGGCTGTGGCCCGAGCAGGCCGCAGCTTGCCGCCGTTCGGCTGGCTGGGGAGCATCCCTAGGCCCGGAGCACTATTTTCTCCGTCACTCGCTGACCTGAGACCCGACTGTTCTGCCGTGGCTGGGATGCTGCCACCCGGCACGCAACTGTAACGATAGCGCAGTTGCAACGTTCCCGCCCTTTTGGGGCCGCACCAGCAGGCGCAGCCCGCAAGCGTGGGGCTGGGCGCCACAGGCTCGCCTGCTGTCCCATGGCCTGCCTGCTGTTGCCAGCCAGGCGGCGGCAGCAGCAGCAGCAGCAGCAGCAGCAGCGGCGGCAGCAGAGAGGCAGCCACGCTCACCCACGGTGCGCTCGTGCCCCGCATCCACCACCAACGACGTCTGCCGCCCGCTGGCAAACGAGCTCAGCACCGCATTCTTGGCCATGAAGACAGCTGCGCAGGCGTAGCCAGTGGGAGCGGGAGGGAAACGGGAGGTGGTGGGGAGGAGCAAGGGTGCAGCGAGGGTCGGGGATGTGTGTGCAGGGCAGACCTGCAACCCGCGCTGCCCGCTCCCGGCCCAGCCTCCAGGCCCTGCACAGGCGCGCAGGCATGGCCGACCTGGCGCCTGATACTTCTCAAACAGCAGGCTCCACCGCCTTCTCCCGCGCCTCCCTGCTGTTGAATGATGGCTCCGCCAGCATGACCGGGTGGCCCTCCGTGGCCAGCCGCATCTGCTGCCTGCGGGGCCAAGGAGACACAGGAAACGCACGGCGGCTCAACGGCGCAGGGTGGTGCGGGATGCGCAGCAACGGACACGGTGGCTGGTCGAGCAGGACGGCGGTGGCGCCGCCGTGCGGGTACCGTCAGCGCGGCTGCCACCCAGCAGGGCAAATCGATTCAACAGAGCACGGTGCTCAGCGCACTTGAGTGCATGGTCTAGCAGGCCCTCAGCCACCTCCCAGTCACTCAGGATGCCATCCTTGAACGGCGAGATGACCTGCAGCGGCGGTAGAACGACCCAGGTTGGCTGGCAGGGAAGCTATGCGGCCTCGCCAGCAAGCCGCCGGCATAGCGGCTGGCACAGCCATGCACGCTGGAGCAGCGCCCACCTGTGCAGCGGATCAGACGGCAGCCGAGGCAAGGCAAGGGCAGCAGCAGGCACCGCTGCGCTTCCGGCAGGGAGCAGCAGCAACAGCCGCAGCAACAGCCGCAACAGCCGCAGCAACAGCCGCAGCAGCCGCAGCAACAGCCGCAGCAGGTGCAGCAACAGCCGCAGCAGGCGCAGCAACAGACGCAGCAGGCGCAGCAACAGCAGCCACAGCAACAGCCGCAGCAGCCACAGCAGCCGCAGCAACAGCAGCAAAAACAGAAGTAAAAGCCACAGCAGCAGGCGCAGCAGGCGCACCTCCATGTGATCTCTCCGGTGGCTGAGCGCGTGCGTGCCGACATACAGCGTGCGCTTGGCGCCATCCACCTCCATGCCGTCAGCCCCGCCGCCCAGCGCGCCCACCGCCTGCACACACCCCGCCAGGCAGGGCCGCCGGCCGCGCTCAGTGGCGCGCAGCCAGGCAAGCAGCAGCAGCAGCAGCAGCGCGGTGGCATGCCGTGCCGTGCAGTGCACCCAGCGCACAGCAGGAACTGCTCATCAACCAGCCAGGGCGAAGAGCCAGGCGGCGCGATGGCAACACGCAGGAACGCGGCAGCGGCAGTGGTGGTGGCCAGCGCACCGAGGGGAAGACGTATTTGGGCGTGTCCTCTCCTGCATATCCCGCTTTTGTGTGGTACGTCCCCACATCCAGCACCACCGCGTTCACCTCATCTGCAGGCCAGGGTTGCCGTGCAAGCGAGCCTGGCCTGCCCACAACGATGCCCAGGCCGAACTCCCGCCCATGCCGCCGCCGCGGCCACAGTGCAGGCGCGCGGCGATGGCGGTGGTGGCGCACCTCCGCCATACACTGGGCCTGACATACTGCGGCCCCGAGCCGCAGGCGCCCTCTCCCGAGCGGCTCCCTTCCTGTTCCCTTCAAGGCCTGCTCCGATGGGCCTGCTGGCGGTAGCGGACTCTCAGGCGGTGCAATCAGCGTGCGATTGCAGCATGATCGGGCCGCAGGCAGTGCCCAGAAAGCTGCATGAGGCAGTGCAGCTTTCTATTGCACCTGGCGACGTGGAGTGTGCATAAAACACATCGGCAGCTCGATTGGAAGTGTCAGGGGCATTCAACTGTGGTATCTGCAGGTCGTCAGCCGCCCGATTTGCCACCCGTCGAGAACTGATCGCCCGGCGCCATGCACGGCAGGCCCCGCGTCAAGGCAACCGGCCCTCCAGACCCAGAGCGTGTCAAGGCGACGGAGAAGAAGGTCAGCCGATCCGCCAGCCAGCGTGCCAGCACCCCCCACCGCCGCCACCCACCGCCGTCGGTCACTGCCGCCGACACCTCCTCTCCCCCCTGCCTCATGGCCCCTCCCTCCTGGCCCCTGGCCCCGACCTCCACTGCAGGCCGCGCTCTTCGGCCAGCTGGCGGGCGAGGTGCTGGCGCGGCGCGCGGCGGCGCGGTTTGATGCCGAGTCGCTGGGCCTTGCCGGCAAGCTGCTGGAGCTGCACCCAGAGGTGTACACAGTGTGGAACTACCGGCGGGAGGCGCTGGGGCCGGTGGGTGACCGAGCGCTGTGGCAGCGTGTCTGTCTGGGGTCCCCGGGGCGGGGCACCCGCATCAAGCAAGCGTCTTGACTGGTATAGTGGAAGAAGCAGCATGCCCCGCACATCCCTCCCTGCTTCACACACCCACGCATTCCTCCGCCCCCCTTGGTCACCGCCCCTCCATGCAAGTGCAGGTGCTGGATGCGGGGGGCGAGGCCGCGGTGGCGGCTGTGGCCGGTGAGCTGGCGCTGACGGAGCGTGCCCTGCACAAGAATCCCAAGTCGTACGCCACCTGGCACCACCGCAAGTGGATCGTGGCCAGGGGATTCTGCTCCCTGGAGCACGAGCTCAAGCTGGTGAGGCGCGGCCAGCCAGGAGGGTGGTTGCTTGTGGCTCAAGCCCGCTGCGTGTTCGCCGCCCGCTGCCAGGCCGCCCCGCCCTGACGCGGAGCGGCCGCCGCTGCACGCTGCCAGCCTGCCCAGCCCCCGCTCCGAGCACGCCTCCTGCTGCCATGGCTGGCCTGACCCAAGGACCGCCTGCCTGCCTGCTGCGTGCGCTGTGCCAGGTGGGCATGCTGCTGGATGCCGACGAACGCAACTTCCACGGCTGGGGGTACCGCCAGTTCGTGGTGCAGGTACCGCAGCAGCCCGCTGACTTAAGGCCGCGCTCACAGCTTTGAAACCAGGCGCCTCTGTGGTGCCTGCCAGCTCGCCATTCTGTGCAACCCCAACCCCAGCAACCCCCGCCATTGCCTGTGGTGTGCAGCGGATGGGCACCCCTGCGGAGCGGGAGCTGGAGTATGCCCGCCACAAGATCAACCAGAACTTCTCAAACTACTCCGCATGGCACTCCCGCACCAAGCTGCTGCCCGTGCTGCACGGCGGCGACGGCGGCGATGACGCGGATTCGGACGCTGCGGCGGCGGCCCTGGCCGCGGCGCTGCGGTTGGCTGCCACCAGCGGCGACGGCGAGGCAGCGGGTGGGACTGGTGGCGAGGCGGGAGGGCAGGCGGGCAGCCAGGAGCAGGCCCAGCAAGAGCAGCAGCAGCAGCAGCAGCAGCAGCAGCAGCAGCAGGCGAGCAGTGGCACAGGCGCGGAGCAGTCCTCTGCCCAGCCACCCGCGCCCCCAGCAGCAGCGGCGGCGCCAGCGCCAGGCAAGCGGCCCGGCGCCGGCCCGGCGGCGGCCGCCACCGCGGCGGTGCCCAAGGAGGCGTTGGATGAGGAGTATGAGCTGGTCAAGCAAGCCTTCTACACTGAACCCGAGGACCAAAGCGGCTGGTTCTACCACCGCTGGCTGCTGGGTGAGAGCATGCCGGCGGCGTCTTGGCCCCGCCGCTTGCTCTGCTAGCGCTGGGCTCCAGCCTGGCGGTCTCGTGGGAGGGAGGAGGATCGTTTCTGTTATTGTTGGTGTCTCGGTAACAGCGATGCTCTTGTCTGCAGGCTGCTCGCTGGCGCACTGGGAGCAGGCGCGCGGCGCCGAGGCGGAGGCTGCGGAGCGCGACGCGCTGCTGGCGGTGCTGGGCCGCGAGCAGCAGACTTGCGAGGTGGGCAGGCCAGGCTTGCTGTGCCCTGGCTGGCTGGCTGGCTGCGCAGTGGCGTCTTTGCCGAAGGGCGGGCACCCGAATTATTGTGGCGCTGCAGGAGCTTCTGGAGATGGAGCCGGAGGCTAAATGGCCGCTGCTGACGCTGACGCGGCTCAAGGAGCTGCAGCAGCAGGTGCTGGACGGCGGCGGCGGCGGCGGCAGCGGCGGCGGCGAAGACCGGGCGGCGGCAGGGGCGCCCGCAGCAGACGGCAGCGCCGGCTTGGCTGCCGAGGTGGCGGAGGGGTATGCTCGGCTCAAGGAGGCGGATCCGCTGCGGCGGGGATACTATCAAGACGCGGAGCAGGGGCGGGCGCATGTGGTCGCCAAGCCCTCTGCCGTGGCCTGAGCTGGGGCGGCCGTGTGCACAGCAGGTGTGCAGTACATGCGAGCAACACCAAGCCAAACGATTGGCAATGCACATGGTTGATGGGATGCCAGGTTGTCGGAACATTGAAGGGACAGGGACGAATGTCAGGACAGAAGAGAAGGCAAGCAAGCTGGTCACAGTTGCAGAAGGGCACGAGGCACGGTACCAACAGCAGATATAGCACGCACACAACTGCACCACACCACGGGCGTTCACCACTCCACCTCGGTCCCTTTCCAGTCGTAGAATCGCCCGGTGTCTTGCATGCTGGTCCGGTCGATGATCTGCAGCAGCTGGCGCACTGCCCGCTCCCGCGGGAACAGCTTCTCAGGCGGCACATTCTGCAGCGAGGGGTTGGGGCGATGTGGGAAGAACGCCCTTGCGTGCTGCAGGCGGTGCGCCTGCCATGCTCTGCCGCCTGTTCCCTGCTTGCACCCAGGATCGCAGGTACTGCTTGGTGGGCCGCATCCACCCCCACGCATGCTCCACCCCTGTGACCCACCCTTTGGAACGGCTTGCTGAGATCTGTGTCAACGGTGCCAGGGTGCAGCAAGATGCAGGCCACCGGCTGCTTGCGCCGCTCAAACTCCAGCGCCATGCACTTGGTCAGCTGGTTCACCTGCGGCGGCGGTGGTGCAAGAGGAGGGCAAGTGGCAGGCAGGCTCAACCACCGGTTGCAGCTCCCTCCCTCGAGGCGAGCTTGTCAGAGGCTAGGCAGACGACGAGACACCCACCGCTGCTTTGCTGGCACGATACGAGTACCAGCCTCCCAGCTGGTTGTCCCCGATGCTGCCCACTCGTGCCGACAGGTTGGCGATGACGGCCGGCCGCTCCCTGCACACACCACCACCACAATGGCGGCGAGATGGGGCCACGCGCTGCGCGATCAAACGCTGCAGGCGCTGTGCCTGCTGCAGACGCAGCAGCCCAGATCCAGCCCACTCACGGCGTGGCGCCGCCGGCCTCCGCCGCATTCACCAGCAGCGGCGCAAAGGCCTTGCACACCAGGATGTGCCCCGCCGCGTTCTGCAGCAGGCGCAGGGCAGTGCGGCATGCAGGGGCAGCTGGTTTGGAGGCAGTGGCAGTTCTGGGGCACAGCTCTGCACGGGCAAGAAATGGCAGGGGAGAGGCGGTGCAAGTCGGTAGGCCCTGCTCTCACCACTTGGAAGCACTTGAGCAGGCTGTCCATGGTCACCCGCGCCAGGCCGGTCTCGGGTGTCATGGTGGCATCATGCAAGACGCCAGAGGCGTTGACGAGCAGATCCAGGTGGGAGTGCTGCGCCGCCACATGCTCCGCCGCAGCCGCGATGCTGGCCTCATCGTTCGGGTCCAGTTGCACGACTGCCAGACGCGAGGAGCCGTGCTGCCGTTGCAGCTCCTGCAGCTCGCGCGCGGCGGAGGGCGTGCGGCAGGTGGCCACCACCGCATGGTCTGGCCGCTGCAGCAGCTGACGGGCGAACTCTAGTCCCAGGCCGCGACTGCTTCCTTGAACCAGCGCCACTCGACATCTGCTTCCATCAGAGGGCTGTCCGCTGGCAGAGGGTTGTGGCGAGGGGCCTGCCGCTGCCGCCCGGCTGGTGAAGGAGCCAGCCAGCAGGCTGCCTCGCCGTGCTAGTGTAATGGATGGTCGCATGGCTACTACTCCAAGCCAACCCAGCCCTGCCAACAGGCAATGTGGGCCGCAATGGGGAGGGAGAGATGGGGGCTCAACTTGCAGGGAGGCTGGTCCAGGTGTCTATCCTCTGCTGTGTGCAACCCGTCAATGGACGCAGATTGCGATATGTGTGGCGCTTCAGATGCCACATGTTTTCGCGCCTCGCCACGTCGGCGGAGACTGCCCAGCGCCTTCGCTTCCCCCAGCGCCATCGCTCAAAGGAAGTCAATTGTTGCACACCATGGCGTGGGCGCAGGGGGGCCTGTGGCGTGCACCACCGTCGGCCCGCCTCCAGCACACTGCTGCGGCTCTGCAGCCCACACAATTGCGCCCCAGCACACGCAGGATCAGCGGCCATGGTCGCAGACTGCTGCGCCAGAGGGCAGCCGGCAGCGGCGAGGGCGGCAGCGGCGAGGGCAGCGGCGCGCCTGACGAGGAGCAACAGCTGCGCGACCAGGCCCGCCTGCTTAACGAGCTCTTCTATTCTCCATCGGCCGTTGAGTCTGATGATGCCTCAGGTGCGCAAGCTGTCCCCGCTGCCATGCGCCTGCCGGTGCCGTTCCAACAACCCATGCCGTGTGCCGGACGCTGCCTGCAGGTCCCCACCCCTCCCGGGAAGCAGCACCCAGCAGCGCCGCTGGCGAAGCCGACCCGCCCAGCCCTCTGCTCCTCCACGACCTGCCGCTGTGGCGGGTGCAGTGGGCCGCGCTGCCCGGCAACTTTGAGATCACGCATGTACATGTGCCGCACTACTGCGCCATGTTTCAGCGCCTCTTCCGCGGCCCGCGGCCGCACCGCTTCGGCCACGTGTACCTGCCAGAGGGCAGCAAGAACCTGGGCAACCCGGAGTATGCGCTGGCGCCTGGCACCAAGGTGCGGCGACGGACGCGGATGGCCTGCCCTCCTCGTTCCCTTGCTCCTGACACGCAGCTCCTGACGCTCAGCTGTTGAAACCCCTTGTTGAACACCTGCCCTCCCTCCCTGGCGCAGGCGCCGCTGGCGGGGACGCTGATGGAGGTGCTTCAGGCGGTACGGTTCAGCGACGGCCGCCTGCTGATCCTGGCGGTGGGGGTGGGGCGCTTCCGAGCGGTACGGGAGACGCAGGAGGTGCCGTACTGCCGAGCCACCGTGGAGCTGCTGCTGGATGCCGAGGAGCAGCAGCAGTTTGAAGGGCTGGCGCTGCAGGCCGTGGAGAGCGTGCGCGGCGGGCTGGACGCCGGCGGCGGCGGCGGCGGCGGCGGCGAGATCCCGCTGACGGCGCTGATGGCGGCGGTGCCGTCGGCGGCCCGCGAGGCCGCGGCGGTCTACTGCCAGGCCTGGCTGGACTATGAACTGTCAGAGGCGAGGGTGGAGGGCGCCGAGGGCCCCGCCGTGATCGACGGCAGCCGCAGCGGGGATGCCCAGGTGCTGGGCAGGCGCCTGGCTGCCATCGCGGGCAACGAAATCATGGAGCTGCCGTTCTTCCAGGCGCTCAGCAGCGCGGCGCAGGAGGCCGCGGCGGGAGACGCGGCAGCGGCGGCGGCAGCGGCGGGGGCAGCAGGCAACGACGCCAGCAGCGGCAGCGGCAGCGGCAGCGGCGTGTTGCAGCAGGCGCTGGCAACCCAACGGGCTGTGCTGCGCCAGACAGAGGCGGCGGCCTACATGCTGGCCACCTCAGCGGCTGCCCGCTGCGTGGCGCGGCACCTCGTCCAGCACCCCGACGGCGCGGGCAGCGCCGGCGCCGCCGCCGCGGCCTCCGCCCCGCGCTCGGCTCCGCCGGCGCTGAACACGGCCAGCGAGCGCGGCATCGCCACGCAGGCGCCGGAGGAAGTGCTGGAGGCGGAAGGTGGGGTGGGGTGATGCACCTGCCAGCTTGCTGCTGGACTCGCGGTTCACGCCCTGCCCTGCGCTGTTCCGCCGTGATGGCCGGGAAAGCATCTAGGTGCCAGCATGCACCACCTCCCATCCTGTGGACTTCTGCCTGCCTGCCTGCAGAGTGCCTGAGCAGCGAGCCCGACAGCCTGGCGGTGGCGCTGCGGCTGGAGGCGGCGGTGTGGCGCGAGATCGCCGCCGTGCACGGGCTAGCCAGCAAGCTGCGGGAGCGAGCCGCGCCGCTGCCAGAGGGCCTGCGCTGCCTGCAGCCCTGGCAGCTGCGGGCATGTGACGCGGGAGGAGCGGCAGCGGCAGCGGCAGCGGCGGCAGCAGGAGGAGAGGGAGGGCAGCCGGGGGAGGGGGCGGAGGGTGCGGGAGCGTCCTCCGGCCGCCCTGGCGCGCATCCAGACTACCCAGCTCTGCGCCGGGTGCAGCGCCTGTCGTTTGGGGTTGCCTCCCTGCTGGCAAACGTGTCTGCTGCGGAAGGGCGGCAGGCGTGGGTGGAGGCGGGCAGCACCTGCGCGCGGCTGCGCCTGGGGCTGGCGGCGCTGCGGAAGCACCGGCAGGTGCTGGCGGCGGTGGTGGCGGTGGAAGGCCTGTGAGGCGCCATCGCACTGCAGGAGAACTGTGGCATTTGGTGGTGTATTCTGCTTGACAATCGATATTCTTGAATGCGTGCCTCTGTAATTTGGGAGGCGCAAAGACGATTGATTTGAATGGCCGGCAGTTGAGCACGGCGGCGGTTGGCATCCATCGACCATTGTTACCAAGCAATGCTTTTCCTCAGCAGCCCCTGCAGCCCACCACAGCATCCCTTGGTGGGAATTCAGCAGTTTCCCAACTGCTGTGGGCATAGCCGAGACTGTGCCGGCGCCCCCCAGTGGTCACCTGTCCAACTCAGCCTGCCCGGCAGCTTCCGGCCGGCCCACGGGAAGCCACCCTTCTGGTGCCTCCTCCCCTCCGGGGCACTCAGGCCCTCCATTAGAACTTCTGCTTTCCTATTCATGCTTTCCTTTCAGCGCAGGGGCGACCTGGAGCGCAAGGACGCTCGGGCAGAGAGTTTCATCCTCATCATTTTCCTCCTCCTCTCCGACTACTAAGGTTGCAGCGCCTCCAAAGCAGCAGCACCCGCCATGGTGGAGACGCGCAGCGGCCTGTCGGTTGAGCCGCCCGAGGGCGAGGAGGCCGGCAGCCCCGCCACCCCCGCCGCCGCCGCCAAGCAGGCAGACACGGCGTCGGCCGCCGTGGCTGCGCGCTCGGGCGGGCGCAGGCGCAGCCGCGGAGGCGAGGCTGGTGGCGAGGAGGCGCACGCCCTGACCGACTCGCAGGCTTACACGCTGCTGGCGCTGGCGCTGCTGGTGGCTGCCCTGCCCTGCATCTTTACCCCCAAGCTGGTGAGAGGGCCTTGGAGCCGCCGCGCAGCCGCCGCATTTTACCGACACCCAAGTGCATGCGCGTGTGCAACAGCTGCAGAAGTATGAGCAACCATGGGCAGGCGCCGACTCTGCCTCACTGCCTGGCTGCCCTGGCTCGATCCTTCCAATTGGCCGCCGCCACCCGGGCCCCTCCCGCAGGCCGCTCGCGCCTGCTTCGGCTCCGCCGCCGACCCGCCGGAGGATCAGCACACCCACACGCTGGGCCTGCTGGCGTGCGGCCTCGTGTCCGCCGCCGCCGCCGCCTTTGCCCTGGAGGAGTGCGCCCACAGGCACATGCTGCACACCTTCACAGGCCAGTGGCTGGCCGCTCAGTCGCGGGGTCGCCTGCCTGGCAGCCAGCTGGTGTTGCCGGCTGCTGCCTACCCGACGGCCTCGTGCTTGCCGCTGTTGTCTGGGCCAGTGGCCGCGCTGTGGCTGGCAGCAGCCCTTGCCAACTTCTGAGCTGAGCGTGACTGCCCCGGCCCCCTCTGCCTGCGTGGTGCCTGCGTGGTGCAGCCGACACCCTGAAACTAGCGCTGGTGGCCTTCGCCGCCGCCAACATCCTGCTCATGGTGGGCATGCGGAGAGTGCCATGGTCTGAAGCCATGGCCGGCTTGCAGGCTGCGTTTGTTGCGGATGCATCCCATGCTGCAGCAGCAAGGGGCACTCCCTCACACACCTGGCATCCTAGATGCTGCCATGCTCTACCCTGCCATGCTCTACCCTGCCCCGCAGCTCTACTACCCAGCCACCCTCACCCCCGGCGCCGCCGTCGTGTACGTGCTGGCCCAGGCGGGGACCCTGGCCCTGCCCGCCAGCCAGCTGCTGGTGGCAGAGGAGGACCGCACCCGGGTGTGGCACGACCTGAAGGTGAGAGCCGGCAGAGGTGGAGCCAGTGGAGGTGGAGCCAGGGTGGCGCGCTGAAGTGCTCCAGTGTGTGTGGGTCTACTGGAGGCCACAGTGCGCTAACTGCACGTCAAGCTGGCGCCGGGGCAAACCCGTCCAGCCTGCCAGCTCAGACCAGCCCTACCCACCAGCCCCTGCCACTCCTCTCCCCCACCTGGCCTCCCGCCTGCTCCCGCCTGCAGCGCCTGCCCCGCAACCTGCGCCGCGCCGTGTCCCTGCGCAAGTTCACCCTGCCCGGCGCGCTGTTCCTCCTGCTGACGGCCGTCTTCCCCGCCACCGGCCTGGCCTACTACCTGGCTCCCAAGGTGCGTTGTGGGCGGTCAGCGGAGCGGGGAGTGGTGTGCGCTGGCTGGCCCTTTGCCCTTTGCCAGTGGCAGCCTGGGGTGAGAGGCCAGCCATGTGAGCTTGTCGGGGCCAAGTGCCTGTTTTAGCGCTCCCTTGGTCAAACCCGTTTCTGACCCTCCCTGCCGCTGCTCCCCTGTCCACCACCCGCAGTGGACCCTGTATGGCGCCTTTTCGTACGCCTACGGCAAGAGCACCTACATGGTGTGGAAGGCGGTGGGCGCGGGCCTGCTGACCGTGCTGCCAGCCATCACGTACACGCTCAAGGCAGGTGCCGCTGCCCAGCATGGCACACCGCACGACTGCGCTTCACGGCGTGGGGCCAAAGGCTGCAGCGCAAGTTGCTGCCGGGTGCTGCCACGTGCCTCTTCGTCTCCCGCTGTCTGCAGCGGCCCCATGCCAGCCAGCCCAACTCTGCTCCCGCATGTCCCGCTCCAGCACATCCCAGCATGCGGTGTCCCTTCTGCTGCCTTCTGTAAAGGAGAGCAAGCTTCCCCTCCTGCCTACTCGCAGGACAAGGCGGAAAACGACCTGCTGGCCCGCCCCATGTCCCGCACCCTGTCGCTGGGCCTCATGGCCGCCTCGATCGGCCACCTGCTGGTGCTGTGCCCCATCCTCAACCAGGCAAGCCTGTGGCGCTGTTTGGTGTGTGGTGGTAGTGGCGGCGTGATGGTGGCGACAATTGAGCCTGTGGTATCCCGGCGTAGGCTGTTAGCAGCGGAACACGACTGGCACCTGTGAAGCAGCAGGGTACCACAGCACTCGCTGCTTGGTGCCCGCCCCTCCACAGCGAGCAGGGCTGGCGGTTCTCAGGCTGCTGCCGGCGCCGCCGCCCCGCCATGCCATGCTGCTGCAGGGCCACGGCGGCTTCCTGCTGCCCGCGCTGGTCGGCACCTGGGCCGTCTCCCTGCTAGCCTCCATGGCTGGCCTGGCTGCCCCGGATGCCGCTGCCATGGCAGAGCAGCTGGCCGAGGCGGCCAGGACCGAGTGAAGCGGCGCTGCTGCTGGCCTCACGAGCAGCGGCTGCTGGGGTGCGTGGTGGCCCCACCATCCACTGCCCGTTGGTGGGCGGCAATGCTTGCCTGTGCAGCCTGTGAAGGGAGGGCCCACCGTGGGCCAAGTGCCAAGGGCCAAGTGTGCCAAGTGAGTTGCCCCCGCCTGCCCAGTGATGTCAGTGATCCCAGCCCTTCGTGTACATTAGCCTCTGCCCCCCACCGCTTTTCGTCCCAAGAGGGCGCCTCTGCTTGCATATCCGGGGCGGCCGAAGGCCCATAGTGCAGCCGTGATTGTGCCTTTTGCCCTGCCCCCTTGCCCAGCTTTCATGTACCTTCGAATCCCTCCTTGTTGCTTGGAACGAATCCCTGCCTGCCTGCCTGCCTGCCCTCAGCACTGCCGCAGCAGCTCCTTGCCCGTCTGTCCCGCCCCAGCGGCCTTTCCTCCTGGGCTGTGTTTGCCAGGCAGGGGCCCCACCCCGCTGCCGGATAGCTAGATGATGGCAGTGGCGGAGTGCTTTAGCCCGAGCCCTGGGGCTCCTGGCTTGATGGCTGCGCGCATATGATCCCGCGCGGTTGACTGGGGCTGCCGAGGCCCCCGGGGGATGCGCCTGGCTGGCCGCTGCTAACCGATTCCAACAAACGAACAACGCGTGCATTGTCCCGCCTGCTAGAGTAGTAGACCGTGAGGCTGTTTCTCTCCCGCGCTGTGCTCCTGTTTCTCCTGCTGCACAGCTCTGCACTGTCCTTCATTCGCTTTGTTTCATTCCGCAGCGACTCGCATGCCCCCGCCGACTGGGCCGGCGACGGCTGCGCCTGTGCTGCATGCGTGAGCAGCGCTGCCTGTGCACACCGCGCTGGTGTAACCAGGGCAGGCAGCAAAAGTCAGTGAGGGGCCAATGGTGGGGGAAGATGGCGGACCGGCGGCGCCGTGCTGCGGCTGGGGCAGCGATGGGCAGGCAGGCGGGAGCGGCACCACCGCTGGAATGCGGGACGGGAGCGGCGCTGGCACCTGCATTGGCAAGCGTTGCAGTGCAGAGCATTTACCTTAAAAGCTGCAAGGAAACGCTGCCCGCTCCCCGTTCAAACCAAACTTGATGGCATGCCAGGCGAGCTGACCTAACGGCGTTGGACGCGAGCTGCTGCATCGCGACCTAGCATTGCCGAGGGAGCAGCTTTAATGAGCGATCTCCAGATGGCCGCACCATCTGCAGCTGCATCGCCAGCTGGCTGAACGATGGCGTGGCGGCCTCAATTTCTCAATGTCGGCTTGCATCGCGTCCCTGCATTCCTGCTTCGACACATCTGGCACCATGCCCGACCGCGGTCTGGGAGCCGCCTGCCCAAGTGCCGTCTAAGAGGCCCACCCGTCTAAGAGGCCCACACCCAACCCGCCAAGGCTCCAATCACAGCCTGTGCCACGTGCACCATCGAGCAGGAGCTGAGGAAGCGGGCCGTTGGCCCCCACCTGAGCCTGGCGGCGGCGGCGGCAGCCATGCTGCCCAAGCACGCAGCGGTCCTGCGCACGAGCGGGGCCACCAGCCGGCCTGTCAGCCACAGCGGCAGCGCGCCGGGCTCGCTGGGGGTGGAGTGCCTCCCCCTGCTGCCAGGCCCTGCCAAGGCCTGCGGTGCCAAGGAGCCGCGGCAGGCAACCAGCGCGGTGGCGGCGTGCGTGTTCCTCACCCTCACTTACTTGGCAGCTTATTGGATCAGCCTGATGGTGAGCGCGCCTGCCTCATCCGCTGCTGGGATGTGCATGCCGGACGCCGGCACATCAACAGGCCGCAGGCTGCAGGGTGCGTGCCAGGCGCCACATGCTGCCTGGCCCCTGACCACCCCCTCGCCTTTGCTGGGTTTTGCAGGGAGGCAGCCACTCCCGCGACCTCGCCTTCATCAACGCCCACCTCAACCTCATTGCCCGCTGCCTGATCACCGCCATCCTGGCCTTCACCGCCGCCGTGTGGGCCGCCAGGCTGCTGGGGCCGTGGGCGTGGCGCGCGCGTGGCGCCCTGGCCGCCGCCCACCTGGCGCTGCTATGCTACGACCACGGCCAGGACTTCCAGGCGCACGGCTTCTACAATTGGGTGCGCTGGGCGTGCTGGGTGTGGCGCCTTGAGGCCTCGCAGGCCCTCAGCACGACTGTTTGTTTTGTTCGCTGTCTTGGTTGCTTTCTTGGTTCCCAGGAATCCAACAGGGTGCCCACCAGCTCCCCTCCCTGGCATGGGGCCACTGCTTGTGGCCTCGTTCGTTGTTTCCTCTGTCGCAAAGCCTGCCCCGCTGCTCGGGCTGACCCGCAGCGCCGTGACGCCACCGCGCCTGCTGCTCACGCCTGCCACGCCTGCAGATGCTGTTCCTGGTGGTGGCACTGCCCCTCAACATGCTGCTGCTGGGCCTCTTCCTCTGGTACACATCCATGCGGCCCCGCCAGTTTGCAGCGTCCCTGCTGGGGACGGGAGCCGCGGCGGCGCTGGCGGTGGCCCTCGCGCTGCTGCACTACCAGCACATTGTGAGTGCTGGATGCTGGGTGGGCTGGGTGCGGCCCCTGCACTGCTGGGCGTGGTGCCTGGGCGCTGCCGCTGACGGCTCTGCCCCTGCCCCCTGCCCCGCCTTCCTGCCACTGTCATGGCCGCAGGCGCACCGGGGCTTCATGGGGCGCTCACTGGTGCCCGGCTGCGCTGGAAGTGGCTGCCCCCCCGGCAGCGAGCCCAACTGCAACTTTCCTCCCACCTTGCCCCTGATTGACCTGCTGCCGGCTGGGGCCCAGGCGAGCCGATGCGCTGCTGCACCACCAGCGCATGTGCATGCCCTTTTGCTTGCCCTGCCTCACAGCCACACGCACAAATTGGTTCGCACGTCGCCCCTCTGCAAGGCTCAGCCCCGCCGCTGCCGCGCCCCTCTCCATGTCTGCAGAACTTCTGGACCGGCAGCCAGCAGTGCCCGGTGAGCCTGCCGCACCGCCGGGGCTGCCCTGCTGGCGACGTGCCCCTCTCCTGCATGCTGAGTGTGGGGAATCGCCTTGCATGACCCTGCCCCTGGCCTGCACCTTTGCTCCCGCCCACCTTTCCCGCCTGCCCTGCCCGCTTGCCCTGCTGCGCCTGCCCGCTGCAGCCCATCCGTGGCTTCGATGCAACCTTCTCCTCTGCCGGCCTCCTCACCATCTCCGGCTGCCCAGCCGGCGCGGCCACGGGCTACACACGCTTCCCCGATACTCGGATGTGGAGCGTGGAGCAGAAGACGCACCTGGGCGCAGCGTACCAAGTGAACGTGCTCAAGCTGCTCAAGGTGCGGCCTTGGTGCCAGGCAGGCAGGCAGGCAGGCAGGCAGCGGCTGCAGCAACACTGCGCTGCGGATGCCCTGCACGTGCATGTGCTTGCGCTGGAGTGCACGGTGCCTTGGCAGCCCCAGGCTGCTGCGCCTGTGTGCCACCTGCTGCGAGGGTGCTTTGCCCCGCTGCCACCACTTTGAAAAGCACCACCACCACCACCACCACCACCACCTACACGTTTTTTAACATTGCCTCCACCACCTCTTCTGCCGAGCAGGAGGAGCCTTACACCGCGCCGGTGCAGCTATCGGGCGTGGAGGCGGTGCTAGCCCGCTGCGGCGAACAGGAGCGTCTGCTGACCCGCATAGCCGCCGTGAGGCAGCGCCTGCCGCCAGAGCCGCCGCTGGCGCTGCGCCCTGGGGCAGCCGGCAGCGATGGCGGACAAGGCAGCGGCAGCAGCGGCGGTGGCACCGAGGAGGCCGGCAGGCCCGCCGGCGGTGCCGCATCCGGCGGCCAGCCGGAGCGCCTCAACGTGCTCATCCTGTTCCTGGATTCGCTGGGCCGCCGCCACTTCTTCCGCCGCATGCCGCGGTCGGCGGCGGCGGTGGAGGCGGTGGCGCGGCGCGGCGCCTCCTCGCTGCACCAGTTCTTCCGGTACCACGTCACCGGCTTCCACACAGATCCCAACACCCACGTCATGTACACGGGGTCACCCTTTGAGAACCAGCGTGCGTGGCTTTGGGCGTGCCAGGCGGTGGCGGTGCCTGCTTGGGGGCGGCCGCGGTGCCTGCTGGTGGTGTCGGGAGGAGTGCCCTGTCCTTCGCCTGCCCCTTGCCTGGCGCCCTGTTTGCCCCTCTCCCGTGCCCGCCCTTGGCCTGAGCTGCTCCACACCACTATCTTTGCCCACGCCCCACACCGCTGCCTTGCCCATCCTCCGCCTGCAGGCGCACAGCCCTTCTGGCACGCCTACCGCCAGGCCGGCTACGTCAGCGGCTCCGTTTACAACTTGTGCGAAGACTGGGGCGCGGAATGTGAGCCGCCTGCCCGCCCGCCGCGAGCGTGCGCTCTGGCATTACTCTTGCACGCCGCCCTGCATCCACTCAGCAACTGCGCTGCCCTGGCCTGCCCTGCCCTGGCCTGCTCCACCACGTGCTGCGCTGCCCGACGCGTGTCGACCGTGCGCTTGCCACGTTCCCGACCCTGTTATCTCCCTCCGCAGACGACAGCATGCGCACGCCTCATGACCACGAGCTGGTGGCGCCCTTCTGCCTGCCCGAGTACCACCCGGTGACCTTGGACGGCGAGCCGTACCAGGTTGGCCGAGGGTGGGCGCCTTGCCGGGCCATGGGCAAGCGCGAGGGCGCAGCGCTGCCGTGCACGCCTGTGCTGCGCATGCCTGTGCACCGCACGCCGCTGCCGCCCACCACCACCAAGCGTGCCCGCCACTCTGTTAGCAGCGTCGCATCGCTGCTACCTCAGACATCGACCAGCACGCCGCCCTGCCCCTGGCTGCCCCTGCCCTCCTCCCGCGCCCGCCGCCGCCCTGCGCTGCAGATGTTCAAGGGCGCGTTCTCCATCCTGCGCCGCTGCCTGCGGGGCCGCCACGTGCACCAATACAACTTCGACTACTCCCGCGCCTTCATGGAAGCCTACCAGGGCGTGGCGCCCTGGCTGCTCATCTCCTCCTTCCACGAGGGACACGAGGGTGAGGAGGGCATGGCGAGTCGGGTCGGCGGCAGCGCGGCACTGGGGCCTCTGTGCCGTGCGGCTGCCCCGCGCCGGCCTGCTGCGGCCGCCGCTGCTGCTGCAGCCGGGCGTGTGCCGGGCGAGGGTGTCCTGGAGGGCCCGGCCTCTGCAGCGCAGCGGCAGGGAGGCCGAGCCGAGCGCCGCCAGTCGCGTTCACTCGCTTCTCGCCGCCATGCTGCGCGCGCTGCGTGCAGGCACGGGGGAGGTGCTGGGCACCGTGGATGCCGACCTGGCTGCTTTCCTCCTGGGCCTCACCGATGAGCAGCTCAACTCCACCGCGGTACTGCTGGTATCTGACCACGGGATGACGATGGGCATCAATTACATGCTCACGCAGAACGGGCGGGTGAGGAACGCAATGAAAGCAATGCAGGACAGGAGCAGCACGCAGCACGGCGGCGGCAGCCAGTGGCGGGCTGCCGGTGCGATGGCGGCCGCGGCGACGTGCCGACGGGCCCACACGCCGGCTCTCTGCTCCTCTCGCCGTGCTGCCGACCTGTCTCCTCTGCCTCCCCTTTCCCTCCCTGCCTTGCCTCCCCGCCTCTGCTGCCTGCAGATCACGGAGCACAAGATACCGCTGCTGGCCATGCTGCTGCCTGCCTGGGTGGGGGAGCGGTATCCCGCGCAGGCGGCGGCGCTGGCCGCCAACGAGCAGCGCCTGGTCAGCGGCTACGACCTGCACGCCACGCTGCACCACCTGCTGCACCTGGGGGAGTCGGACGTACCGCCGGAACAGCAGTACGACAGCTGGCGCGTGGCGGGCAACGTCGCCGAGTCGGTGCGGTGGGGCGTGTCGCTGCTGGCAGAGGTACCTGCAGGGCGGAACTGCGATGAGGCGGGCATACCGCCCGACTTCTGCCAGTGCTTTGCCCCGTAGCTACCGCACAGGCGGCGGCGGCACGGTGGCACGCCGCACAACACCGCTGCTCCTACGTGTTCTTCGCGCTCACCGTTTGAAGTTTTCCAACTCGACAGTAGCAGTGGCCCTGGCTGGCTGGCAGTGTGATTTACGTTGCCCGAGCGCCCTCCATGTGCCCTCCTTACATGGCACCCCTCCGTTGTTTTTCAGCCTCAGTTTTCCATGTGGCCCCAGCCCAGCCAGGCCAGTGTTCTCCCCCGCCTTCCATTTCTCTGATTTGCATTCACTTTCATCCGTCTGTAGACCCTGCGTCATAGCGATCCATACCTTTCATCTGCTAACCCCATCCGAGCCGCCTCTGTTGCCCCAGCCGCCAGCCTGATGACTGCTGCCTCCTTACTCCCTTTTCCTCCGTTCTGCTGTTCTTTACACGTTGGTATTGGCAACAGGTTAGATTAGCTCGCCTTCCCTGATAGTGTAGGCACATGGAGACACAGTAACACTGCTAGACATGCACGCATTCAGGAGTGCCACACACAGGCAGCAGCCTACGGTCCGCGTCCAGTTGCCGCCAGCGGCCTTCTGTGGTTGGTGGCAGCGAGGTGCCTGCCCTCCCCTCGCGGCTGCTGCACCTGAGGAAACCGCCACTCAGCCCTTTTTGTCCCGCATGCTGCTCTTCCAGTGTATGCCGGCATAGATGCTATCCACCACCTGTAGAGCGCTGGGCCGTCGGGTGATGTCATCTTCCTGTACCGCCGGAGGCAAGGCTGCCGCCTGCTGCTGCTGCTGCTGCTGCTGCTGCTGCTGCTGCTGCCGCACCGCCTGCTGCTCGGCCGCCGCCGGCAGCGGCGCGGGGACGCCCGCAGAGCCAGGCGGCGTGTGGCTGCCGCACCCCGCGTCCGACTGGCTCTCCACATCCCAGCCCGGCGGCTGCGCCGCGTCTGCCGCCATGCTGGCTGCCTGCTTGTCCCGCCTCAGGCTGTGCACGTTCTTGCGCATCTTACGAGGCATCAGCCGCCCGGCCAGCACAAGCGGCGTGCGGGGAGCCTGGCGCCCGCCCTCTGGCATCGGCTCCTTGTGCGACACCGGCTTGCCGCGCCGCTTCTTGACCTTCCTCAGCGTCCGCTGGGCAATCATGATGCAGATGCCAATCGCGGCGCCCACCCCGGCAATGAGCCTGGCAGAACGGGTGGGATGGGAGGAGGCGGGGGTTAGTGGCTGGCTAGGGGGGGTACTCGCAGGGGCAGCATGCGCGGCCGGCTGCACACAGGCAGCACCATCCCGTCACCAAGGCATGGCTGGTTCACTGACCAAAGGCCCCACAGATCGGCAAAGGTCACAGACAGGGTTTCCTTGGAGACCTGGAGAGCACAAAGGCAGGCAGACGGGAGGCTTGGGTCAGATGATGACAACCCGCTGTTGGCTGCATGGGAAGCTGTTGATCAACTCCCGCGGTCAGCACACAAGCCCTGCAGCAGGGTGTGCAAGCTGCGTGCACGGCGCGGGGCGCCCCGACCGCGCTGCCACCGGCCGCTCGCCTGGCTGCGGGCCTGGCAGCCCTCCGTCGGGTTGAAGATGAATGAGGTCTTGAGGCGCTGCAGGGTGCCGTCCTCCTGCATCTGAAGGATGATGCTGCTCCAGGTCTCCACCAGGGCGTCGCTGACGTTCTTGTGGAAAGCCACGCCTGCGGCAGGCGGGCAGGCAGGGCAGGGCAGGGCGTGTTTGGGCCGGCAGCCTGGCGTGACCTGCGCTGGCGGAACGTACGGCGCAGGCTGGGGCGCAGGCAGGGACGCTGCGCAGCGCGCCGCCCCAGCCCAGCACGCAGGCTGCCTGCGAGGCGCTCATGGGGAGCCGCTCCCCTAGCAGGCCCTCCCTCCATCTCTCACCATAGTCAAAGGGCTCAATCTCCTGTGGCAGCACAGTTATCTCGCAGAGAGGCGCGTTGTTGGCCAGCCACAGCATGGGTGGCATGTCGCGGACCTGCGGGGGGGGGGTGCATGGTATGGATTCGTAATTCGCAACCTGCTGGGCCTGCCGCAAAGTCCTGGCATGCTGCGGCACCTGGCACGCACCCCTGGCTGGCACCCCTGGCCGGCACCCCTGGCCGGCACCCCGGCCGTGCCCGGTGCCGGCGGTGGTACCCACCATGGATGCCAGCTGCCCCGTGGCCACCAGCTCGCCCCACTCGACATAGTCTTCGCCGCTGTTGAAGGAAAAAGGGATGGCCTGCAGGCGCAGGGAGCGCCGGGGAACGCGAGGCGTCGAGACGTGATGGAGAGGGGAGTGGTAAGCACGCGGGCGTGCAGCCTGAGCAGGCGCCAGCAGGGCAGCGATGCGCACACCCCAGGGGCCCAGCCGGCGGCGCACGCATGCCCGCTCAGCTTCCTCCCTGCCACGCCCCACGGCCCGTCCCAACCACCCCCTCCCCCAGCCGCACCTGAATCCCATACTTGCGCAGGCGGTTGATGTCTGCAGGGCAGGGAGCAGCAGCAGCGTGGGGCGTCAGCATGACCAGCCAGCCCGCCCTCACTGAGCTGGCAGCAGTCCACCTTCACTATCCCCACAAGCATCCCACAGCATTGGGGCTGCTGGTGGCGCTGGTGGCTCCTGTGCTTACAGATGGGAGATGTGCCCACCGCCTTGCCGCGCAGGTCCTGGACAAAGGAGGCAACACCAGCATAACACGATGAGGCGCAGCGGCACCCCACCGGCGGCCACAGGCACGCCCCGCCCCGACCCAGGCAGCGCTTGCACGCTCAACCCGCTGGCACACCCGTCCTGGCTGCCATGCATGACAGCACTCACATCCACGCTGTTGATTGAGGTGGCCAGGGACTTGATGGTCACAAAGGCTGCCAGGTTGGCGGTGTAAGTGCTGGTGGTCAGCAGGGCCAGGAAGCAGAAGGCCAGCACCGCCATGCGGGCGCCCAGGGAGGTGACGTTGACAATGTCGTACAGCATCATGTTGAGGGCAGTCCTGTGGGCAGGTTATGCACGCCACGGCGCCGAGGATCGTTGCAACAGCAAGCCAAGCACGCCGAGAAAACGGAACGGAAGGGCGCCAGCACAGGAAGGCGCCAGCACAGGGAGGCGCTGGCGGCTGACAAGCCGACCTACCTCCACATGGATTCCGCGATGCCCGGCTTCCAGTCCTCCCTGCAGGAGAGGGATCACAACAGAAGGGTTTTAAGGGGTTTAAACATTTTGCACGCCCCCACACACGGCGCATGCACGCCCCCACCTATGGATGCGCCGCCGCAAGCTGAAGAACTCGATCATGAAGATCATTGGCGGGAAGGCGAGGAGGGTGAGAAACAGAGCCAGCCACAGTGTCCAGTCGAAGGGCCGGATGAAACCCCAGCCGTCGCCCGACTGGCTGTTGGATGCCACCAGGATGCCCAGCGAAGACTTGAGGTAGGGATCTTAAGCAGGGGCGCGGCGGGGCGTGCGGGGCAGTCAGTCGTGGCTTTTTAGGCACTGGCACCGGCGGCGGCACCGGCGGCGGCACCGCAGCGGCGCCGACGTCACAGCAGCCCGGGCAGCACACCCACATGTGAACTGGATGCCCAGCGCCTGCCGCTCGCTGGTGATGGTGATGCCGGAGGCGGCCGCGGAGCAAGGGCCGTCAGGCTGCGTCATGGACTCGATGAGCGTCGAGAAAGAAACGCACTTGAAGTCGTACTCCACTCCCTCTGTCAGCCCCAGCCGCCCAGCCGCAATGCGCAGCATCTCCACGTCATGCCCCGTGAAGTTGGCTGCAGCAGGGGGCAGGGCGGCCAGAGGTGGCGGGGGATCGGGGTGCGGGGTACCTCCACACACAAGGCGGGCAGGCCAGGCGGATTGGCTGGGGCGGTTCCAACGGAGGGCCCGCAAAACTCACCGGCGGTTGTGTCGGTGGCATTGTTGCACAGGGAGATGGGCACAGGGCTGTAGTTGGCCACACAGATTGTCAGCTTCTCGCCGCCTGTTGCATTCAGGTTGGGGACGGGCGGCGGCGACGAGACGGGGGTCGGAGGAGGCGGCGCGTCCGGCGGGCTGGCGGCGGCCGCCTGCGCGCTCGCCAGGCCAGGACACAGGCCAGCCATCAGGGTTGCCCCCAGCAGCAGCTGCAATGACCGTCGCCACATCATGGTAGAAGGTGCTGCTGACGAGGGTCTTTTACGGAGGCGGCCAACAGCAGCAGGCGGCGGCGGCGGCGGCGCCGGCCCAGGGCTGGCTGGACGCGGCCGCTGCGCGGAACGCTTTGTCAGCTGGTTTGCTGCCAGTCACGTACGGCGTATTACTGCCCGCGGGATTACTGCCGCAATCACAATGGGCCAGTTTAGGGCAGGAGCCCTGGCAGGTTGCTCGCAGATCTCACCAAGCTACAGCGTGTTGAGGAGCAGAGGTGCAGGCGGGACCGATGGAGGCAGTGAAAAGTGATGGTCGCCAGCAGGGCACAGCACGAGAGGGGGGACCATGTGTGTCCCTAGGGACCAACTTCATGCTCTTTGGAATGCATTGCATGGTAGATGTGAGTAAATGAAAGCCCCGAAAGCACCCAGAACACCGCAAGTCAGTGCACCCCTCGAGGCCAAACTTGGCCGCAAGCATTGAGTCTCAGATTGAATGCATTTGTACCCTGGATCAGCATAAATGCAAAGTTTACAGCCCCTGCAGTGCACTCCAGGGAGCAGGGAGCAGGACTGCTCCCCAGCTCCATCTTGCGATGCTTGCCACCCTACAGACACACATTATACTGAAATCCTGATGGAAACTTCTTCAATGCAAGATTATGCGGAAGTGTGCGGGGGTGTGCGGAGGTGCGCGGGAGCGTGCGGAGGTGCGCGGAGGTGTGCGGGAGGGTGCGGAGGTGTGCGGGATGGTGCGGAGGTGTGCGGAGGTGTGCGGCAGGGTGCGGAGGTGTGCGGGAGCGTGCAGAACTATGCGGAAGCGTGCGGAATTACAAACAAAAAGGCAAGGAAGGCAAGGAAACAAGCAGAAGCCACTGAACGACACAGCATCATAGCGCACAGCGCTACCTGCCGCCCAGTGCCTGGCTCCGCCAGCGGTACGCCGAGTAGATCGAATCGACCACCTGAAGGGCGCTGGGCCGCTCAGCCGCCCCTGGAGGATCTCCCGCCGGTGCTGCCCCTGCCGCTGCCGCAGCAGCGGCACCAGCCGGCCCTGCCGGCTGCTGGACCGCTGCTGGTGCCTGTGCGGGTTCGGGGTCGGCCGCTGCTGTCGCCGCCATCGAGGGCTGGCTCTCGAGGTCGCCGCCAGGACTGCCGCCGCTGTCCTTTTCTGAGAGCGATGACGGCCCTGCGCCATCGCTAGCACCAGCTCCACGCCCCTCCGCTGCCTGCTGCTTGTCGCGTCGCTTGTTGGTCACCAGCGTCAACGCTGACACGAGGCGCGGCGGCGCTCGCCAGAGTTTGGACAGGGAGCGGCCAACGGAGCTGCTGCTGCTGCTGCTGTAGAGGCGGCGGCGCCGCACCACCGCCATAATGAAGAACCCCAGCACAACGGCGCCACCCAAAATGATCCAGAGGCCATACATCTGCATGGAGCACAGCACGCACGAGAAGGATCCTGATGCAGCAGCGCTGAACATCCAGCGGCATGCGGCGCACAGCCTGCGGGGTCTGGAGCACGAGGGTTCTGACAGCCGGCCAGGGCAGCAGCACCCACACACCTGCTCAAAACTCACGGCCATCTCTTCTTTGTAGACTACCTGTGGCAGCAGAGAGGTGGAGAATGTGTGAACAGCTGGGGGAGCATTCGGCAACTAGCCATGCGGAGACCCTGGCGCGGCGGCACCTCTGCCGCGCCAGCTGTCGCTCTTGCCACGCGCACGCTGGGCGGGGCTGCATGCAACAGCCCGCGCCCAACAGCCTTCGGCAAGCCTGGCATACAGGATGCCAGCCTGCTGCTGCTCTCACCTGCAAGGCGTTAGCATCGCCACACCCAGCAGAGCCCAAGCTTTGCACCCAAACGTTGTTGAGCTGCTGCAGGGTTCCGTCCTCCTGCAGAGCAAGGATCTCCCGGCTCCACGCCTCCACCACCGCGTCGCTGGTGTTAGGGCAGAAGGCAATGCCTGCGGGGCAGGGACGGCAGCAACAACGGTGGCCGGCTGAGTGGGCGGTGGGGCACATGAGGGGGACCCCGAGGGGGGCGGGGAGGCCAGAGCCGGCAGGAGACCAGGAGAAGGCAAGGAGGGCCGCCAGACAGACATGGGGTGCGCCCTGGTGGTGGTGTCAGGCAGATGGCCGTTAGGCTGAGGCCGCCCCCGGCACCGCACGCGTGACTCGCCGTAGAAGAAGCGGTCGAGGCTGTCGGGCAGCACCGCCACGTCGCAGTTGGGCGCGTTCTCGGCCGCCCACAGCATGGCCGGCTCGTCCATGATGAGCGCCGCCAGCTCGCCGCGCGACAGCAGGTCGCGCTCCGCCACAAAGTCCCCGGCGTCGTGCATGGTGAAGGGCCGGGCCTGCGGGAGGAAGAGCGCACATGAATAACAGGAACAGGGGAGCACGACGCAGGGATGGGCGATGGAAGGGCAGGGGCAGAAGGACTGGCCAGGCCAGGCACGGCAGCTGGCGCGCCCCATGGACCAGCCAACCGGCCAGGCGGCGGCTGGCTGGCCCTGCCCGGCACCTCCTCCTCACCTGCACGCCATACTTGCGCAGGCGGTCGACGTAAGGCACGCCGGTGGACACCGCCCGGCCCCGCAGGTCCTGCAGGCGGGGTGTGGTGGTGGCGATGTGGATGCCAATGGATGGGTGGGCTGGGGTGGGCCCAGCGTGGTGCTGCACAACCACAAAGATGATGGGGGGGATGCGCCTCCCTCTGCCAATCCCCTGCCGTGCATTCCAGCATGGCTGGAGAAGGAAGAAGGGATGCCTGCATGCCTGCATGCATGCCCATCACACGGTGCGGTGCAGGCGGACAGAGCCACTCACGAGCGCACATCGGCCGGCTGCTCACCGCCACGCTGCTGATCTGGGAGGTGATGGACCGGACTGTGACAAAGGCTGCCAGGTTGGCGGTGTACGTGCTGGTGGTCAGCAGGGCCAGGAAGCAGAAGGCCAGCACCGCCACGCGGGCGCCCAGGGAGGTCACGGCAAAGCTGCGGGAGGGCAGGGCAAGGCAAGGTGGGGGAGCGTGGTTGGGCGAGGGAAGATGGAAGAAGGCGGTGCCCCACGAGGCACACTCGACCAATGCTTGGCCACAGCTCCAGCTCCGGCAGCGGCAGCATGGCAGGGTGGGGCGGCAGCGCAGGGCGGCAGCGGCTGGCGCTCGCACTCCGTGAAGAGCATGAGGGTGAGGGCGGTCCTCCATCCCGATTCCACCAAGCCAGGCACGACGTCACCCCTGCACAGCATCGCCAGGCCGCCGTCGGCAGGAGGCGGCGCGAGGCAGGGAGGCAGGGAGGCAGGCTGCGAGCTGCGGGCCGTGCGCCGTAGCGGAGGCGATCGATCGAATGCCAGCCTCTAGAGCATGGGGGCTGCCGGTTTTGTATCAAATCAGAACAGTAATTAAACCCTGACGCCTTGCAGGTTGGCCCACCTGTGGATGCGGCTGCGCAGGCTGCCAAACTCCAGCAGGAAGATCACTGGCGGGAAGACAAGCAAGGTGCCCAGCAGCGCCACCCACAGGGTCCAGTTGAAGGGGGCGGTCCAGGCCCAGCCGCTGGGGGTCCTGGAGGTCGCCTGCAGGCATGCAGCACCTGGCAGGCACCTGAAGGCTCCTGCAGAGCGCAGCCCCTGGCGGCCAGCAGCCGAGCGCCCCCGGCTGTGCCTGCCCTGCGGCCTGTCCTGCGGCCAGCTGGCAGCGGTGGCGAGAGCGCCGGCAAGAGGGTGAGGTGGAGCTGGACCAGCCGCTTGCCTGGACAAGGACGGACAGGGAGCTTTCCATGTATGCATGAGCTGCAGGGTAGTGGCAGGCATGGTTGGGTCTACTCGGAAACGCTGGGTTGTCACGTGGAGCCCTTCCGCAGGCAACCACTGCTTCTCCTTCACAAGACGCAACAACACGCAGTGCTGCCACGGTGCTGCAGCATGCAGGAGAACTGGGCCCGCTGCCGCCACGGCCTGCGCTCACATGCAAACTTGATGCCTGCTGCCTCCCGCTCGCTGGTAATGGTGATGCCTGCTATGGCCGCCGAGCAGGTGCCGTTCTGGGGATCCACCAGGTCTTGCAGCATCCGGCTGAAGTCGTCACACTGCAGCGGCGGGGTGCAGCAGCAGGGAGTGGGCTGCAGGGCTTTGCGCCAGCAGGGGCGGGCATGCTCGGTGGAGAGGAAGGAGGTGGAGGGGGTGGGCCGCCTGCCGTGTCTGCCTCCCAAGCAGCAAGATCGTGTCAGCTCCTCAATAGAAAACGGGGGGCTTTGGTAGAGGGGCTCACCCTGAATTCATAATCCACTCCCTCCTCCAGGCGCAGCCGGTACGCTATCTCACGCACCAGCTCTGGGTCATGCCCCGTCACCGTGACATTGTCACCTGCGGTGCAGGCAGGCAGATGAGATTGTGCCGGTGCGGCTCGGTGCGCCCGCGATGCTGCGGTTGAAAGGCCCAGCTTGCAAGCAGCCTGTAAGCTTAATGTGCTGCTGGTATTCCGCTCTGCCTGCAGGCTCACCGTTGGGTGTGGAGGAGCAGAGGACCATGGGCTCCCAGGACGCCACGCAGATGACCAGCTTCTGGCCGCCGGTTGCATTAATATTCGCCTGTGCCTGCACCGCTGCCGGTGCCGGTGCCGGTGCCGGTGCTGGCGCCGGTGCGGGTGCCCCTGTCGGCAGCTCATCCTGGCCGCTGGCGAGCCATGGCGATAGGCACAGCAGCAGGACGGCGCTCGGTAACCAGCTGGGGTTGCGACGCCGTGCCGCTTTCATGGCGGCACCGGAAGGCGGGCAGCACTGCCTCCCGTCCAAGTCTGCCTCTTGCTCTGCCTCTCCTGCGAACGTCAGATTACACCAGGTGCCCCCAGGGCTGCGTTAAGGCTGCAGTGAAGCAAGGCCAGCCTACGGCGTGCACAGCAGGAGTGGGCGGGGCCCATGCCTAACCCAGGACTCGTCACAGGTTCTGGCCCCGTTTTGACAAAATGAACGATGCCGCGCCCTGCCAGCAGGGACGTGCATGGACAGGATGTCTTTGCATTCCGCCCACTCGCTCAGGAGGTCCGCAACACCCACAGCATACGTAGAGAAGCTCTCCGGGCGGCAGGCAGACGATCGGGAGGGGATGGCCTCCGCCAGTGAGTCCTGAGCAGCGGCAGCAGCCTCTGACTGGCGCGGCACATCTGCCGCTCGGCTCTGATCACGCCGCACGGGATGCTGCACCGCCACCAGAGCCTGGCTCGCCGCCGCTGTACGCCGCGCTGCCGTCGCCCGCGCGGCTGCCCAGCAACTTAGATGGCTCTGTTCCCACGCAGGATGGGTGACGCTGGCGCTGCTGCTGACCCTGCTGCTGCCCAGCACTCGCGGCCTGCAGTACCAGCACGACGAGCTGCTGTGGACCAAGCAGGTACTCCCGCCGCGGCACCCGCTGTGCGTCGCCCTTCGCGTCTGTGTGCGCAAGCACCGAGCCCCCAGGGCCCTCCCGCTCCCCACCGATCGCCTGCAGAACTGGCAGGACTACACGCTTCACTTCCCCTGGTCGGCGGCGCTCAAGCAGCGGGACGCCGAGAGCACGCGCCAGCTGCAGGGCCCTCTGGAGGGCTTCTCCTCCAACTCCCTCAACGGCCCTCTGCTGGACGCAGAGGAAATCGCCAGGCGGGTGGCGGAGGATGCCAGCAGGCAAGGCCAGCTGCGGGACCAAGGGTGTGATGTGTGCGAGGAATGCTGCGTGCCCCAGGGGAGGACGCAGAGGCTAGCGTGGTGGGGCACTGGGCACAGCTCTCACGCTCGCACAGGCAGCAGGCTTGCTCCCAGGCCGCTCCCTTGGCGGGCACCCCACAGCCAGGTCTGTGCAACGCTGGCGACCGAGTCCGTCCGCGGCGCCTGCCGTTGCCTTTTGTCCATTGCAGAGGGCCGGTGCTGCAGCAGAGCAGCCTCGACGTGTCTCTGCTGGACGAAGAGGCCAACCTGGATGCGGCGGCTGGCGTGGCGCAGTGCAAGGTGTGCCGGGCTGGCCGCCCGCCACCTAGCACCACCGCCAGGCTCAGGCGGGGCGCGTTTTGCCCTCACCGCACGGCTGGCGGGGATCCACAGCGCTGGGCCGGCCCGGGGCGCTGCTCACAGCCGCCCGTGCCTCGCGCTGTTTGGTGAGCATCTGGGCGGCCGCTGCGGCGCGGCCCTGCCGCCGTGCAGGTGTGCGGCGTGCTGGTGCAGCTGCTGTGGGAGGGTCTGACGCGGTGGGTCACCCGGCACCACCAGGTGCCCAACAGGAAGCACATTGCAGCCTATGCCGAGGAGCTCTGTGAGATTGAGGTGTGGCCGATGGGCAGCGGCGGCGTTGGTGTGCTTGGTCGTCTTGTGTGCGGTGGCGGCTGGTGGGGGCTGGTGCGTGCGGGTGGTTGGGGTTTGCATTCTAGTGAAGTGGCGCGGCAGGGAGTGACAGGCTGGGCCACAGTCCAGCCTCGCGTCCCGACCTGCTGACCTCAGCAGAGTGTGCCGCCTGCCGGCATGGCCTCCCTCCCGCCAACCCACCCACCCCACCTCGCTGCCGCAGGTCACCAACGAGCTGCTCAAGGGCTGGGTGCTGCTGCGGGCGCGGGTGCAGCAGGGGGAGGGGCTGCCCTTTGCCCTGGAGGGGCAGACCCAGGAGTTTTACATGCTCAGGTGAGTGGAAGGCAGGCATGGTGCATGGCACACGTGGCGGGCGCTTGGCCCAGGGTTTGGGAAGGCGATGGGAGGCCGTGTGTGGAGGCCCTGCCAGCGCCTACGCCAGGGGGCTTTGCTGATCAGCTCCCCCAACTGCCTGGCAGCCGGCCTGGTATCCACCTGAACACCCCCGCTCCTCCCGTCCGCCCGCCTGGTGCCTCCCCGCAGCCAGCGAGCCAAGCAGCACGCCACCCCTTCCGAGATACAGGCGGTACGCAAGGCCTGCCTGAAGCTGCTGAAGGAGGATGAGGCGGGTGAGGATCCGGCCTGCTGTGCCAGGCAACCAGCAGTCCGTCCTGCTGGAGCCAGCCAGCCAGCCTGCCCTGCGTGGCAAAACAGCCGTCCAAATGCTTCTCCCACATCCCGCCGGTTTGATGCCAATGCCGTGCAGGCAAGGAGAAGCCGCAGGTGCTGCACCAGGCCAGCACGCTGGTACACAAGTACTACCAGCTGATGGTACAGGTGGGACCAGCTTCCGACCAGCTTCTGCTTTTAAGCTTGATGGAATTCACTGTAGTGAGCCTCATACCGCCGCCCGCTCCCACGGCGCAGGCAACCAACCGCTGGGCCGACGCCAAGCAGCGGCCAGAGGCGGTGGAGGCGGTGGATGACGGTCCCCGGGCGCAGCGCAAGTGCTTCGACCGCCACCCGCAGTGCGTCCTGTGGCGGGAAAAGGTGCGGCGCAGACCACCCGTCTTCCTGCCTGCACAGTGGCTGTGGATGCCTGGGCAGCTTGCAGCTGGCGGGCTGCCCTGGGCCCTCCCTGCACATGCCGCTTCCCGAACCTTTCTCGTGGAGAGGAGAGTGTGGGGCTCATGCCCGTCTCTGGCCTTGGCCCTCTGTGTGCCGCAGGGCGAGTGCGAGGGCAACCCAAAATACATGCTGGGAGACGAGGGCGCCAACAACGGCTGGTGCCGCGCCGCCTGCGGCCACTGCCCCGAGGAGGAGGAGGACCAGGAGATGAGGCGTGAGTGGCATGGGACCAGCGGGGCGGAGCGAGGGCGCAGCAGCCGCGCAGCTGCATAGCCTCCTGTTGGGGGAGTTGGGGTTGCATGCGCTGCGTCGACGCTGCCCACCCACGCCGGCAACCCCGTACCTCGCCCCTGTGCCAGCCTACTTCCCCTTCTTCACCTACCCATCTCCACCACGTGCCTTTCCTTTCTTACCCTCTCTCTCTTTCCCTGGCTGCCTTCCCCGCCGCTTCCCTCCCGCAGCCGTGGATGTAGAGTACATCAGGGGCGCGCAGGCCGACCTGCTGGCCGTGTTCCAGGCCAAGGCCTGCGTGTCTGCCGCGCCCTGCAAGTGGGCGGCGGGCGAGGGCATGCAGCAGCTGCTGGCCAGCGCCAGAGCGGGGGCGGACAGAGGGGCGGCAGAGCTGATGGAATCTGCGGAGTTCATCGGCGGCCCCGTGATGAGCAGGCAGCAGCAGCTGGAGGCGTCGATCGACCAGACGAGGTGGGAGCGGCGGCGGCTGCGTGTGTGGTGCTGGAGGGTGGTGGGTGGGATGGGGTGGGGGGCGGGTGGACGGTCAGGCTCGTGGCCCCCCAGCGTGCGGCAGGCGCCCCGCCGCCGGCCAGCCAGGCATAACCGACCCCCGCCCCTGCTTGCCTGGCCGCCCCTGCCGCGCGTGTAGGCTGAAGGAGAGCAAGCCCATGCTGGTGCGGGAACTCAACGACGCCGTTGTGCCTGACCGGGGCAGGCCGCGGCGCAGCACACAGCCGCCCGAGCACTTCCTGACTGAGTCGGGCACCGTGCTGTGGCAGGAGCTGGGCGCCAAGTGCGTCTATGTCTCCACGGTGAGCCAGGGTGGGGCCGGGTGGGGGCACGCAGGCACACGCCCGCTGCAGCACGCCCCGCTGGCAGCCTGGCCTGCCTGGCTCTGCCGGCTGTCGGGCTGCCTGCCTGCCTGACTGGCCCCCTCTTTCGCTGTTCATCTCAAGTGCATCAACCAAGCGCTGCCCTGCCCTGGCCTGCGTGCAGGGCTGGTGGATGTACGAGATCTGCTACATGCACCACATCACACAGGTGGGGGGCCACCGGCGCATGTGCCACAGGCTTATGTGCCCCACACCTGTGCTGCGATTGGCGGCCACCCTGCCCGCTCCTCGTCTCCCCCTTCCCCCCTCCCTCCTGCCCCGCCTGCCGCTCACGCGTTCCCCTGCTTTTTTCCCCTGTCACTTCTGTTCCTGCCCCTTTCTTTCCGTATTTTCCTTTCTATTCACTTTCCACCTGTGTCCAACCTGTCCACCCGTGCCTTCCCGCTGCCCCCGGCTCCAGTTCCACATGACCGACAAGCACGACATCGACTGGACCATCTCTCTGGGCGCTTACGAGCCCGGCTCCGCCAACTGGACCCTCACCAACACCTCCCTGTCGGGCCTCTACCCACACTTCACCAAGGCGAGGCCCCGCGCAGCGCCCGCGCTGCAGCGTGCCTCCCCGCCTTCCCTTGCCGCTCCTGCTGCCATCGCCACCACCCAGGCGTCCACCCGGCACCCCACACCACCAACTTTCCAGCCAGCTCTGGGCCCCAGCCTGGCACCTGATTGGCTGTCCCGCCACCCCGCTGGTGCCGCACCGCAGGTGCCGTATGCCTCCCAGACCTACAACAGCGGCAACCACTGTGACCTAGACCCAGATGAGAGTGGCAAGCAGCGGTCGGTGCTGCGCAGCTCCGAGCTGCGCCTCATGTGCAGGTGTGCGTGCTGGCGGCTGCGCGGTGCGGCTGTGGCTGCGTGTGTGTGGTGGTGTGTGGTGGTGTGGTGCTGTGTGTGTTCGGGGGGGCAGGGACCTCACCACACACATGTCCCCCTAACCCGTCCCTGTGACCCACCACTGCCTGCTGCTGCCCCCCCCCCTCCTTTCCACCCCGCCCCGCAGCCCCGACGCCGACATGCACATCATCGTGGTGGAGCCGCAGCAGTGCAGCTACGTGGTAGAGCTGTACGTGCCAGAGCTCTGCGCGCTGCCGGGATTCCAGGTCAGCCCGCCGCCTGTGGGGACCCACCCCGGGGTCCTTGCAAAACCCAAGCACCGCTGGTACAGTTGCTGCTGCTGCCGCTGCACGCTGGGCCAACCCACCCACACAACCACACACCCTCTCACACACAACCGGGAGCCCTTTGCGCTTGGAAGCTGCGAATCCCACGAGTTGGCCTGCTGACCCGGCACAGCGTCCTGTTTCCTTCCTTTCCCCTCCGCAGGTGGTGCTCCCCGACACGCTGGGCAGCCACATCGGCTTTGCCACCAAGCCGCGGACGAGCGCCAAGGGCGCCAGGGGCGTCGCCAGCGCCGTTGCTGGCGGCGACGGCGAGGTCGAGGAGGAGGAGGGGGAGGAAGGGCTGGACCCAGTGTATGCGCTGCCAGAGACGGATGAGGACGAGTATGCAGATCCGGATGACGAGGAGGAGGGGCAGCAGCAGGCCAATGCGACGGCACACGATGAGCTGTAGCGGCCTGGCATCGCGGCAGCGCGCCAGCTCGCTGGCACGGCCTCAGCTCAATACTTGCTGGTTGTGTGCTCCATTCTTGCGTAAGGCGGTTGTTTGCTGTCGCTCTGAGTTGCTTGCCGTGTTTATTCTGAGAGCGCGGAATTGGCAGCCCTGAGAGTGGACTAGCAGCCCCACCAGTGTCACTGTGCTCCCGTGCTGATGGCGTTGGTTTACAGTGCATTGCATGAGAGGGAAGGAATTTCCGTGCGCGCGCCAGTGGGGGCCGAAAACACGGCACACAGGAACAAAATGGCTAGCAGCTCACAAAAGGGAGATAGGAACATGCGAACAGATGGGTAGGGTCATTGGGAGTTTGAATGGGGTCTGCAGGGCCGCCAACCGACCGTGGATGGCAGTGGTAAACGGGTGAGGAGTGGCACGGCACTGTTTTCCACGAGGTGCACCCTGCACAAAACCTGGCTGCCGCCGGGGCCAACCGAGGAGGCGCCGGGCTAGCCCCTTGTAGCGCCACACCGGCGCCGCCATCAGATCAGCCGCTTCCAGCGGCAGTAGATCATGACGGCAGTGAAGATGAAGATGGCTCCCACGCCGGTGCTGATGGACACAGCCAGAAACCAGCCAAAGGGTGCCTGCCCCTCTGTGTCCGGCTGCAGCATCACGTTCATGGCAAACAGGCCCGTGATGGCGGTCACCAGGGCCACGGAGGCGCTGAAGGAGGTGAGCACCAGGTCCAGCTGCAGCACAGGCAAGCAGGCAGGCAGGCAGGCGGGCAGGCAAGCAGATGAGCTGGTACGGGCACGTCCACGGGCACAGCATCCTTCATCAATCAGCAGAGCCTGGCAGGCTGGCAAGACAGCCAGGGGGCAGTTGCAGGGCTTCCCGCCGGCCAGCCAGGCGTCCTTACCCGGATGAGAGCGTTGCGGTGCGAGTCCAGCTCTATGTTGATATAGTCCTCTGTGTCGTCGATGTACTCGCACAGCGTCTGCAGCTTGTTGTACGTGTTGTCGATCTGCATGTGCAGGGCGGTGGAACGAAAAGGGCGGACGGGCAGCTGTGTGCAAGCAGTTGGGCAGGCTGCGACGGTACTTGGCGGCATCGCCCAGTGAGCCTCCCGATCGCCAGCCCACCCTGCGCCCCGCTCTCGCCTGCCCGCCGCCGCACGCAGCCGGCTGCACACGCGGCGCGGCGCGACGCCCTCCAGCCGCTCGCCTGCATGAAGTAGGGCTCCAGAAGCATCTCCACCACCGCCACATCGGGGTCGTCCTCCAGATCTGTCGAGTCGGAGGAAGCCGAGGAGGCGCTCTTGGGCGTCATGGGCGTCATCGCCTCCAGCCCCGTGGCCTGGCACAGAGGCAGGGAGGGCGGCAGGGAGGGCTGCGGGAGTTAGCGGTTGGATGGACTGGCAGGGCGGGCCGCCAGCAGGTAGTGGCATATGCTGTGGGGGTCACGGCGGTGAGTAGACTTGGAAAGTCGAGGAGAGGGCGACCTGCACGCGGCTCCTGGACCGCTCACCTCAGCCCCGCTGGCGCCGGTGTAGGGCAGCGGCACGTCGAAAGGCGTGGCAGCGCCCGACCGCACGTGGCGGTTGAACAGCTCGAGCCGCTCATCCTCCTGCAGCAGGAGGGCACAGCCAGGCAGCAGCCCCAGCAGCCAGGAGCAACCAGGTCAGGGGATGGCTCACAGGCTCGCACCAGCGACGCTGCTAGGGGCACGGCAGAGCGGGGCGCAGGCTGCGCTGCGTCAGGCCGATGCGCATGCGGCAGCTGGTGTGGCTGCCGCCTGGCCGCACCTTTGCTGTCAGGTTCAGGTCCTTCATGTCTGAGTCATCATCTAGGAACTTCTCCAGCACCTCACGCAGCTGGAGACAGGAGCGAGAAGACGGGAGCGAGAAAAGGACGGCAGGGTTAGTCAGCCAGCAGCTCACAGCAGACGGCAATGTGGCCTGATGAGTCGCCTTGCCTCCTTCGCTGCCAGGGCCCCGGCGCCAGCGCTCACCGTCTCCACGCGGGTGGTCAGCCGCACCATCCTGTTCTTGATGCGGCGCACGCGCTCCAGGTTGCTGGTGTTGATCTGCAGGCGTGGCGGGGCGCAGGGCGGCCTCGTTTTGTCGGCGCACGCAGTGTCGCTGTGCTGGCATGCTGCCCCTCCCAATCCCACTGCGCCCTCCCTCTCCACCGCCGCTGCGTGCGGCCACCCAGCCGCCTGCGTACCTTGCCCGTCAGCGCATCCAAGGCCGGGTGCGCCGCCGCCTCCAGGTCCCCGGTCAGGCGCTCCAGGTACTGAGACACGGTGTCCAGCCCTATTTCCAGGCACCGCAGCTCAAAGGGCAGCTCCTCGTGGGCGGCAGAGATGGAGCTGAGCGGCACGCCGCCGCCGCCAGGCAGGTTGCCAGACGAGGCGCCGCCTGCAGGGGAGCCGGGCGGGCGCGCAAAAACGGTGGAGAGCAGTGGGCGAGGGGCGTGGCGGCATGCCCAGCTTGCCGTGCTGCGCCCTGGCTTGGGCATGGATGCAGCAGGCCTGCTGCAGAGCATGTGCGGGCCTGCTGCCCAAGGTGATTTGAGCCCTGCACTGCAGCCAGTACTGGCTGCTGCCAGCTACAGGCAGCACCACGGCTGCCCATGCACCTGCGGCGCCTGGCAGGTTGGCGACTGACTGCGACATGAACAGGCCGCTGGGGCCGGCGGCGGCGGCGGCCTCCGCGGCCACGGCGGCGGCGCGCAGCCGCCGCTGAAGCTCCTCCACGAATGCCACCGTGTTTTGGTCGTCCAGGTTGGTGATGTAGATGTTGTCTGCAGGTGCAGGCGGGAGAGCATGAAAGGTGTTTGAGGGGAAGTCAGCAGCGCAGTGGCGGGCAACAGCATTCCTACATAACCGAGTTGTGGGAACGAAGCCCTGCCGGCCTGGCTGCGCGGCCCACGCGGCCGTTGATGCAACCACTGCTGCTGCTATGTGCCGCACCCATGGCGATGATGCACTTTATGAACTCCAGGTTGACCACTATGGCGCGCTCACGAGCCAGGATGGCAGACGGGTAGCTGGTGGCCAGCTGAGGGTCCAGCAGCCTGCCGTGGCAGGCAACGCAGGCGGCGGGGAGCGAGGTGGGCAGCGGGCTAGGGGCGCGGTATGGCGCAGCACGCTCACAGAGTGTTGGCCAGCTGATGCGGCTCAGCACCCAGCGCAGCAGCGCGTGAGCTGAGCGGCATGCAGACGCTGGCTTGTGCTGCGTCCGGCCCAGCCGCCGCCACACACACCCAGCGTGGGGCAGGAGGCACCCCACCTCAGGTCCCGCAGCTGGACGCCCAGCCCCTGCGTCACGCGCAGCTTGGCGAGCTCCAGGTGCCGCACCTCGCCTTGCGCATTGACCGCCAGCCACTTGCGCACGGCAAAGGCGGCCTTGACCTGCGGCCAGCACCAGCCGAGCGAGGCTTTCGCACAGGGAGGTGCAGAGGTAGGCAGCAGAGCCCAGGCGACAGGCAGCTGGGCCTGAACAAGGCAGGCAGCGGCCTGGACGGATGCCCTCACATGATAGCCACTGCCTGCACTTAAGTGCACGTGGCCAGACTGGCGGCGGGGGCGGCACCCACCTGTGCCTTGGCCTTCGCGCCGCCAGCAGCTGCTGCCGCGGCGGCGGCGCTGTCAGGCAGGAAGTGAGCCACCTTCTCGGAAGCCGGCACCGACGAGCCCTTGTCTGAGGCGGGCATATTGTTCAGCTGTGAGAGCTGGCCGGCGGCCTTGCCGTTCTCCATCGTGCGTTGCCCCTGACAGTCAGCCGGGGCAGGAGCACGATCACATCGATCACCCGGTCAGCTATCTGGGCGGCACCGCGGCGGCGGAGTGCTTGCCGGTCTGCGACTCAAGCAGTCAACTGCGCCAAGAGCTGAAACTGCTCCTCCGCAGGATGCTGGGCCGCCGGGAGAAGTGCCGCTTCTCTAGGCCCCCGGGCAGTCCTGGTGACACACCCATCGCTGCCAGGTGGCGTCGATGCCGCCGCCTTATGCACTTATGCCGCCGCCAGTCCTTTTGATCCCAGATGGGTGCATCTTACTTTACAAGGCGACTCGTAAGAAAGGGATGAGCAATACAGAGATTGCAGCAAAATAATAAATGACAAGCGGCAAGCGGCTCAATGCGGGGGCGGCGAGCATATTTCGCTAGGAGAGACAAAACACTGCTGGGGGGCTGTGGGTTGAGAACTGCATATGGCATAAAACAACAGTAGTAATTTGCAGACCAGGCGCAAAGAGGGAGGTACTGCATAGTGCTCCAACGAGAGCGCCTGGTAGTCGAGGGTCAAGATGGTAGACGGGCAGTCAGGTCGGAGTTTATGAGGAGTGGGTCACAGCACCGCGAGCAGGACCTGAATCATGCTCCATGGGAATAGCAGGTATCTATCTGTCACTGTCAACGACTGAAGGCGGCAGCCTCGATCAGATCAGCCGCTTCCAGCGACAGTAGATCATAACAGTAGTGAAGATGACGATGGCGCCTATGCCGGTGCTGATGGACACAGCCAGGAACCAGCTGTAGGGCGCCTGCCCCTCTGAGTCCGGTTGCAGCATCACGTTCATGGCAAACAGGCCCGTGATGGCGGTGATCAGGGCCACGGAGGCAGTAAATGCCGTCAGCACAATGTCCAACTGCGCAAGGAAGGGGATGTACACGGTTTGAATAGGGAATAGGCTGGAAAGGGAGGCATGTCGGCCAGGCAAGAGGCTGCCCTGCCAGGTCAGCCGGGAGACCGTACCCGGATCAGCGCGTTGCGGTGAGAATCTAGCTGGATGGCAATGTAGTCCTCTGTGTCGTCAATGTACTCGCACAGCGTCTGCAGCTTGTTGTACGTGTTATCGATCTGCGGGGCGAACATGAGGCTGTTAGCTGGTAGCCGGGAAACAAGTGGCAACCGGCAGGCACACAACGGAGGCTGCTGCTGCGAGCACCACTCTGCTCTTTGCTGAATCTCGCCTGCATGAAGTAGGGCTCCAGCACCATCTCCACCACCTCCACAGCCGGGTCATCAGCCAGATCTGTCGAGTCTGAAGAAGCCGAGGAGGCGCTGCTGTACTGCACCTGAGGCCGTGGCGTGGCCGGTAACGACTGCAGCAAACAGTGCCAGCAGCAGCGTGGCAAGCAGCGCTGAGGTGAGCAGTGGTGCAGAGGTGAGCGGGAGAGGGGCTGGCATGCATGCAGCTCAAGCAGACTGGAAGCCAACAGGGCGCGCTGCCTGACCTCCTGCGCCGTCTCCGCATTGAACGGCAGCGGCACGTCAAACGGCATAGCCATGGCTGCTCGCCGCTCGTTGATGTCAGAACGATCCTCCTCCTGCCAGGACCAAGCAAGGCGATGAAGCACGAAACTGTCGTGGCGGGGTGGCATGCAGCATGCGCCATTCAGCAGGCAGCTCTTGCCAACTCTACAGCAGCTGATGCTGCCCGGGCCACACCTTTGCGGTCAGGTTCAGGTCCTTCATGTCTGAGTCATCATCCAGAAATTTCTCCAGCACCTCACGCAGCTGGAGGCAGGAGCGATAAAAGGACGGCAGGGTTAGTCAGTAGCAATGCACAGCAGATGGCACCGTGTGCTGCTGAGTCGCCTTGCCTCGCTCCCTGCCAAGGGCCCCGCACCAGCGCTCACCGTCTCCACGCGGGTGGTCAGCCGCACCATCCTGTTCTTGATGCGCCGCACACGCTCCAGGTTGCTGGTGTTGATCTGCAGGCGTGGTGTGGCGCAGGGCACCCTATCATTCACTGTTCTGCAACACAGCACCTTACGCACACACACATGTGCACCCTGCAGCATGCATCTGCTGTGCACCTTTAGCGTCAGCGCATCCAGGGCCGGATGCGCGCCTTGCTCCAGGTCCCCAGTCAGGTGCTCTATGTGCTGCGCCACCTGCGGGTTACAAGCAGAGACATGTGTCCTGCAGCGGCTCAGCCACACAGGCGCCAGCCACCACACAGCGGCTACAGCCAGCCCCCCAGCGCTGCATCTTCCTTCAATTGCAGCACGAAGCCCACAAACAACTCAGCAGCGCACCGTGTCCAGGGCCACCTCCAGCACCCTCAGCTCAAAGGGCAGGTTCTCGGGGGCCGCCATCAGGCTGCTCACGCGCGGCGTGTGGGTCCCCTGCCCGCCCCCGGCCCCTCGCTCCGGGCTGCCGCCGCTGCCGTCCATGCCATCTGCGAAGCCCATGCCCGGCTCAGCATGGCCTGCAGTTGGGTACACACGTGGGTCACAGCACCTGGAGGGTCCTGCCGGGGGCCACGAGCATCGCAGCGCTGCCCCAGACTGGCATTCATGGACATGCAGCCTGCCAGCTCGCACACACCAAGCCCTGCCTGAGCTGTCCCATAGGGTGCACGCATTGCGAGGAGGCAGCCCTGCCACACCACGCACCCATGCCGCCGGCCAGGTTGGCAGAAGAGGGAGAAAACATGCTGTAGCTGCCCGCGGGCGAGCGCAGCCGCCGCTGAAGCTCCTCCACAAACGACTGGGTGTTGAGGTCATCCAGGTTTGTGATGTAGATGTTGTCTGCATGGCCACGGCGGGCGGCAGGAGCGCGGCATCACGTGTGTCTCGCTACCTCCCCAGCCCTGGCCAGCAACGCCCGGAGCACCGTTCACCCAGAGACCCGACTCACCCTGGGCGATGATGCACTTTATGAATTCCAGGTTGACCACTATGGCGCGCTCACGAGCCAGGATGGCAGACGGGTAGCTCAGGGCAAGCTGGGGGTCTAGCAGCCTGCAGGGGAGGACATGACAACGGTGTGTGAGGCAAACAGTGAACGACACGAGCCCCTGCCAAGAGGTGCAGGCCCAGGAGCTCTACCGCTGCACTGCGCCAATGCTAGCAAAGGCAGCACGGCCGCTGGGCTGCGCTGCAGCAGTGCTGCCTGCCGCAGCTGCACTGCTCCGCACCTCAGGTCCCGCAGCTGCACGCCGAGGTAGTGTGTGACGCGCAGCTTGGCCAGCTCCAGATGAAGCGACTCGCCTGCCGTGTTGACAGCCAGCCACTTGCGCACCGCGCTTTGCAAGGTGGTCTTGGTCTGCAGCCCAGCAGAGGCAGTGCAGGCGCTTGCAGCAATGCACACGCATGGAAAGGTTGGCTGCTGCATGCTGATGCCCCCCCGAATGCAGCAGAAGCAACCTGTTGAGCGCCCACCTTGGCAGCAGCGATGGCCACGCCTGCAAGGCCCGGCGGCGGCAGCGCGGTGTCGAGATGGAAGGAGACCGATTTGGGGATAGACCCCTCCGCAGGAGCATGCTGGGGGGGCGACGGCTCGACATTCATGATTTCCAGGTGGTCTGGGGCTCCACACTCGGCTTTGGAGCCCATCCTAGCTTCTGCCGTCAACTCACTGGCGGCAACGGCGGCGCATGGCCTGCCGCCCTAGGCTGCCGCGCGTGAGGCAGGCCGCGCCTTCCTCAGCGGTGATGTCAGCACAGGTATGGGCTTGGGAACACTGAAAAAGGAGGGTCAAGGGCAGCACTCAAGCAGCAGTGGGGGAGAGGCAGAGCACACAATTCCAGTCTTTGGCTCGTGCAATGGGGGTGGGCAAGCAGCAAGAATCGGGCGCTGGCATGCCCCAGCACCATGACAAGATGCCAGGCGGGAGGGCGCGAAAACTCGGCCAGGAGCGAGCACCGAGCAAATGGAGGGAGCGCGAGGGGTGCAAGGTGTGTCGTGCAATGCACTGCATCGCTTTGGGAGGGTGTGCCGGCCGGTTTCCGATTCCGACTAAATCGGGTGAGAAAGCCGCCGCCAGCTGGCCGCCGCCGCCGCCCGCCTCGGCTAGTGCCCAAATGCAGTTTGTTACAGGGCAGGCGTAGATCGAACAGCATAAAAAAGACGCGGGCTGCCAAGGTACACATGAACAGGCCTTGCTGGCCTCTCACTCCACTAAGTCTTCGGGCCGCCCCCTGTCATCCCTTGCCCGCCAGGCTCCACTTCCGCCGCTCGACCTCCCACGCTGCCAGACCCCGACAGCCTCAGCCCGCTGACCGCCGCCTCCAGGGAGGCCTGGCGGCCTGCACCAAGTATGGAGGACAGCTGCTCCTGGCTTGCGGTGGCCACACAGTCCAGAGAGGCACCGCGGGACAGCCCTTCTGAAATGGCATCCAGTGAATCCTGCAGGTGCTAGGGCAGGCGACGATGCTCAAGCTGCATCGCCAAGCGCACATGACTGCAGTAACGAGCCTCAGTTCAGCTGAAGTATACAAACCTCGAGCTGCGCCTTGGCCAGGTGGCGCCGCTCCGCCTCCACGCGGTGTGCCAGCAGCCGCACAAAGCGCTGCAGGGCGCTCTGCTCGGCTGCGCTTGGCGGCTGCTTGAGATGAAAGGTGCAGCTGCCGCCGGCGGTGTTGCTCTGGCCCTCAGGGATCGCGCCGCGGCTGGCGCAGTCGCTTGGCAATGGCAGGCACAGGTGCGTCGCGCGGCTGCTGAGTGAGGAGGGTGTGCGTGGGCCAAGGCCCCGCTCGCCTTCTGCTGCTGCCGGCTGCTGCGGGACGATCACCACGGTGCAACTGCTAGCAGTGTTGCCGCCCGGCAGCTGGTCGCCGGCATCGTCGCTGGTGCTGGGTAGGGTCACGCTGGCCCGCTCCAGGCCTGGCAGCACGCTGCGCAGGCCCGCGCGAGCGGCTTCCTTGGGTGTCCACTCGCCGCCGTCACACTGTGTGACTGCCGCCCTGGCCGCCGCGGCCGCCACCGCTGCCAGCGGATCGCAGCCTTCCGGCTCCTCTGATGATAACTCTCGGATCAGCTGCTCTGTGCCTGGGCTCTGGGGCGGGAATGGGGAGCAGGAAGATGCAGGCCAGGGACGGTTAGGCGACAGAAGAGTTGCCAGCCGCAAGGCCATGGGGCAGTCGGCTATAACCAAAGCATCAGCTATAACCAAAGCATCAAATGTGCCGCGCACCTCGTTGCCGCCGTCGCAAGCCTCGTCGGCGGCCCTCCAGGCCCCAGCCCCTGCGGCCCCTTGGACTGCCAATCGGGAACCATGCCAGCCTCCTGGGAGGTGGGCAGGCGCTGCCTGCTCGGCCTCGGACGCGAAGGGAGAGGGCTGGGTGGGCCCCTGCTCCTGGAAGGTGATACTGCGCCAAGGCATGCACTGCGCTTGATGGGGTTGTGGACCTTAAGGAGAGAGATGCTTGTTGTTTTTATGATTGAAGACAAGCTGACGTGTCCCTGACTTCCTCAAATACCGGCACTTGTAGCTAGTGCAGAGGGGGCTGCACTGCGACCTGTCGGTGCGAGGGGCGCACGCCTCAGAATTGCTTGCCAGCCACAAACTTGTGGCACGTGCCTGTCTGGCTCCTCCAAAGTTGCAAACGTGCTTTCAGCCTGAGACACGTGCACATACCATGCCTCAGATCGATGGCAAGGTCAACAACAGCTTCGTGAGTCTCCTCTCCCAGAACGGGACGTAGTCAGCGGGCGCGCCACGTCGGCGTGCTGGGCATGCTGCAGGCTCCTCCAACTCGGGGCCGGCTCTGCGCCTTCTTGATTGCAGTCGATCATAGAACAGGTTTCACGGGCAGTATGGCGGCCCCAGGCCCGTCCGCTGACGAGCTGGAGTTCAACAGCGTGTTCAGCACTCGCAAGCCGAGGGATCTGGGGGCCGGGCTGGCCAGCGGAGCCAAGAGTATTGCCAAGGGGGTGCTGGCGGGTGCGTTTTGGGCCCCAGGGCCTGGCGGGATTGCCGCTGAGGGGCCTCTCCACGTTTTGAGGAGCGTGTCAGGCCTGCTTAAGACGCCGAGAAACCCTGCAGCCCGCCAGGGAGGCTACGCCCACCCGCCACCGAAGTGGCCGCCACCCACCCGAGCCGCCCGTCCCTGCAGGTGCCATTGGCCTGGTTGCCGCCCCGGCGATTGGGGCCGCCCAAGATGGGTTCAAGGGCTTTGCCAAGGGCGCCGCGGCAGGCATCGCGGGCGCCGTGATCCTGCCGGTAACAGGCGTGGCGGTGGGCACGGCACAGGTGGTGCGCGGCGCGGTCAATACGCCCGAGGCCATTTCAAACGCCTCCAAGGGCAGGCACTGGGACGAGGCCAGCCGCAGCTGGATCGACGCGCCCGGCATGGCGCTGGCGGTGGACGGCGACGACCAGCGTGCCGCGCGCTCGCAGTGGCGGCGCGTGCAGCAGCGCGCGCGCGGTGGCGGCGGCGGGGAGGGAGTGGAGCAGGAGTTTTATGAGCTGCTGGGGGTGGAGCGGGACGCCAGCCCTGAGGAGATCAAGAGGCAGTACTATCTGCTGGCCAGGCGGTACGCCCCGCTGGCGCCTCGCTGCTGCAGCCGCTGCTGTGCCCCGCCTGTTGCCACTCTGAGCCGTGATGCGTGCTTGTAGCCCGCCTGCCAGCAGCCCCTGCACCTCCGGCCACGCCCGCGCTGAGCCTGTGCCTGGCTGCCCTGCCCTGCAGCATGCACCCTGACAAGAACCCAGGAGACCCAGAGGCCAATGCCAAGTTCCAGCGGCTGGGGGAGGCATACCAAGTGCTGGGCAATGCAGAGCTCAGGTGGGCTGCCTGGTACTTTTTTTTACTATGTGGGCACTTGTGTGTGGTGCTGCCATGGCGCTGTTGGATGTGCCACAGGAGGCCGGCAGGCCCCACGGCGGGCTGGCTCGCCTTGCCCCACCCTCCCCTGCCAACGGCGTGCGTCCGCCGCGTGCGTGCTGTGTACTGCTGTACCGCTGTGCGCAGGAAGCGGTACGATGCCCACGGCGCCGAGGGGCTGGATGTCAACTATGTGGATGGCGCCGAGTTCTTTACTGCCCTGTTTGGCTCAGACCGCTTCTCCCACCTGGTCAGTGCTGCAGCTGGGCGCACAGCCAGGCGCCGGCATGCCCCAGCAGCAGCCCCAGCTTTGCCGGCAGTGAGGCAGCTGGGCGCACAGCAGCCCCAACAGCAGCAGAGGCAGCCCCAGGCTCGCCCCCAGCTGGCTCCCGTGAGGCCCGCACCAGCTGGCAGCAGGCGAGGGGCGCCGCTTGCTCAGCATGACACTGTTGCGCCCGCCCTGCCTGCTCGCCTGCCGCCCCACTCTGCAGGTTGGAGAGCTGATGCTGACTGCGGCGGCGCGGCAGGGCGCAGACCTCAACGCAGTGCAGCTCAAGCGCCTGCAGGTGTGTGTGGGCCGGCCATGCGGGCTGGCTGTGCCTGCCGCCACCGCTACCCTCCGACTCGGGTCCTCTACCTTTCGGCGGGACTACCTCCCGCTCCACCCCGCTTCGTGGTCGTGAGGTTCCTAGCTAGCTGTGGCGCCTGCTCTTTCCACGTCCCGCCCTTCAGGTTGAGCGCGAGCAGTACGTGTGGGAGTGCCTGCGGGCGCTGCTGATGCGTTACGTGGAGGGCGACGTAGACGGCTTCCAGGCAAGGCGCCGGCGGCGGGCGCAGGCGCCCCACGCCCTGCCGAGCAGGCCGAGCAAGCCTCAGCTGCCATGTTGGGAGCTCTGTTGCCACCGACCCAGCTGCCGTCGCAGCTCTGATGGGCTTGGGGAGGTCCTGATTTCTGGGGCGCCTGCTGCGGGCGCCTGTTGCGGGCGCCTGCTGCGGGCGCCTGCTGCGGGCACGTACTCTGGGCGCTGCCGCGCCTGAGCTGCCGCCATCTGGCTGCGGTCTGCAGGAGTCGATGGTTGCAGAGGCGGCGCAGCTGGCCACGGCATCGTTTGGGGATGTCATGCTGGCGGCCATCGGCGGCGCCTACAAGGCGCAGGCCGACATCTTCCTTGGAGGCATCCTGGATGGCAGCCTGGCGGCGCTGCGGTGAGCTGTACCGCCCGGCTGTGCGCGGCTGCTCGGGATTGGTGCTGTGGCTTGTGGCAGTCAGCGGACCGTTGGAAGAGCTGTTGCCTGTGTGTTGGGGGAGACTGGTGCTTGTTGGAAGCAGAAGTAGGAGGGTGGGAGGAAGGAGCGGGCGCGGAGCGGGGCCGTCGGTCGCTGCCTGGCCCACGATTGTTTTCACGGCGGTACCGCCTGCGCGGCTGCTGCCGCAGGGCCAAGGGGCGGGGCATCAAGGCCCAGTTCTCTGCCGCCAGCCTGGCGCTCAAGGTGTACCAGAAGCAGCTGGAGATTGCCAAGCTGGATGCGGCGGAGCAGCAGGCCAAGCAGCAGGCGCAGCAGCAGACGGCGGCCGCGGCGGCCACGCAGCAGGAGGGCGACGCCTCGAAGCAGGGAGAGGCGGGGCACGGCACGGCTGCGTCGGCGGCGGAGGCGGCGGAGGCGGCGGAGGCGGCGGAGGAGCAGCAGGGGGCGGCGGCACTGGCGGTGGCCACGGCGGCCGCCGAGCGCGCGCGGCTGGAAGAGCAGTCGCTGCCGCTGATGCTAGGTGCGCGAGGCAGCCGCAGTCCTGGCCGCTGCTGGCCACGCCGTCTCTGAGTCCCACCCCTTGCCAGCTCTCTGCTGGAGCCGCCGACCGCGCCTTCTGCGGCTGCACCTGTTGCTGTGTTGCGGTGCAGAGGCGATGTGGGCTGCCAACAAGCTGGACATTGAGGCCACGCTGCGGCACGTGTGCAAGCGGCTGCTGAGCGATGAGCAGGCGAGCCCAGCCGCGGCTGCCGTGCCCGCCCTCCTCCCTGCTGTGGATGCCAACCAGCCGGCGGGCTGCTTTGCCTGAGAGGCAGAGCCCGGTCACTGCTGAATGAACCGGCGCTGGATGCGAGCGCCAGGAGGGACTCACCCTTGGAGCAGCTCTTTGGCAGCCTGCTCATGCATTTGCCGGCCGGCTGTCCGCCCTTGCTGTGTGCAGGTCAGCAAGGAGGTCCGGCGGCTGCGAGCCGAGGCTCTGCGGGAGCTTGGCACCATCTTCATTGCTGCCGCCCAAACGGCGGCAGCTGAGAAAGCGGCACGCACGCCTGCGCGCCGCGGCGCGAGCAGCAGCCCCGGCAGCAGCAGCGCGCAGCCGCACACGTCGGCAGCAGCAGCAGCAGCAGCAGCAGCAGCAGAGGGGTGGGCGCCGGCCGCCAACGGTTTTTCGGCGGAGCAGCGGCGGGCGCGGCGGGAGGCGGAGGAGCGGCGGCGGCAGGAGGAGAAGCAGCGGTCGGCCAAGGAGCAGATGGAGGCTGCGATGATGGCGGTGATGCAGAAGCGCATGCAGCAGGAGGATGGGCCTGCGTGAGACGCCAGCTGGCATGACCGCCACGACACCCTGAACAGCCTACTGTTTCCTGGCCTTTTGATGTAGATGATTCTGTTACCCTTTTGGTAATGCTGTTCTGCTACAGTTTACCCATTTCGTTACTCTCGAGTCTTTGGCAACAGCTGGTGCCCCCTCGTCTTGGCGACCGCTGCCAACCTGGCGAGGCAGCGCCCCTGACCTCGCACCAGGATGGGTTGAGGTTACAGCAGATTGGCAAGCGCTACAGGAAAAGGAATTGACGGTTAGAGGATTGGCAGAGGGGATGGGAAAGCATAGAGCCACACGCGGGAAAATCGGTCCATTGGTTGAGCGCTTGTATGGGGGACATGGTTGGGTTGGCAGAGAGGTGCGTAATGCAGCATGCATGCATTGACGTTAGAGGGTGCCTGGCAATGGCAATGGCATTCCAAGGGGAGGGACAGGTCAGGAAAAACGAGGTGTAATCGGTTGGGAGGGAATCAAAGAATTGGTGGCGCCGCGAGGGCAGCCAGAGCATTGGCGGAGGGGATAGGGGGGACGAATGGGGGGGACAAACAACGATTTGTTTGTTGGTTGTTGTGCTGGATCTGGGTGTGCAAGTATGTACAAGGGGGGGGAGGGACATGCGTCGGTGGACGAACGGTTGGTAGAAGGTTTATCACGCGTCTGCTACCTGTGGCAGGGAGAGGCTGCTGGCCGCCCCTCACCAGAGAGGGAGCAGCGCAGATGCGCGGCGCCGACGGCGCCTGGCGGGCAGCCTGCTCTTGGTGCTCATCTGCGCCGGCGGCGACACGCGCCGCGCCGTCACCGCCTGGCGGCCGCCCGCCGCGCCGCCGTCTGCGCCAGCCACAGGTTGCTGGGCATGCTGGCGTTGAGGGGGGCCACCAGCCAGCCCATGGCCGCGCACTGCGCCAGGAAAAGGGGCAGGACGGGGTGGGGACGCAGCCAGCGGCAGGGGCGTGTGTGCCTTCAGGCGGGTGCCGGGCACAGCGTGGGCGCAGCACGCGGAGAAGCATGGGCATCTGCTGTTGTGGAGGGGCTCACCTGGTTGCCTGTGAAGGAGCCGTAGAAGTTGAGGTAGGGCCCAAAGTCGCAGTCCGGCAGGCCCAGCGGGCGCAGCGTGGCGATGCTGACGAGGCGCCGGCCCCGCGCGGCGGCCGCCGCCGCCTGCCCGCCCTCCGCCTGCTGGTTCGTGGGCCCAAGCTGCCGCGGCTGCGCCAGCAGCCTGCGGGAGGCGGCGGCCAGGAGGCTGCGCCGCAGCCGCGGGGGTGGCGGGCTGCGGGGCTGTGGCGGCCGGGGCCGCGGGGGTGGCGGCCTTCTGGGTAGGGGAGGCCTGGGGCGAGGCCGTGCGGGGGGCGGCCGCGGCCGGGGGCGAGGTCGTGGCGGCGGAGGGCGCTTTGTGGACGGCGGCGGCCGCGGGCGGGGCTTGGGAGGAGGAGGGCGCTTTGCGGGCGGCGGCGGGCGGGTGCGGGGCTTGGAGGGGGGAGGGCGCTTCTGCGGGGGAGGTGGCGACTTCTTGGGC